CTACGTGTTTGATCTGGAATGCGGTGATAACAAAGAGATCCAAAAACTCTCATATGAGTTACATCCGGTTTCGACCGGACCGGGCTTCCTCCGGTGTTATACCATCAAGCTTCTTTGTTGGTGAGCGATTCAAAACATAGGCGGCAGTTGAAACCGCTTCTCCCCGGAGATATTTTGGAACGCCCTTACTTTTAAGCATGCACCTTACCATATTAAGTAGAGTCCGATTCCTCCTTTCGCGAGTACCATTATGTTGTGGCGTATATGGTGGTGTTGCCTCATGAGCTATACCATTTTCAGTACAAAAATTCTTGAATTCAAGAGAGTTGAATTCTCCCCCACCATCAACACGAAGTCTCTTCAACTGCTTGCCACATTGATTTTCAACCAGTGTTTTGAACCGCACAAACACTTTAAACGCTTCACTCTTCTTTCGCAAGCAATACACTCATAACATTCTCGTGTAATCATCTGTGAAAGTAATAAAATACTTGCTGCCCCCAGGTGTTTCAACCGGCAATGGACCGCAAATATCTGAATGTATTAGCTCAAGTTTCTCTGAAGTTTTCGATGATACCTCTTTACTGAATTTGTTCCACGTTTGCTTGCACTCCATACACTCTCTACATACTTCGTTTGGAACACACATATGAGGAATACCAACTACCATTTTCTTCTGTCCAAGTTCTCTCAAGTCCCGAAAGTTAAGATGTCCAAATATGAGATGCCACAGTCATTCGCACTTGTCACTGACAGCAGCAAAACACTGGTGCTTCAAAACATCCATCTTAACCTGAAAGGTTCTATTGGAGGACAAACCGGCATGTATGACCAGCTTCTGGGTTTGATCAAATACACGTAAAGAATTATCTTCAAGTGTCATCTTGAAACCTCTTTGCATCAACTGGCCCAAGCTCAGAAGGTTTGATTTCAACCCGGGAACATATAGAACATTTTCAATTATCACGTCCTTGCCATCACTGTTTCGCAACACAACTCTACCAGTTCTTTTTGTTGTGAGAGAACTATTATCTGCGAAACGTATCTTTTCTTGACTTATATCACTTATTTGCACGAACCAATCTTTCTTCTCGGTCATGTGCGTGGAGCACCCAGAGTCCAAGTACCACAAATTTTCACCGACGAGCTTCGCATCTGTCTCCGCCATCAACATGACAGCCTCTTCATCAGAATTTTCTTCCTCTGCAAGATGAACTCGCGCATTCTTCTTTGGTCCGTTCTTGGCTCCGTCACCATCCTAGCCAGTCTCGTGCATAATGCCCGAATTTTTGGCGCTTATAGCACTTGACTTTTTCTTGTCATACTTCTTCTCTTTATCTTCTCCGAATTTTGTTTCGGTCTTTGTACTTTTGCTCATCCGAATCTCCCTTCTTCTTTGTCTTAGTTCCTTTCTTGGAATCTCTTTTCTCGCTTTCCATTTGTTCTTGCATGAAGAACTCCGCTCTTGATAGGATCTCCGCTCGGACATCCGCAACTCGTGAGCTTCGAGCGAATGTTGCAGCTCCTGAAAGGTCAGTGCATCCAGATCTTTCGTCTCTTCAATAGTAATTACAAGATGATCAAATCTTGGAGGAAGTGACCGCAAAACCTTGTTCACGATATTCTGCTCAGACACTTTATCACCGCAAGAACGCATGCCATTAACAAGTTCTTGAACCTTGTTGAGGAACCCAACCACCGAATCACTTTCTTCCATGATGAAGAACTCAAATTGCCTTCGCAGAGCCTGTAACTTCACTTTCTTATGTTTATCCCCCGCACCATACGTAGCCACCAAGATATCCCACGCTTCTTTGGTTGTGCCCGCCATGGAAATCTTATTAAAGATCGGTGAACTAACACATTGATAGATCAAGTACCTTGCCTTGTCATCTAACTTTTGTTGAATCTTATAAGCCTTCTTATCATCCTTAGTAGCCCTCGCACCCGGTGGTGAAACACCATGTTCAACAACTTCAGCCACATCTTGAAAGATGAAGATCGCATTCATCTTAATCTTCCAATCGTTGAACATGCTACCATCAAAGATAGGTAGATCCCCTTGTATCATCCCACCCATATCAGTCATGCTACACCACAAACCAAGACACCACTCTTTCAACTTCGTTGAAAAAATGCACTTTCACTAAACTGCACCACACACAGCATCTGATTTGGTTGCATGCACACATAACTCACGTCCTTGGACCGTAAAAAGCTCTGATATCATGAAATGGGAGAGCTACAGATAGAAAATGAAGTACATTCCATATTATTGATGTATAAAAACTGTAATGTTTATATACAGTAGAAATAACAGAGTAGAACAGAGAACGTGAACAAAACAGAAAAAAAAAAACTGAAAGAAACCCATGCACGTAATGCATGCCCCATGCACGTAATACCCATACACGTAACTACCCATCATGCATTTTGACTTAAATCTCAACAGATGGAACCTTCGAACTTCAAAGTCACTTTGACTTCATACAATATTTACAAAGAAAGGGGAAGAAAGAAAAGATCTTTGGTGTGTGACGAAAAAAGAAGAGAGAACGAAAAGTAGTTGTGACAAGAAAAGAAGAGAGAATGAAAAGTGGTTGTGACGAGAACTGAAGAGCTTTGGTGCGTGAAGAGAAAAGAAAAACTTCTACTTCTTTATTTTGTTTTTTTTAAATAATAATCTCTGTTGAATAATTTCTATTTTTTTTTTAAGAAGAGTTTTGCTTTTTTTTTAAATAATTACATGTGTCAAATAATGAATGAGTCATACTATCTCTCGTTAGACAGGTCACCATATATTTAACGTTGTTTAAAATAAGGACCTATTCCAATTATTTCAAAAGTATAAGTATAGGGATCATTTTTATGTGAACTTTAACTGAAGGATTATTTCCAATTTCACATGAAAATATAAGGACTAAAACATACTTAACCCTAAAATAAATCTCTAATAATTAAGATCTAATAATTAAAATTAATTATTATTTTAAATTAATAAATTATTAAAATAGTAAAGAGTGAATTTTTGATTCTTATTTTAAGATTAAATATGTATATTCTTTTATAATTTATATATTAAATTATTATATCTTCAATAAAAATAATTTTATATTAAAATTAAAATTTTCAAAATAATTTTTTTTAATTAATTAATTTTGTATAAATATATTAATATTAAAAAAAATAATCCATTAACTCAATAATTTAACATAAGATTAGACTAAACTAAAATTTATTATTATTTTAAAATACAGACTATAAATTTTTTTTACTTGATTCATAAAATCAAGTTAGATTCTTTTATTTTGACCATTGTAATAAAAATATCATTAAATAATATTTTTTAAATTAACATTTGTTATCTCCATTCTAACTCAATTTAAAATGAAGTTAGAGTAAATGAAAAATAAAAGACATTCAAATAAAAAATCTTTCATTTTTTTTTCCTGACCTGAATAGGCTTTGACTCATTATTTAGTAATACACAAATAACAAATTTGAATATTATAATCCAATTAACCTTTTTCCTTTTTGGTAGAAGTAAGGAAACAAGAAAACAAAAATGGTTCAACTTGTATTCACTAATTTGAATGATGAATCAAGGTGTGTTATTTTGATGATTTTTTAAGCGAATTGTATGTAAAGTAAAATAAAATAGGCTTACATGAGTGTTTGTTTTTTGTCCTATATTTCCCCGACACACCACATTGATTAGGGATCATTTTCACAACGCACCAAGTTTATCCATAGAATTGACATACTACATGAGTTAAAATTAATGGACATCAATTTTTTTAGCAATTTTATTCTCACACGAGTATTTGATAGCAATATTTCAAAATATATTCAACCACGTTAAATTTATGTATTAATTAAATACCTTAAATTTTCATCTTAATTGACTATTAAAATTTACCGCTTTTGAAATGAACGTTCGAAATTTATTTCAATTATTTTATTTTTATCCTTTTTAGAAATGATTGTTTCTAAAAATTGGAATTAAATTTCTTAAAATGTTTGGAATAAATTTTTTAAGCTTATGTTTTGGATAAAAATTAAAAGCTTAAATTTCAGTGAAATACATTTTGCAAATTAAATGTACGAAAATATACCCCAAAATTTCTTTCATGTCAAACTAAGCTTTGAAGAAAATTGAAACAAAACTTAATTTACAATCAAACCCAACTGAAACTCAAACAATATTTTTTTAGGTTTTAGCTTTATAAAATGACATTGAGAATCTCCTAAATCTAAAAAAAAAATATTATGGATTAGTTTAAATAAAATATATTTTAAAGTATTTATTAAAAAATGAAATCAAAAATTAAAAATATAAGAATAATAAAAAAAGTGAAAAAAAAAACAGCTGTAAACAGTTTCATATAAACACTTAAAAAGGGAAGTTTAATCATTCAGTGCAGTGCTCAATCAGTTAAATGTCATTTAACTCAATTGAAAACCGTTCAATAGGTCATTCTGAAATATTATATTATATTCATTTTAGTTACCATTTCATAAAAATTCATACAAAAATAAGCATATTTTTTAAAGCGATCTTCTTCGGTTTTTATTTTATTTTTTTGAGAAAAATGAAAACTAAATAAATTAACTTTTCTGTACTCAAACAAAATTATACAAAAAAAAGGTATATAAGAATATTTCTGCAAAGTAAAAGCTAATTTTATTTTATAATTTTTTTTTTCTTAAAAGTCCTTTGTGATCAAGACCCTAAATCTAAAACAAAATGACAACATTTTTTCAACACCAATTATGCATTTAGTTTTAACAAGGAAAATAAGAAATGAAACTTCTTAACATGATTAATCTAAAATTCAATCAGGTGGACGACATGGATGTTTATGTATGCAATTGAGAGGAATCTGACATATAAATTCTAATCAAACAGAACAGTTTCAACCACCATAGGAAGCTAAAAGGATATAAAAAAAAAACATCAAGTCACTTTTAAAAGTCTGTTTCATGTCAGAGTGAGTCAGCTACCATGAACCTTCAGCACCCACAGTTGGATTCTTGAAGGCAGAGAACTCCCAGTACGTTTTCAAAGAGAATGGTGGGAAAACAGTGACGCCTTCGTCAGTAATTTTAGATATCTGCCAACAGTCGTACATTACACTTAAGTATCATAAATTATTCATTATGCAATAGATAAGAATCCATTTCAATTCGACTAAGAGAAGTGTTGGCAATATATATTTCACTCTCTAATATACTCCTAATACACACTTTACACTAGTTAAAATTTGTTAGGCATAGTGAAATCATGAACAGAGCACTTTGGATAAGAATTGACACCCTGTGAAATTGTGACTTTCAATGAATTTTAACTAATAATAATAATAAGCGAGAGAGTGTTGCTAATAGTTTTACACGAATCTAACAACAAAGGGAGGATGTCAGGATGCAATCATTTTAATTTTAGTTCAGATCCTAGCCTCGATCCTCACATACACATAGGACATACAGAGGGTGCAATAAAGGTTCTGTTTACCCCTGATTTACATCTGCAACATATATACAGTTTAGCAGCAAGAACAGTAACATAAGCAGCAGTAAATTTGACTCCTATAATAATGACGACCAACACTCTACAAAATAAGTACAGCAAAAGAAATTGAAAATTTACGGCAGACACAACTATTAGGTGATGACAAGCAAGCAAACATTCTAGGAGTTAGTAGTAACACCTTATAGCTTGTCTATGCCATGTTATGATGATTAGAGTCAGCCAAAATTAAATTATTTATGAAAGAAAAGAAGGAAACATCGTCTTTTTTTCAAGATTCACACGATATTTCACACAAGTACAGACACAGCAAATTGCTATCTCTGAATGAACCTACTAATTTTTCCTATCCCATGAGCTATAGAAGTGGAGATTAGACCCCATAAGTATGCAAATCCACGTAGAGAAGATCACAAAGACATCTAGGTAAGCATGTGAGCTAAAATCCAACTAATGAATTTTATCATATATGCATAAGCCTGAACCACATACATTATCCAAAATTAAGAGAACTCCAGAAAAAACCACTGATCAATTTTCAAATACTTCCCTTACAAATTCCATTCATAATCCAAATCAATCAAAATATTGAGCAAAATCTCTAAACATGAACATAAAACATGAGAATTTTAGAAATGTATAGCGATTAACAAAGGGGAACAATTAAGCATATGTAAATGGAGGACAATAATATCTTATTGGACTTTGAATTTTATTAAGGAAAAAGGATTGAACTTGGAGGTTGTGTTGACTATATAGAGCATTGAACAAAATAACTACTGTCTATCCCCGACAAATTTCTCATACTTGCTATTGATGACCTATTGGTTGGGTTGGTAGGACATGTGATATTGGTTTACCAGTTAGCCCAGCAAAAATAACACCTTAGAAGGAGTTTTATTGTAGAGATGGACAGGCCTTCATGTGACATGTTTCTTGCTAAAGAAAAAGAGGTCAAACAACTAACAAAGGACACGATGACATGTTACAGCAATTAAACATAAGTTGGAAAGAGCATATCATCCAACGAAATCACTGACTGGTAAGGAAGTAGAGAAGTGGAGTTATAGGCGGGAGACTCTATATAATTGAAATCCTTGGCTAGACAACACAAGCAGCACAACTTTACGTGTCTTTCCAAATCCTAGAGAAGGTGGGTACAGTAGCTTTTCATTTGGAACTGCCAGACTAAAGCAGAATCTGTCCACTATTTCATGTATGGCTCTTGAAGAAAACCATGTCAAGTTCAGCATAAAACGCCAGGATCTCTCGAATAAGTCTGGCATTGTATGATAGCAGCCTGCACCTTCCTTGGGTACAGACTGCTTCCGTTCATTCTCAGTAATGCAGTTCAATATTTCTCTTTAACCTCTGAACCAGTTCTAAATATATATTTTGATAAATGGAGAAGGGAAGGGGAAGAGCCAAGCAGAGGAAGAAAAGGAAACAGTATAAAACCTGGATTTTGTTGACTGCAGACCTATCCCGGTACAAAAGCACACGCATGCACTTTTCTAACAACTTGACACCCTCTTCAAAGGTCAAGTTTTCATGCCACTCATCACGAAGAATTGGCCTAGCAAGATGATTTCCAAGCCCAGTTGCTACATGGTTGTCCTCAAAGTTGATGCCAATCATATTAACCTGGATAAGATACACAGATTTTAATTGCTGGGAGTTAAAACTGGAAGGTGGAACTGGAAAAAACAAACCAACAAACACAAATGCATACCATGCCAAGGTACTTCTGGCCGTTTTTAACTCCACCAAGCACTAGTGCATTCCACAATGGATTGAACTTGTTCCGCCTATTGTACATCACGCGGGTTAAATAATTGTGAACCTCCTTCGGTCCTAGAGAATTCCCATCATCCCACATGTTGTCGTAAAGGCTGAACAAAACTCAAAAACTAAACACTCAGATGGGAGCTTTTGTTGTAGCATTAAGATAAAGGGAAAAACTACCCAGATATAGTATTTTACTGTGGTCAAAACAAAGTAAATAAGCAAGCCTAGCATGGAAAACAGAGCAGACGCAACCCTTTTCAGCACTAAACTTATTTGAAATAACCGGTTCACACTGAGTAATGGTTATCATTAAAAAAGAAAAGGCACTAACATAAGCTCATCAAGGTAGCGCAGAATCTCCTGAAAGTCACTTATCTCCCCGCTAGCACCAAGGAGAGAATGTTTTCCGACAGGCTTGATACGCTCAACACTCTTGTAGCGCAGAGTAGATCCATATGAACCTATCAACATATTCCCCATTCACATGATATTCAGTGTATTCCAATACATAAAATACTCAAAATCACTACAATGAACATTTCAGAGATGGCACATTCATGAATCAGAAAACAACTAATAATAACAGCGCTAGTAGCAAGGAAATATAAAAGGTATTCCTCCAATTAAGTTATTTCTTTAAAACAAAGTATTCTGAGAAAGCAATTTCCACAATAATCAGATAAAGAGCATCTTGAAACGAAGATAAAAAAGCAAATTGAATGTCAGACCTCCCATATCAGCGGCCATGAGAATCCCATCTTTGTATTTGATAGCAACTACAGAGGATCCAGTCACGTATGGGTACCTACGGCAGAAAGCATAATTTAGGGCAAAAAAAAAATACGAAATATGCAATTTAAGAGTAAAATCAAATCATTACTGTGAAAACCCTAAAAAACATTAAAGAAGGAATGGGGGGAAGTGTGAGAGGGTATACTTACAGAGTTCTCTGAGATTCAGCTACACCGTCCATGGCAACAAATATCTATCACTTGGATCGTTCGTTGCAGTGGTAAAGAAGAAGGGAAGAACGGAAGAAAAGAAGGGGAACACAGAAGAATAGATAGAATATAGTTTGCTTAAATAGGTTTCATTTCGTAAGGCCCAATCCAAACCAAACTGAACTTGTCTAACATAAAAAAACCTTTTGAATAATTTTTTCTTATAAGTCTTTTTAAAATAATTCTGGTAAGTTAATATTAATTATAATTATAAATTGATTTTTTAAATAAAATTTTTTATTTTTACCTTAAAAATATACAACGACAAAAAATACTTAAAATGTATTTCATTAAATTGAAAACCAGAAAATCAATAATTGAAAAAAATATAGTTTTATAAATAAATAACACTTGTATTTTATCTTCTTTAGACTCGTAAGAGATACTTGGGTCACCTAAAAAAATCTACAGTTTACAAAATATATGAATCTTAAAATTTTGACTTATTTTATTTGCTTAATCTTAATATGAGAATCATATGTATTTTTAGATAACTTATTTTATTACTTAGATAATTTAAAAAAAAATTATAGCTAGGTTTTCAGAATTAATAATATATTAATTATACCCATAGACTATGTGGAGAAGATACAAAATTATTGAAAAAAAAAACTTTTTAGAGTGACTTTGTAGTATGATTTAAAAATAAAATAAAATTGGATCGAAATGATTTTTGTTAGTTGGTCTGATAGAATTGGATCAAATTTTAAAATAAGGTTCATTTAAAGATACTAATCAAATCAAATTAAAAGTAGACTATTTTTAAATGATCTGTTAAGTTAAATTGAATCCATTTAACACCTCCTTTCACCAGTATCTTTTTAAAGTAATTACTAATTTACTATGTCAAATAATTAAAATCTTATAATAATATTAATAGCATAATATGTTATTTATTTATTATTGTTGTATATTATAAAATAAAACATGCTATAGAAATTTTATGCCTTTTAAATTATATATTATAAATTTTATGTTATTTATTTATATAAAATATTTATAATGCTACTCGAATTTTTAAATTTTAAAAAGGATTTAGGTTGTGAAAAAAATGGATTAAGTTAAAAACCATACAATCGTTCAAATAAAAACAAATTATAACAGAAACAAAATAAATTCTGATTGACATATTAAAAAACTTTAATTGTTTTTTTCTTAAAGAACACTTCCACTAAATTTAGCTAATTCGTTAAATAATATTAAAATATATATGAATATAATATATAACATAATATTTTACTTAAAAATAATAATTTTACATATAATGATAAAAAAATATTTATTAGAAAAATATCAACCTTTAAATCAATCTAAGCATTTTTAAAACCCAGTCATAAATATCTTTATTAATAAGATATAGACGTTGAGCAATATAAATATAGAAGAAATAGTTATGTATTAATGACGTAACAATGGACATACTTAATCATTGGAATCAACCTAATCAATGTGGAACTAACTTATCCTGTGGTTGTTGTGAGAACTACTTAGCTATATCTTATATACGGTTTATATTATTTTACAAAATGGCATACGTTCTCAATTAAGCCTAGAATAAAAGAGGCATGTATTCATACTTCAGTATGTAAAAGAAGGCATTTAAGAAACAAATATTCAGACACCATATTTAACTAGCAACTAAAACTAGTACAAACATGAATTTTGAAATCATGATCCGTAAGTAATCAACAATTATGAGCGAGTTTGAACACTCCAACAAACTTTTGGTATATTGTTGAATCTTATTTCATTCATAAGCAAACGCAAACCCATTTGTACTTTTTAGGACCATAAAGGAAATTTTGATACGTAAACCAAAGATGGAATGCAACTTGAGAAGCATCAAATGGGCACTACACACTTAAGCAGTAAAGACTAAGCTCAAAGACCAAGCTCTCTGCTTCTTCTGATAGTTAATACTAGAAGTTTCGGCCAAGATCAACAATTAAAGTTGCAACTATTTGAAAATCCTTGAACACGCTGGCATTCACAGAAGAAAATTTGATGTCAGATGAACAATCGATTAACTTACAATGAGGTTTCCTGCAATTTCTGGCCTTTTTGCTATCTCAATTGCAGCAGCAGCAGAAGATGATATGATAAATGTCTCCACCTAATACACTTATAATACGAACAAAATAACATTAAAAACTGTCTTCTCCTAACCCCTCAACAATGGTGTCGAAAAAGCATGGACAATTCAATCAAATCATGCTACTAACAAAAGATAATGCACATAAACAAAGTCAAGGCATGAGAAGAAGTAAGACCACTGAAAAGTTTAGTAGCAAACCTTCTTTCAGATAAAGAAGTTTAGCGGTGCCAATAGCTTCTTCACTTGAAATCTAAAATCACACAAAACAAAATATAGGAGTTACTATCTGAACTTTCGGAATGTATGGATAAATTATCATTACTCTTGGTTAGTGATGCTTCATCCCATATAAGTGAATTAATTCACTTCCAGCCTTCAAATTCAAGTTCTATGTCACCAACCAGAGAAAAGTGATAATAGAACAGATTTCATATTCATACTAATGGGAATGAACTTCTCTTAATTTATTCTCGACAGTTTAGATGACACTTAATAATGATGTGTGCTAATGCTAGATTTGAATTTTGACTTGTTTATGCAGTCTATATTACAGTGTTGAGACTAATATTCTCTTACTTTTGTGTGTATTATTATTACTGGTAATTATTAATTGACCATAGTATATTTCAAGGCACTGTCATGAATGTGTCATTCTTGTTAAATACCACTAACATAGCCTCACTCCTGAATCTTAGTTAATCCAAATTAAACACAGATGAAAATAGGTAAGCTCTTCAACGCTGTGGAATAACTGCAACTTCGAACCATTTGTTTGCTAAGGGCAGAACTTACGCACAAATTGAAGAATCAAAGCAATGTCTTTGAATCAGATACGTAATACCATGAATCTGATAAATCTTACATCCAAAAAAGAGAAAATGTGAAATGCTTGATTGAGGGTTGGAACATTTGTTCATAATATGATAATAGTATTGGCATTTGCAGAGGTAAACATTAAAAGGCTTGTGGACAATAAAATGATATAACATGTTCTCCAATGCAACATTCTTGATGTATAATAGAATTTTTCTTTGGTTGGGAAGATCCAATACTTGACTATATGCATTTGTCATCTAAAGTCATTTCATTTTAAACTAATTCGGTAAATATATTATGTGAGGAGGGAAATGAGAAGATTCACTTACGTTTCATGAATGATAAATATCATAAGGTGATAGGTAGAACTCATAGTGAACATGGAAGAAGAAACAAAGGGACGTGATCCTATTATATTCTTGTGGATAATATAATGTAGGCTTGATGGCCAAAAATAATTTACTTTTGCTGATATGCTCGTATCTGAGTCATTTCCTGGAACACATTTTTTCGGTGGACTCAACCTATATTTTTTCTTGGACTCATCCTGTTTCGAAATTCTCTAAATTTGAATTCCTTTTAAATTTCTGATGTACGATCCATGAGACAAGTTTCAATTCATTGTTGAGAGTTAAAAGCATAACCCATGTAAAATATACAGAGCTGGTAGTCCCATATTGATTAAGTTATGGTGACGTGAGTTAACAATATTGTTTAAATATAGAGCAACTGGCAACCTTTAAACATACTTACCTGGATGGGGTCGATGGATGATCATGAAGGTCTATGGCTTAGGTTGATGACTTCTATTGCACTTTAGAAGGGTGTCACCCTAAGGTCTCCCCAAGTGGGAGAGCCTACATCATAATTTGTGATAGTGGGGGCCAGCGTACGCGCGGTCCCTTTCAAGTGATTAAAACTTCTTTTGTTTTTTTTGAAGTATCTTACTTGCAAGCGCCCCTTATATTATTTATATAAAATATCTTACTTTCATATAGTAGTTATCAATTATCTTATTCATGTTATACATTTTTTTATTTTTTTCTAAACTATCTTACTTCTGAGTTAATGCTCCTCATAGTGTATTATGTCTAAATAAGTTTTATCATTAGTCTAATTTTTATTATGTTTAGATATTTTATCAATGATTTGTTTTTGTGATGTTTAAATATTTATCATTGATTTATTTTGTTTCATAGTCAAGTTTTAATTAGATTGAATTTCTTAGTTTAAAATCATGTTTAAATGTAGAGTTATGTTCGATATATTTTCCTTTTAGATCCAACATTATAAATTCCTAATTAAAATCTAATTTGAAGTGGTTGTAATTTTATTTATACGAAAACTTACTAAAAATTAGATTAAAATTGTAACTTCAATAAACAGTTTAAATTACAATTCTAATCTTTCTTTTAATTAATGGCCTCTGCAATTTTATTTTTCTTTCCTCCAATTTTCGTTTACTCATCAATTTTCAACTATCAACTCCTTTCAAATATTAGTTAAATATCACACTTAATCATAAGTCATATGCATCACTAGTCAAACATTAAATTAAATGGGCGAATGCTAAATTAATAGTTGAATAGGAATTATAACGTTTTTATAATTTAGAAATTAAAAATGAAAGAAAAGCAATCAAATTCCTGTCCCTGAATTTTGAGAACTAGAAGTACAAGTTAGGAAATAAAATTTATTTGATCTTTGACAGAATGGAATATTCTACCTCATTATTCCTTTAATAGTCTCATTATATACGTGTTTCATATGTAACTATTTTCTCCAACAAAATCCGTAAAGTTAAGTGCCTTTAACTTCTCTTCCAAACCCATGTTGTAAGACGGAATAGTCTATATCTTTACTTTTTCAGTGCAATCTCACTATTAATGGGTTGTAGGAACCACCAAAAAACATGTGTCTTTTAGGTTCCAACAATCAATGAAGTTACCATGACTGAGTTGATACAGCTCAAATGACAATTTTGATTTGAGGCAATAATGATTTATTAAGCAAGAATGCTACTTGTAAAAAATACAAGCAAACCCCAAATTTTAGACTACTAAAATTTCAACATTTCATATGTTCAGACTTCGGAGTGTTTTCTCCATTACATGTTTAAGAAGCAAACATTCAAACACTACATATAACTAGTAACTAAAACTACAAGCACGAGTCTTAACATCATGATCTGTGTAAGTGATCAACAATCATGACCGTATCTGAACTTTCCACCAAACTTCTAATATTATTATACCTCACAAGAAAATAAAACCCCTTTTTTTTTTTTAGATTCATAAGGGAAAAAATAGATACATAAACCAAAGAGTGAATGCAACTTCAGATGCATCAAATGGTCACCACCACACAGAGTAGCAAACTAATATGGATTTATATTTAAGGTTCAAAGACCAAGCTCTCTGCATCTCGCTTTACAGATTCGAAGAGCACAGATGATAGATAACGTTCTCCGAAGCTAGGGAAGACCACCTACACAGGTTTTCATTGAGCTTATCAGTGATGGAATATATGTGTGTGTGTGTGTGTATATATATATATATGTAAACAACTGCATCTATAACAACCAAATAGGATATCTTTGGTAGCTGATACTAGAAGGTTTTGCCAATGATCAGCAATTAAAAATGCATCTATTCTGGCAATCTTTGAAAACATTTATATATTTAATCTAATGCGGAACTAACAATGATATTCACAGAAAAAAAAAATTGATGTTAGGTGAACAATAGACAAACTTACAACAATGAGTTTTCCAGCATTTTCTGGTCTCTTTGCTATCTTAATTGCAGCCGCAGCAGCAGCACCAGATGATATCCCCACCTGCAATATTTTATAAAACAAACAGAATAGCGTTAAAAATACTGCCTCCTACCAACCCCAAACCATGGACAATTCAAAATCATGCTCTAACAAAAGATGATGCACATAATTAAAGTCAAGGCATGAGAAGAAGTAATACCACTGAAAATCTATATATCTTTCAGGTGAACTTACCAGTAAACCTTCTTTCAAAGCAAGGTCTTTAGCAGTCTGAATAGCTTCTTCACTAGAAATCTAAAATCATAAACATATATAAAAGTTACTATTTGTATTTTCAGAATGCATGGATAAAAGTTATTATAACTTTGGTTTAGTGATGCTTGCTTTATAAAAGTCAATCAACACACTTTCAGCCTTCAATTATCATAAGACAAAATTCTTTATATAAGCACAAATGAACTTATCAAAAAGGTTTGTGGCTTACTTGAATAACTTCATCAAGTAGATCAACGTCGAGAACACCAGGGATGAAGCCAGCACCAATTCCTTGGATCTTATGAGAACCTTATATCCATGCACGTCAGGAAAAAGGTACACAGGGAGGTAAACATTTGATAAATGTTAAACCATTAAAAAAGTAGCATGTTTTTTCTTTTTTTTGTTGATGTTATAATGGTAGAATGTGAACAAACTTAAGGAGACATTAAGCACACACAAATGCTCAATAAGCACATGCTTCATTGACATCACCAGTGCAGTAATGGTGAATGACAAAGCACTCATTCCTTTAAATTTATGAAACTAAATTCAAACGACAGATCAACAGTGTTTTCCATTAGAATGAGAAACCAAATGAAATTATAAATTGATTTGTGTTATATCCCTGAAAATACCAACTGTGACTTACATTTTTGGATTCTCCCGGTAAATTTCATAACAAAAAAACTTGATAGACAAGGGAGATATGATACCCAGTTAGGATCCAATTGTATTTGTAAGGAATGGGACTTAAGTCTTACTTTGGAAATATTTTGGATTCTTGTTCGAGGTTTATAAGGCTTTGGACTTTCACAATGACTAGATTTTGTAGTGTGGAAGACTTGAAGCTAGCACTGGAACGAGACCTTTAAAGGTCTTAGGTTCTCTAAATAAAACAACTAACTTTTTTAATGTGGTTCGCTCAAATTTCTTATCACATCTTGCAATAGACAGAAAAATGTTTGTATTGATTTTCAGTTTCAGTAGCCAAAATGTGAAATGGCAATGGAAGATGGAGTTAAAACATCAATACATTACAATTCCAAATTTTAGAAACCTCAATAAAATATAGATATTTACGTGGAGAACGAGAAAAGGAGTAGAACCAACTCTAGATATTAAAATACAATATTGATATATGGTGTGTAATAATGTGTTACAATATTCAAAGCACTAGTCCCTATTTGTACTAAAATATTAGACTCTTAATCCTGATTAAACAAACAAACAAATCATCAAATATGGAAATCACTCATCAGATATAATCTCAAACGCTTTAAAATATTCTAGGATGCAACAATAAGATTGAGATATTTTCTTAAAATTCTAACAGGTCTAATAATCAAACAGTTGCCATGAAAACAGATAGAAAGTCAATACTCACCAGGTTTTCCTCCAGACAGTACTGGACTTTCTACTGGTTCAACACCATATAGCTAGGTAAAAACAAGGGGAAAATCATAAACAATACAGGGGGAACATTAGAAAGATTAACTCATACACCATGAGAAAATTAAAGCCTAACCTTTATATGAGGATTCTGTTCTTTCAGATATTTTCCAGCACCTGTTACCGTACCTCCAGTTCCAATCCCAGAGACAAGAGCATCAACCTTCTCACTGGAGCCCTTCCAGATCTCCGGTCCAGTGGTTTCATAATGAACCTAAGAATAGGAGGAATGAAAGTATGTCTGAATACTCCACAACAACCAACTGATTTTCCAAACAAAGGGCATTGACACAATACCTTTGGGTTGGCAGGATTTTCAAATTGCTGAAGCATGTATGAATTGTGAGTCTCTTCCCTTATCTCTTCTGCCTTCTGAACAGCTCCTTTCATACCCTTGGCGGGATCTGTGAGAACTAACTTAGCTCCAAAAGCTAGAAGAATGGTTCTTCTTTCAAGACTCATTGAAGAAGGCATGGTTATAATAAGTTCATAACCCTTGGCAGCTGCCATGAATGCCAAACCAATGCCAGTGTTTCCGCTGGTAGGCTCAATGAGGACACTCTAATAACATGAACAGCAGTAAACCAGATTAATACCCAACAAGTACACAGTAACAAGTTTCCTTGAAAGATGACTGTGCAATGATAATGCATTGGTTATGTGTTTTACAGAACCCCTCTTACAGAACTGACTCTGTTCACGTTTAAAAATTTAAAGCTAGATGATGTCACTATCAAAAAGAATCAAACAACAATTACTCATACAATACAGCAACAAATTGGGAAGAATAAGCAGAATGAAGCTTTGATGCAATATTAAAGATAGGTGTCTTAAACACGAATTCAAATATACAAGGAGAGGACAATCTAAAGCAAGAACTAACTTCACCCGGTTTGATGAGTCCCTGCTGCTCAGCGTCTGCAATCATGCTATATCCTATCCTGTACGAAAATGAATAATTATATTTATTACATAAGTTTTCTGAATACATACTATCGAATGGCATAAGAGACTTGGCCTTCAATCATACAACATCTTTGCCAAATTTTTTTATCAATCTAAGCATTTCTAAAAGGGTGTTATGAGCATAAACAGGTAAGCATCAAACCAATCATGCCATCTCTTGCCAACATACATACCTGTCTTTGACACTGGAGCAAGGCTCCATCATTTCTAGCTTCGCAGCAACTTTGGCAACACAGCCATCGACGACGCGGTTGAGATATACCAATGGAGTTTTGCCAATTAACTGCACATTACAAAAATGAATTCATATGTACTGTGAGCTAAAGACAAAAAAGACCTGGGTTGAACGTGCATGACTTACTTCAGTCACATCTTTTGCAATGCTTGACTCTTCAACCGCCATATTAAGCAAAGCACTGCATAACCATAAAAATGGCTCAAAGATTCCGGTAATTAAAAACAGAAAAATGCTTCATCTTCATAAACTAATTTATCCAGACTAGTATCAGCTGAGTGGCCTTATCCTATGACGAAAACCAGATCAAGAATTTCCAATTTTCCATTCAGAATGCATCGCAATTAGTTTGGTATTTTCTTTCTTGTTGTAAATATAAATACCAACGGCAAATAAGAACCAGATAATGACCCATATAGTAAAAAAAACACGGAGAATCAGATAAAAAGATATAAAACAAAATAGTTTAAGCCTAAGATTGACCTGGAAAATTGTACTGTTATAGTGCTCATCTTTCAAAAATATTGCTAGTTCAAAACCTGAAATTCTTTCAAGTGACACGAATCGATCTACTAATCGAAAACACAATGAAGAAACATGCAGCAAAAATAAGATAAGTAGATTAAGCCCCGATGCGAAGTTTTAACTTGAAAATCAAAAGTCAACAACAGGGTTAAAAACTAGATTATCAATTAACAAATCCACAAGTAAGGTACATAAAACTCAGGTATCTATTCTAAGCGAAGCAAGCATATGAAAATAGCAGGCATAAACACAGTTGAGAAAAGGAGGAGTTCAGAGTTGCAGAGATAAAGCAAAAAATATAGAAAGTTAGAGGTTGGTCAGAACAATGCAATTGCAAGGCTCACCACAGAATGAATCACCCCCACGGCACAACCTTATCCGACCAAATCACGATTCTGATTGAAAGATAGATAGAGAAGACTTTATATGTGAAGAGGATGAGAATTCCTACAAGCTCTTTTCCAAACAGCTAAGGTTTTAATTTCTGTAATACATACAGATTTTAATTTCTCTCTCACCCATAGTTTTTGTTTTTTTGTCTTCTTCTTTTGGTCTTTGCCTTTTTCTTTTTTGTTCTTTCAAATTTCCAAAAACTTCCAACACTGATTTGGAAAATCACATCAAAGTACGAACATAAATTCGGCTTCCTTAAATGTTCAGCTGAGATTTTTTTAGCCATAAGACTTTTGAAAATTTTGCTAATTATATTTTATTTTTAATTATTATTATTATTATTTTTAATCATTGTAGATTGTACCTAACAGACATAGATTAAAAAATAGAGATGTAAATATAATTGGAGAAAAGTTTAAGAGTATCAATTATTTGATTTTTTTTTTAATTTTAAGTTTGTAACGGTAAAATTGATTTATCATTCATTATTATGAAAAAAAAATTGAACTTCCCATAAAAAAAAACAAAAAAAAACTGACATATGAGTTTGTGTCTTTCACATATAATAATAATAATAATAATAATAATAATAATATTATAAAGTCACCCTATTTTACGTATATCAATACCCAATGTCTTTAAACTATTAAAAACAATTCAAGACATTTATTCATGCGAGGGAAATATAGTTTCCAAAAACTATACGTCAATGAAAGTTTCAAAACTAACCCCAAGTTAATAAAATATTACTCCAATGGAGAATGCTTTTCCTAACAACAAAAAATAATGATTTTGTGGTACTGAAAATGTTTTTGACATTAATTAATAATTTGTATATGAAATAAAAAATTTAAGTTATCATTTCAAATTATTTATATTGATATTATTGTATAATTAACTTATGACCTCTCAAATTAAAATTTATAGAAGAAAAATGTTATTTATATTTTTAAAATAAATATTAAAAATAAAAATAGTATTTTAAAATTAAAAATATATATCTCACAGAAATTAAATTAGAATTCACATATCTAGGAAGACTATAATTAATGTTTTAACTTTCATAAAAATAAAAGAAATTATAAAACGAAAATCAAAACTCAAAATATTTAAATAAATTAAAATTATATTTAAACTTTTTGTGTATCTAAATTATTTGTATGAAATATTTTTAACTTTCTTAATAATAATAATTTTATTAAAAAAAACTGAATCACTTTTCCTCTCAATCACACAACTCCAAATCCAAATTCTGTTTAAATTAATTCATATCTGTAATTATATATTTATCTACCACCAAGTCAATGGGTACGTCCTGCTGTATACAAAGATCCAGGCATCACGCAGAATGAATCAGGAGTAAATTTAAAATCATTTTTTTATATAAATTTTAGAATTATTTAATTTATATGTTCAGATTTGCATCGAACACTAATTGTTTAAAAGATAAATAATTAGTATTTTTGCAAGTTCACTTGATTTGTATAATTATTTTTCTCTTCATCCTTTATATATTTTATGTTTTTTCTTTGTTAATTATATATTATATTTTCTCTAATTTTCTATCTTGTAATATTTTATCATTAATTATACATAGTATTTTTTCAATAATAACAAATAATTATGAAAAGAAAAAAAATTATATGTACTGTAGTATATAATTATAGTTTGTACATCAATAAAAATTTTATAATATAAAGATTTATCAATAGTCGAAATTTACAGGTTATATTCTATCACAGTTGTGTTTAATTTACGTTAAAAAGAAATTATCTGAATTAAAATTTAAATATGATTTAATTTAATTTTTATTAAAAGAAAAAAAGTCAAACCAAATCAAACAAATATTTTACGATTTAGTATGAACAGATTTTACAGATTTTTCATTTTAAATATTATAATAAAATAATTGTTCAATAAAAAAACTATTATAAAACCATAATGTATAATTAGTGTTATATTTATAATTTTAATTTATTTTTATATACTTTTAACTTCAATTTTAAAAATGATAATATATTTCCTGAATTATAAAAAATTAATTGATTCAATTATAACTAAATGTGATCTTATGACTTAATTTTAAAGATATATATTATAATATTAATTCAGTTGGATTTAGATTAGTTGTTCATTATTAAATAGAAAATTGATTTGAGTTATCATTTTTTTTAGCTAATAAAAAAATTTGATCACTTTTAATTTTTTTATTGATTTTTTGTTTTTATTTTTTAATTAATTTAATTTTCAACATATATGATATATTATATATTACAAATATTTTGTAGTCTAATTTATGAATTAAATATTAGTTAACATATTTAACTATATTATGTTTTTATTTCTTATAATTCCATTTTATAGAATTAATATACTAAAATATATTAATTTGTGATTCAATACTATTAAATTGTTTACAAAAATAATTTTGTACTACGCAAATTAAAATTCATTACTCGAATAAGGCTTAACTTTAGTATAAAATTATCCTTAGTATTATATTAATTTAGTCAAATGAAAGGTTGCTTAAAATGTTAATCTGTTTACCAACATAATATTAAATAAGTTTAACAGGTGTTATTTTGACATGTATGCATATATAATAATAAGTGTCACCCCAATATTTAATGGTATTTGATTTGTAACAGCTGGCAATGCTAATAATTATTTAAAAATAATAATTTTGTGGCAGAATAGAATAAAGTGAAGGAGACAGCACATTACCACATTGTTGAACATCCCATGCCTAGCACATAACAATAAATTCAAATGCCAGTATTAATTATTAATTATCAATTCTACCACTTAAAGTATCTATCAAGACTACTTAGATTATTTTATTATCAACTTTATATATAACTTGTTTCAAATCAAAGAAACTTATTTAAAATAACAAGGAATGATTTTATCCAATTTTAAATAACTTACGTAAGATTTATAATAAAATAATATTTTTATCTATATAGAAACCTATTTTTAATTTTTAAGTTTTGTTTAAATATAAACATTATGTAATTGGCGTTTTTAAATATTATGAAAAATTGATATTGATTCTCAAGTGAATGATTGGAAGATCATATGTCATCGGGAAGACCGAGAAAATAAAATGAAAAAATTATATTTATTTATTTAAAAAAATGATATAAAATAACTAGGGTTAAACATTTTGGTGTGTGTTTTAATTTTATTTGCAAAAATTAATTTCATTTTTATATTTTTAAAACTAAATTATTAGTTCTTAAATTTTAAAATAAATTATGAATTTAATTTTTTAATCAATTTATAACCATTAAAAATTTATTAAAGATCAAATTTAACTATAAATAATTATTAAATTATATTTAATCCTTTTATCAACTTTATTAAGGTGATTTTATTATATTTAAATACTAAATTTAAGTATAAAAAATTAACTAAATTTGTTTTTTTTTTGAAAAATTGGAAATTAGATAGATTAATTTGAAAGTATAAGGATTAAAGAAAATTTTATGAAAAAACACAAGGATAATTAAAAATATATATTATTAAATTAAATAAGTAAATATTAAGTAATCATATAATCACAAGATTACATATTTATGTGGAGATATTATTTTTAAAAAATTAAAAGTTTATCTTACATTTTTTATTATTTTTCTTCTAATATATATATATATATATATATATATATATATATTAAGTAAAAAATAAAATATGTGAATATCATAAAGAGTAACAAAATTATATTTTAACTTCTTTTAAAATAAAATCAATTAATAATATTAAAATTAAAATAATAAGGATTTAAACTATACTAAATTTTGTAAACTACTTAATTTACTTTCTTTATTATCAATCCACATTTAATCTTATCCTTAAGGGTGTAAAGTATAAATAACAATCAACTTTAATAATTAACAATACTTCAAGTTACGTATACTATTAAAAACAATCAACTTTAATAATTAACAATACTTCAACTTACGTATACTATTATGAAAACTAAATTGTAATGAATATAAATACTAGTTGGATAGCTTATTGTTGCAAAACAAGACAATGATAGTTTAAAATACAATCTATTATATTGTATAATAATAATAATATTTAAAATATTATTATATAAGAAAATAAATTATCAAATAATTATATATTAAATATTATTGTGAATATATATATATATATATATAAATATATATATTTATAAGTTCTATAATATACTAATTTCTCAACTTAATTATAACAATATCATACTATTATTATATATATAAAAAAAACTGAAAAAAAGGAAGAATTCTCAATATGATAATAATATAAACTAATAAAAACACCACTAAAGCGTATATTTGTCTACCTTTTTATAATTTATTTTATTTTATTGTTATTTTTTATATGTTTATTTTTATTTATAAAGTATATATCATTATTTTTCATATATTATTATTTTTAAATATGTAAATAATAAACGTTCCATATTTTTATATAATTATAAATTAGTGGTGATTCAGTATATGCAGTGAAATAATATAATAATTTAACATTTTTCTTTCGTAATAATAAAAAAATAGTAATTATTGGTAAAAAAAATAACAAGTCTAATAGTATATTATTACTAAATAAGTTAAAATAATATTAAATAAAACATAAGTTCCTACAATATCTTTATAATAACATTTAAATAATTAAATAAGTTTCAATTTTAATTTTAATTTTGTAATAGATTAGGAATACCTTTTCTTTATATAAAATATAATGTGCATGACTAATTGACATTTTAAATTATATTATTAAAATCAAATGTTTTTATAATTTGATTATTTAGATTTCCTATACTATTACTTTTACCTTAAGAAGCTTCATTTCAATATTATCTATTGTATTTCATTATTCATTCATTAGAATCGATATTATCAAATAAAAGAAGGATATTTTTAAATTTTTATACTTTTCAATTTAGCATAAAATTAAATCATTTATCTTTTCATATGAACATAATTTTTAGATAAACCAAACATTTAAAAATATCACCAAATAAAAATTTATAATCATATCTACATGTCAAAGAAATAATTGAAGTCATTTTAATAATAATTATTGAATAAAAAATTATGCTCATACTTAAGTGGCTAAAAATCATATATTTCCTATAATATCATGTATTGTAAAATAAGAAATAAGAAACTTTTAAATTTCCTCCGCATGTTCAACTATCTCCCATAAAGCATATATTTCCTATAATATCATGTATTGTAAAATAAGAAATATTAATTTTTTCTTTGTGCACGATTCACACATACATATATAATTTTTTTTTCTTTATCTCATAATCATCATTAAAATTTTAGATTTAATGTAATGAATTAAGAATTAAGATTACAGAGGACTCTAAAATCTATTAACTTATTTTATTAATAATTTTTTGTTTATAACATATAATTTATTGAAAGATAAAGTGATAATCCCTAAAATTTTGTAATTTATATAATTTTTATTTCCAAAACTTAATAATTTATTTTTGTCCATTCTTTTCATATTTTATTATATTTTTATATTTATTTATTATTTATTAATAATATATTATTTAATCTAAAAATTAATTATCTAAAAAAAATGCAAATTTTTTAATAAACGTTTTTTTTTACACCACTTATTTACTCGTGTACAAAATTATAATGAATTCTATATCTAAATTTGTGTAAAGAAGTTTCAGATAAAAAGAATTAAAAAATTAATTTAAAATAATATAAATAAAAAATTATATAATTAAATTACCTATAAAGGTCATAAATAAAAGTTTACTAAAAATCTATAAATAATATAAATATATGTTCATAATTCTTTTGAACTTTATAACATTATTACTAGTATTTTTTTTAACTATTCACTTATAATTGGCAGTCAAATTTCTTCCACTTGTCACAAAAAGTTATCTTGAACATCATTATAAAGTGAAAGTTTATAACCAACTTTTTCCGTAATTATCTCCCATATTTTTTAAATATCTGAATAGTATTGAATGGAACAATACTTGCGTAAACAAAATGATTCATCATCAAACTCTTATTTATAATCCTTCTTCATCGTTTGAGTTAAAGTTGCTTAGACTGACATATCAAATTATTACCAATTTTTCTTTTTACTTTTTGAAATAAAATCCATTGTCTTTGGTTTTGAAAGCAATTTGTGTCCAACCTGTCACTTTGTTCCTCATCTTCATCAATATTATTTATTTTTTACAATATGCTTTAGGTCAATATATTTTTAATAAATTTGATTTTAATTAGTTCTTATATTTAAAATCTAATCAATTATCCTTAATATATATATATATATATATATATCATTAGTATTTTTATAATAAAAATTATTAAATATTAAATTTAAGTATAAATAAAAAACTAAAATTATAATTAATCCTTTTAGCAATTCTGTTACTTTCAAAAGTCCATCACAAGAAAAAAATTGAAGTATAACAAATTATTAAAATAACAAAATTTGATAAATTGATCCCTAATTAATATTTTGAAATAAGAATCAAAATTAAATTAAAAAAAAACAATATCTTATTTATTTATTTATTTCTAATGAAGAGTATTTAGCTTCAATATCAATTTTCGTCATTAATATTTTAATTTTATTCACACTTTAGTATATAATAATAAAAAAATCCTCTAATTTTACCTGGATGTTGAATTAAAAAGTGTTTCACTTGTAATATTTATGAAAAATTATGTAAAGTGAAGTTATTCTAGGTTAGGGTTGACTCAAATAGGTAGTATCTAGATAAATTAAGTCAGGTGAAGTCTAAGGTTGTTTCTTCTTTCATTCTAATAATTTTTTTCTTGCATTTTCATAATTAAAATAAATTTTATTTTACCCTTATATATATATATTTTTTTTATAAGCCTCATCATTTGTGTTTTTCAAATCGTAAATCTTTCTCATTATTTCTTTTCCATTATTATTATTATCATTCATTGATGTTTTAAGCATTCATTATATTAAGAAGTGACAAGTTTTAGGTAAGATTTTTAAAACATAATATTTTTTATTTTTTTACTCAACAAGGCAAACATGACATGATTAGTAAACATCACATAACTCATTTTTGAATTGTCATCTATGAAATAATTTTAGATTGAATAATTAAGAACAATTATAGATTATCTAATCTAAAATGTGTTTTTGAAAACATTAATAAAAAATATATTTTGAAACACGTTATACCCTTCCCTTTCTTAGAGTAATTTTTACATCTAGTTTTAGGAACGTGGAGGTTGCATTGCCATAAATTAACTTTGATCTTATCCCATGCTCATACATATTATAAATAAAACGGTATTGAGGTATTAATGTAAGATAACGTAAAATTGGGGGAGTGATTAATAAGATAGTTAAAATTTAAAAAATAGAAAGGTGAAAATTGTCAATGACGAGGAAATGAGCTTCAACTCAACGGAATGGAGAAGAGAAGATAACTAACTCGTGTCCAATGAACTTGAAATCCAGTCTTCAACAACAAAAGAGAGAAATTTGAAACCACAAACAAAAACAAAAGAAAAATGGAGAAGAACACCAACTATTGTGAAGAGAAATAGCAATGTGGGAATGAGGAAGAAAGAAAAGAAGAATTGGGCAGTAGCAACAGTTGGTGGAAGAACAAATGGAAGAAACATGATGGCAATGGCTGCAGTTCCAGACACAAGATCTAACAAATTACTACGTGTACGTGACAAGGATTGCTTTAAACAATCACAATCACTTTTATGAAATCACAAGGATTGCTTTAAACAATCACAATCACAATCATAAAATAGTTTTATATAATTAACCTTTTAATAAAAAATAGTTTTAATGTATAAATTATAGAGTAAATCATTATTCTATTTCATATAAGTCCATAACACTATCCTATTAATCCAAAAGATATTTTTTTTAAATAAGTTTCTAAAAATACAATTTGCTATTCCTAGGAGATAGTTTTAAAAAATCATGTGACTTAAATGACAATATTGAAACTTATGTAAAAATTAGAAGTGATTAAATTTAAGGAATTAAATGAAATAATTAGAAATTTATTATTAATTTTTAAAAGAACCAGTTTTAATTATCTAAAAAAAATATGTTTAGTTGCACTTCTTTTAAGGAGAATGTTTTAAGCCATTTTTCTTTTCAAAATAACATTTTTAGAATTTCTTTTAGATCTCTCCTCTCTTTTAATTTATTAATTTTAATTTTAATAATGCAAAATTTTGTTATATTATAAATCTTTTATCATAAATATAAAATAGTATATATTTTAAATATTTTTTTATTACATTTTAGTTATAGTAAATAAATATTGTTTTGGAAAACACTAAAATAATCGTTTAGATAAGAGATTTTTTAAATAAAAATAATAAGAGAGGTTTAGGATTTAATTTGGATCGATTTAACGTTCAGACCGAAGCATAAAAAAACCGAACCATGCGCAGTACCGGTTCGGTGAGTTCGCATATAAACGGGGCCATTTTCGTCTCATAAAATAAGGCGGCCACCGCAGCCGCCCGTACATTAAACGGCAACACAGATCTCCATCCTTGTTGATTTTTATTCAGATTTTTTACCTCTCTCTCTTCGTTTCTGAACCGGGCCGAACCGAGCCGGAAATATGGGAGTGCCAGCTTTTTACCGGTGGCTCGCGGATCGGTACCCGCTCTCGATCGTCGACGTTGTGGAGGAAGACCCTGCCGCCGGCGACGGCGCTGTTGATGTTTGTAAACCTAATCCTAATGGCATGGAGTTCGACAACTTGTACTTGGACATGAACGGCATCATTCACCCCTGTTTTCATCCGGACGGCAAGGTACCTACATGCGTCTTTTCGCGAACCTGAAATGTTGCAATTGATTGACCTGTTATTCTGTTAATAGTATTAATGTCTTATTCATTGGTTGAAAAAAATCAGTAGATATATAACCTAATAGAAATAAGCAAAGAGAGCGGAGAATTACGATAGTGAACTTCTGAGATTTCTGTTTCAACTTCGCATTTCAAGTCTTCGTATGGATTGATATTCAGGTCATATGTTCGTCAATTGATTGTTGAAAACCTGTTTTGGAATTTGTTGCATTTAGAGCCCTGCAAACTGAGTTCCTGGAACTTTTTGAAGATGTAGCATCATACACGGGTATATGAGGTTAAACCTTATACAAAGTTGACTAGACTATGACGATTGTAGTTTCTATATTTTGTGTCTAAACGGGATTGCTTTTGTGAATTCGCATTTCTACTCTGCGATTAATTCTTGTTGCTGATTAATTTTTAAAATGCAGCCGGCACCTGCTACCTATGAAGATGTATTCAAAACAATCTTTGACTACATTGACCATCTATTTTCATTGGTTCGCCCGAGGAAGCTTCTTTATCTCGCAATTGGTTTGTAGCTTTTTCTCATCATTGCATTTCTCATCAAAGTACTATTATGTAACACCAAAACATGCATTTGCTTTGTTTATCATATTGGATAAGAATGCAAATCCGATGTCAATGCATTAATACTTTCCCAATACTTCATCTTACTTGATACACAAGGAGGAAGTAATATTGACACTAGTCCTGTAAGTAAACAATGAGCAGTAACTTATGATAACAATGATTTATAATTTCTATTTTGTTTTCAGTTGATGTCCAAAAAGTATGTTTATTGTGCAGGGATTTATGGAATGCATGAATCCTATCGTATATAGTTCAGGAATAGTCTTATCTGATACAGACTATATTTTTACATTATAGTTTCTCATCATGGAGGATCTCGGGTTAGCTCCTTTAAGTTATAAATCCATGCTATTTGATATCTCTATGACAAAAACCTAGAAATCACTAAAGTAGTCAATAAAGAATTTTATAAACATCCATTAACTTTCCCACTAAGCATCTTGTTTCTTTTCAATGATTAGTAACTTTGCATTGCTGAATGGTGTACTTTCAATTTTTAGTGCGAATCTTTTCAAGTAAAAGACTCATGGAAAATTAGAACTATCCTAGTTTTGAGAGGCTGTAAATTTTTTGTCTTTAATGTTATGTTAGTATGTATGATTTAACTTTGGATCACTTCTTTGTTCCAATCATTCTTGCACCTTCAGATGGTGTTGCACCAAGAGCCAAAATGAACCAGCAACGTTCAAGGCGATTCCGAGCTGCAAAAGATGCGGCAGAGGCTGTAAGAATATGGACATCTACCTGTTTTACAATGATCTCCTGCTATTTCTATAACAAAAGTTGAGTACATTGTGATGTTGTAGGAAGCTGAAAAGGAAAGGCTCAGGGAAGAATTTGAGGGTGAGATGGAACTCTTGTCTTCTAAGGACAAGCCTGAGACTTATGACTCAAATGTCATTACCCCTGGCACTCCATTTATGGCAGTTTTGTCAGTGGCTCTTCAGTATTATATACAGACTAGATTAAATTACAACCCTGGCTGGCGAAATACAAAGGTTGACTTTATCCTAATTATTCTTTGCTCCCTTGATCTCTCCAATATTGCACATTCCTTCCTTGTTGAGTAATCCTGTTTATTTTCTTTTCCCATGCTGTATTCATCTTGTTTTCTGAATATTTTGTCTCTGTATATTTATTTATGGAGCTACATTGGGTTATTTTTTGAAGGTTATACTTTCTGATTCAAATGTTCCTGGTGAGGGAGAACATAAAATAATGGAATACATACGATCACAGCGTAACCTTCCTGGATTTAATCCAAATACTCGTCACTGTTTGTATGGATTAGTGAGTTTTTGTCTGCTTTTGAAAATTTCAATTTATCCATGGTTGGTGTGTTTGTCCTTTGATTCTATATGATGTGATGTCATTGATGTGATCTTTAATTCAGGATGCTGATTTGATTATGTTGGCCTTAGCCACTCACGAGGTTCATTTCTCAATATTGAGGGAGGTTAGTTTCCAGTTTACAATCTGTCTAGGTGATTTTGGATAGTTGATCCCAATAGATTGCCCTGATGATTAATAACATGAGTGAACAGGTGATCACTTTCCCTGGACAACAGGACAAGTGCTATCAGTGTGGCCAAGTTGGTCATTTTGCATCTGAATGTCGTGGTAAGCCAGGAGAGAAAGCTGAGGACTGGAATCCAGTTGATGATACCCCAGTTCACAAGAAGAAATATCAGGTTGGATATTGGAATCCAACATGTTAGGCTGAATATTTATTTTTCTTTTATGTTGATTTTTAGTTTGGAACTAAAACTTTGCATGTACAGTTTCTTAACATCTGGGTGCTGCGTGAATATTTGCAATATGAAATGGAGATCCCCAACCCTGCTTTTGAGATTGACTTTGAACGCATAGTGGATGATTTTGTATTTCTATGCTTCTTTGTGGGCAATGACTTTCTTCCTCATATGCCGACATTAGAGATCCGTGAGGTAAGCATCTGGAAGCGACCATGTTATATTGAGATGTAGCTTGAAACAGAAAGTATGTCAGTGCTATCTGCATTTTTTCTGAATGAATTTTTTTTTTTTTGTTAACATGCTTTATTTATGTTCTTTACCTGCATATCCTCTTTTATACATAAATGTCGATGTAGTTCTCTTTGATGGACTTTTTACTGTTTCAGGGGGCTGTAAATTTATTGATGCATATATATAGAAAGGAATTCACAGCCATGGGTGGTTATCTTACTGAAGCGGGTGAGGTAAGTTTCTTTTTTTCGGGAATTCAATTAAGTTGTGTTTGTCATTTTGTTTATTGTAAAGCTGTGATGTGTTGTTTTGGTATTTGACAATTTGCAATGATCTTCCTTCAATTTCTTGTCTTTTCTCTTAAGTCGTCTATCTGGAGTTTTTTTGGCTCTTTAATAAGGTGTTGTAATATGAATATCATTGAATATTCTAGGTTTTCTTAGAGAGAGTAGAACATTTTATTCAGTCTGTTGCTGTTCATGAAGATCAAATATTTCAGAAACGAGTTCGCATTCAACAGGTATGGTAATTCCTGTCTTGACTATCCCTCTTTTGAAGGGATAATTATTATGGATATTAAAACCTCTGAACCCTCTGGAGTTTTGCACTAATCAAATTCAATAATATTATAATAGTCAAGATATGCTTCTTTTTGTGATTCTGGAAGCTTGCTTGTTGAATTGTAAGAAGTTTCTTCTGTGATTATTGATGTGGAAAGATCTTCACTTGATTCCATTCTATTTTGTATTCTGTGTTTATTGGCCCATTTTTTATTTTGAAAATTCCTAACTGAAACATCATAATGTTTGCTTCCTATTTGGATTGACTTGAAATTAAGTTATTTGGGAATAAAACTTGACACAGTGCTTTATGACACTGTTTCATATTATTTGAAGTCATATTGAGTATATATGGAGGAACTAAATTGGCTTTGGCTTCTACACAGATTAAATAATTATTAAAGGGGTTTAAACTGTGTCTGAAGTATCATTTGATCGGTCTGTTTCTATTCAACTTAGGAAATGACTGTTAAGTGATGTACATATTGGGTACCTTTATCCAATGAAGTTCTAGAGGAGAACTCCTTAATCATTGTTCCATTCTACAAGGTATTGTGTTTCCCCTCTAGGAGGTGACTCTCGGCTTTGGTTACTTGTTACCCTCATGCAAGTTCACAAGTCAGCGCCAACATATTACTGATTATATTTGTTAACCCTTGTTTCCTCTTCTCTCATTCTACTGTTCTGAAAGGAATTCTCATGTGCGTTGTGTTGTGACATCAGACTTTACATCCGGAAGATGTTATTTAGAAGCCTGTCTGATTAATTTCATGAACTGAGATGATTGAGATATATTTTTCTTTAATATGGTTTTGAAGTTTACTTCCTGATATGCAACACTTCATTTGATTGTTTTTAGGCTGCAGAATTTAATGAAGAGATGAAAGCTAGGGCAAGAGGAGAAATGCCTGAAGAACCACGGGCATCAGTTTTTTCGGACAAGGTTCAGTAACAATATTTATTACTTGAATTGCACCCATTTGTCCTGAATTTAGTATTTTTTGCTAACTATACTTTTCTGGACCCCAAACCACAGTAATTCTAGTAGCTTCTTAAACATACATTGGGGGTGGTAGCATGTCTGTGGGTCGTAATGGGTATTTTTTTTTTTTTTCTCGAACAGAATTATGATATTCAAAATTGCTTTCTGAATGCTGACTTATGTAATAAGATGTTTCTGTGTGCGGCGGCTTATCTTAATCCCAGCTCAGAACTAAATATGCTGGGTTTGCTGTAAAAGCACATGTTTTTAAGAATTTGAATATAAGGCCTAAATCAATCTCACAAAACAAACGTATAAGAGAAAGATTGACCAAGTTTTGTAAGCTCTATTTTGGTCATTTCTCTAGGGCAATGCAACTACTGTGAGACTAAACACCCCCCCTCAAGGCTGCAATTAAAGCTTTCCCCAAAGAGGTCTGAATTAAGATGGCTTTCCAATAGCAGCCTTTGTGTGATTAAATGTGTGGTTGGATGTGTCATTTTGAATTTTTGGTGCATCTGGTTATGTGTGAATGAGATATGGGTGAATTGCTTCTGTAACTGCTACCTTCCTCTGTTTCTGTTGTCTGCTGGTTTGTGGTTGTGTGCAAAGTTTTTCTGCTCAGCCTGTCTGTGGGTGACATGCTTCCCACTTTATGCCACTTTCAGTTTTTCTCGTACTAAAATTCTTGGCAGGAAAGCCTTGTAAAGCTTGTAGTAACACCACAAACTTACTTCTGTTATGTGTTTTGAGAAGTATACATATATTGTTCTATATAACAGGTAAGTTTTACCTCCTTTGTTCGGTCCTATAGGATCTACTATTTTGGCAACCTTGGGAAGTAAGGCTGCAGGTTTGAAATTACATATGGCTAACCAGTTGATGGGAAATCTGATAAATTTGAGTAGCCATTTTGAAGGCTTTATACTTGTACTTTTTTTTTTTTTTATTGTTGTTTAAAACAGACTTGCATGGGCTGTGACTGAAACAACTTCAATGTGTTTTATTTTCGTGGGGGGAACAACTGATGATAACAAATACTTTCAACTAGAATTTGTCTTTTCGAAATTAATGTTCCTTTTGTTTAAGTTGCTAAAAGATCCTGGATCTTTAGAGTCAAATGTGTTTTGGTCTGATACATTTCATGTTTAGAATGGTCCCTGAATATAGGAAGACTTGGCCTATGTCAGACTACATGAAATCCAATATTGTGAGAATTTGTATTAACCACTAAGTGTTTGTTATTTTTTCAGGTTAAGTTAGGAGAGCCTGGATACAAGGAAAGATATTATGCAGAAAAATTTGGTGCATTGGGTCTTGAGGAGATTGACAAATTCAAGAAAGATACAGTATGTCCTGTCAGTATTCTTGAAATTGTTTGTTATAATCTTCCTTTCTATACTTTCATGACTTATAATGGAAAATTTTTCATATTTACAAACTCAATGCTTAAAAAGTGTTTTAATATGAAAACTTTTAAGTAGCATATTATCAATGATAACATATTCCAACCTTGCAGAAACACCTTTAATGAGCTTATAAGGGCCTGTTTACCTTGTGAAAGTGTTTTTTATTTTCACTGTTAATTACAAAAACGTTGCCATATTTTCACATGATGTCTTATTTTTGAAAGTTTTTTTTTTTTTCACTATGTCATGTATTTTTTGAAAAGGAGACAAAGTGAAAAGGTGGCATTTTTGCAAGTAGAAGTGAAAACAGAAAATGATAAATATAACACAATTTTCTGAAACCAAAGAACACCTAAACTACTCCTTTTCTTTTTAAATGATATGTTAGGCACATGCTGTTAATGTGTCTTGAAATCTTGATATCATTATCTGTCTGTGTTTCACAACAAGACGGAATGTACTTGTGCAGTTCCTTGATATGTTATGCACATCAGGGGATAAGGGCCTCACACTAGTTGAATATTTATATTATGTTGTCTCATGAATTCATTGGTGGTGTGTTGGATTTAATTTTTTTTTTCCTTCTTGTCTATGGCTATTTTATCCAAGTTCGCTATATTCATGGTTTTCATAGAAGATAGCTTATTGTCTTGGTCTTCCTTGTAGGTCTTAAAATACGTAGAAGGCCTTTGTTGGGTTTGTCGGTATTACTATCAGGGTGTCTGCTCATGGCAATGGTTAGTTGTGCTTTTACTAGTTAATATATATTTAAACCCATTCCTGCTATTTTTAGTAGATTGATCATCTGGCACATTTATGTTGGAAAGCTGCCTTAATTATTGTCACCCTTACCTGCCTTCATTGTGGCCTCTTTGGAATCTGTCTTAATTTCAGCTCGAAGGGTTTTGCTTAGCCCACATCAACTAGATGTATGCTTTTAATAAAGCTAGTAAAGTTTGACTAATCCTCACCTTACATGCACGGTAGTTTTGTGGGGTTTGAGTTGGGCCTTATCCCAAATTAATTTCTTGCGTGATATTATACTGTAGTCAGTTTTGGAGAAAAATTTACTTCTAAACTCATGCTGAGAAAATCTTTCCACCCTTGGCCTGGTCCCTCCTAGGCTCTAATAGTGCAACTTCCTATGCACTGCTAACCATGGGTTCTAAATGTATTTTATCATGCAAGACATGAACATACTATTTCCTAAGTAATTAAATACCATTGTTCCGACTTTTTTTATTTGTAATTTTTTGTTGGTTAAGTGAGTATTTAATTGTGGTGCACCCAAAGTAAATTTACAAGTGACCTTTCACACACACTGTTAGTAGAATGGAGATTTGGTCATCGTTTTGTTGTATGAAAATTAGTCCTCATTTGTGAATTACACTTGTGTTCCTTCTCGACATTGTAGTTAGATGATCTGAAAAATTTACGGGTTGATTATTTTCTGTCTTAATTGTACGAACTTACTTTGGTGTGGCTGGAAGAACGTTTTGCTTCAGATATGCTTTTTCATAAATCTGTCTATTCTGTTGGAACCTTATTGCTCAGAACTATTGAGCTTCATTAAATTATGTTATTATTCCAAAGTTATTTGCTAGGAGGAACTTATAATCATGATTCTATATGTGATAAGATATAATACGGAAGGGTTGTAATACTGGCTTTTTATGTTCAAGTGGCTTTGAGATGATTGACATAAATTTCTGAGACCCCTTCATTTTGGTTGAATTCATCACCCCGTGAATATTCTTCAAATTTTTTCATTATTGTTTGTTCATTCAGGTACTACCCATACCATTATGCTCCTTTTGCTTCTGATCTTAAAGATCTAGCTGATCTGGAAATAACTTTTTTTTTGGGAGAAGCATTTAAACCATTTGATCAACTAATGGGGACCTTACCCGCATCAAGGTTTCTTCATCTTTCCTGTCATTAGATCTATCATATCATGCATATTGTGTTGATGCTTGTTAAGTTCTTGTTACAGTTCAAGTGCACTGCCTGAAAAATATAGGGATTTGATGACTGATCCTTCATCACCTATTCTTCAATTCTACCCTGCTGGTGAGATCACTTGTCCGTTATTGACATATTCTGCTAGATTTTACAGAGTTTCTGGAATTACTTGTGTTGCTTTTTTGACAGATTTTGAGATTGATATGAATGGCAAACGATTTGCTTGGCAGGTAATGTAGTTTGTCATTTAGTTTTTTATTAATATTAATGCCTTATAATAAAGTGGGGATTGAGTTTACTGTTGCAATGTTTTTCAGGGTGTTGCCAAGTTGCCATTTATTGATGAGAAGAAATTGCTCGCGTCGACAAGCAAGCTTGAAGGCACATTATCGGTCTGGAAATGTTTCTTATTTTTATTTTTCGTGCAGAAGGGTGGTGATTGCTATAATGTTTAGTTCTAGTCTTTTACATTTGTGACTAACTGTATAAGATTACTGGTCCAAATTTATAGGACTTCAAATTGCATCAAAGAATAAATAGTCAAAGAAATTGATTGTTAAGGTTTGTCGAAATAAAAATATTTGAACATATCTGTTAAGTGATAACCCTCTGTTAACACTGTTTCTTTATCCCTGGCACTTCGCTGTGCATTTGCTGGAAATTATTTGGTTTGAGCTAACTTTATATTTTTAGTCCTGAAGTTTACAACTGTTAATTTAAAAAATTGTAGTTTTGCATCTGGGTGCTTAATTTCTTTCAGATTCCTTACATGCAGGTGGAGGAACAGCTCCGAAATAGTAAGATGCCGGATTTGCTTTTTGTCAACGGTGGGCATAATTTGGCTCCACATATCTTATCGTGTTACCAATATTCTTGTCAATTGTCTCTGCATGAAAGACCTGCTCTACCGATTGACCCAAGTGCTAGGTTAGGGAATATAGTTTGGTAATAGTCACCTGTAATAATCATAATACTTTTGGTAATTGTCTTGTTTTCTTTATTTAGTGATGGTATGAATGGATATCTCTGGTGGTATGAAAGAAATGTGCGCAGAACCATAGTATCCTCTCCCATCAAGGGATTGCCAGACATAGAGTTTAATCAAGTTTTGTAAGTTTTGTCCTTTATACTTGCCTAATATTTTAAAATCAATGGATTAACTCATGTTGAGTGTTTCAAATTTCAGAAATATTACTTATCTTAATCCTCGTAAACATAGACATATTCCGCAACCTCCCAATGGCGTATTAATGCCCAAAAAGGTTGGTGTTCTGACTTCTATTAGCATTTGATATTTTCAACGGACTCATTTTGTGGGTGGAGTTTCGTAATTCATTTATTTAGGCTTTGGGGGGCGGCTGGTGCATTTCTTAACTCATTTCAATAATCATTTTGGTCTAGCTTATCAAAGTAAGGTCTTTTTAGCTTATTTCAATAAGTTTCATGGTCAAATTTATGGCATTAGCCATTGTGATAGGAGCTTTTCAAACAAATGATTAATTAAGCTTTACCCGAACTTCACCCTAAATGGTTATGTTTGCAGATATTAAAAGCCATTGATATTAAACCCTCTCCAGTGTTATGGCACGAAGAAAATAGTGGTCGACGACATGGTAGGGAAAGGTGAGAATCTATTCCTGAGTTGTTAGATTAGTGTAGTATAATTTTACATATTCTTTCTGTATGGGTACAATAACCACAGCTGCTGTTGAAATTTAATGCCTTGTATGGGCAACTTTTGTTTGAGGAAGTTGTCAATATTTACTTCCAAGCAGTTGTCTTGTGGAGAATGTAGAAAATTCCATGTTGAGTGAGTTGATACGTTCTCAATCTCGATGCCTTTCAAATTAAGCACATGAAGTTTTTTATGCATGAAATACGGTGTTTATGTTACTTAGTGATAAGACAGATACTTTGTACGAGCTCTTACCTTTCTTGTGCGATGCATGGCGACAGACCACAAGTACATGGAGCAATGGCTGGGCTTCAACTGGGAGAAGCAGCACATCGTCTTGTCAAGAACTCCCTCAATATTAGATCAAATAATGCACCATATGGATTCCCAGAGCAGCTTCCAGGTCATTATGCAATGAACAGGCCTAGGTTAGCTGGACCCTCTGGACCTGGGAAATATAATGCTGAGGACACAAGCAGTTATTACGGACATTATTACAATCACCAGGGCATGATAACTAGGCCTAGATATCCAGTCTCTTCCAATGGTGGGCATAATGACAAACAGAATTTTAGGATACAGGATAGGTCACAGCAACATGAACAGCACTACAACGGGAGAGGTGGGTTCTGTGCTTTGACAATAGAGGAAGGTCCAAGACCAAGGCCAGTGCCTCCACTGAAGACACCTGTGCTGATGTTATCGAGGCAACCTAATTCAGGGCCAACAACTAATGTACAACAGCGATTTTTGGGTCCTCCTATACCTCCTCCAAAATGGATTACTAGAGCACCAGATACGAATGGAATATATGCTAGGCATCAAGAAGTTGCAATTGGGGGAGCTTATGATAAGCACATGAAGAAGGTGTACCAAGTTAGAAGTCGGCAACCCCAAGACATGCCAGAGTACGGGAATCAATAGTGATTGTTGTGGATTTTATTTGCCTTGTCACCGAAGTGCCGTCTTTCTATTCCTTGGGCTGTTCCTCAAATTGGTGCTCATCCGTTCAAAAATGCCAGAGCACGGAAATCATTTGGTATAGAAATGCAATGCCATGTTAATAGGCAGACAAATGCTTATCAAAGTTTTGGATCGCACTTAAGTAAAGTAATCTGCTGCTGTGAAGGTGTTGCAGCCTGCAAAGAATTGCGATCAGGCTTCACTAGACACAGGCGCCTGGAAAGGTGTGGGAGCTATACCATATTCACAATGTTCTTGATTTTCGAGTTCTAAAACAAATGCTCAAAAATATTGTAAAAACTTGTAATGGGTATGAGTAAGGTAGCGTGTATAAAATCCCGCTGCTCTCAGTGGCGCTTGTATTATCATGTACAATATTTGAGTTTAATAGACAACCGTAAATTTGTAGTTGAAAAATAGGATTTGTTTTATTATTTTTTTTTCAACATTAAGAGTTTAGTAAACCTAAAGTTGTCAATTAATTAATTTTCAGTGTAAATATCGTAAAAGTTCGTAAATTTATAGCGAGTTATGATGATTTATGTATGAATTGTGCGGAATAAGATTACATTCTTCCGATTCTTTTTCAAGTTAAAATACATGATAAATAGAATCCATCAATGTAACATTTTAAAAGTTTAACTTTGGTTTTTAAAAGCATTTTGAAAACTTTATTTCACTATTTACGTGTCTATGAAAAATTTAAAACAATACTTTATTAAAAATGAAAACGGTTAAAAGAACAAGAATTAATGAAAATATCTAAAAAAAGTAGAGTATATATATAATTAATTAATGACACGGGATATTTTGAAATAGAAACATAAATTTAAGATAAATCCATTATTACTAAGTAAATACATTAATTTTACTTTTCCCCGATCATGAAGTCTTGGAATCAATTTCTAAAACGATTTTAACAAAATTAGTTTAAATCTATTTGAAATTATATTGTTCTAGTAGTCTTTATCTCATTGTCATATGGACTTGGAGGCATATCAGGAATATGCTACTTCTTTCTAGTGTTTTTATATAAGATATATAAGATAAATGCTATATGAATAAGACTCGTTGAAGACAAATATTGATAATTGTCTAGAATTATTAAATTGAATATGATTCACAGAAATTTGATATGATGTATTGCAAATTAATTAACAGGAAAAAAAAGTTACGATGCTTGATGAATCATAAAAAAACTTGCAAATCCCATGATAATACACATATTCCTTTTGCAAAGATAATACACATATTTATTGTGCATATTGAATATTGATATTGAAGGGGTAATATAATATATTATTAATAAATAATAAATAAATAAATAAAAAAGATAAAATTGTAAATATATATTTAAATATATTAAATGATCATTAAAATTTAAAAAAATAAAATAATAAATTATATAAGAGATAAACGAGATTAAGAAAATAAAATTATAAATAAAAAAATAAATATATTAAATATTCACTTGAGGTTGTGCTTTTGAGAATAACTATATTATACAAAATATTCAAAATAATGAAATAAAATAAAAATGAATGAAAAGAAAATTATTAAACTTATATGATATAGAGATATCAATTACAATACCCTTTTAATGTACACATTTTTATGTAATTTTATCCTTAGTATTTTTTTTCATTATAATAACAGTTCACAACACAACCCAACCCTTCCATGGCACGATCTAAGAACGAACTACTACTAAAAAATTGCATAATTGAACATTCCAAATTATCCAAGTTACCTCTGAAATCTCAATAGAGACATTGTTTCTTATACAACCAATCCCTATCATTTTTTTTATTGTCTACAAAAAAAAAACAGTGAAACAAGAGAGAAAAATGATGAGAAACAGTAAGAATTGTATAACTCATAGCTTGGGCTAGCTTAATAGTGACTACATAAATACATACATAAACACATGGTAACAAACAACAAAGCATTGAACTATAACTCGCAGATACAAAATATACCTTCATCAATAAATACTTAACTAATCCAAGACAACCCTAAAAAAAGTTACCCGAGGCAGGTTATTGTAGGAAGTAACCACCCAAAAAGAGGGCGAAGAACAACAACAAAGAGCCGTATATAAGGACGGTCTTCTGACCCGAGGTGAGGGAATTTCCCCCGAGTCCATATTGCTGATTCTGCGCAAACCCCGCGATCTGAACGCTCTTGCTCTCGAAGAAACTCTGTGCGGCCCCGCACGTTGGACACCGCCAATCGTCTGGAAGCTTCTCGAACTGGAACCCTGGGGGAATCGGATACGACGGGTCCCCCACGGCCTCATCGTACTTATACCCGCACGACCGGCACTCGTAGATCCCAGTGTTCAGAACCGCGAATTTCTCCTCCAGCCGCCGCGGGTCCAGGTTCTCGGGTACGGGTTCGGGGTTCGAAGCGGGCTCTGGCGTGGGCGTTGGCATTGGCGATGGCGTGGTGTCTTCCTTGGAGACGTCGATGGAGTTAATGGTGAGTTTTCGGGGTTTGGAGAGGGGTTTTGGGAAGAGAGAGGGGAAAGAATGTGGTTTGGGTTTGAGAGAGAGGGTTGAGAAGTGGAGAGAGAAAGGTGATGGTGGAGTAACAGAAGCCATTGTTCGTTAGAAGGTCGAGCCAGCCGTTAGTGACGGTTGGTTCTTGTGTGGAGGAGAAGAGAAGAAGAACCATCGTATATGTTCTCCCTCTTGGATAAGGTATGTTTTTTTTTTAATTATCTTCTAATTTTTGGTCTTCTTCATTACAATAATATTACTCCAACTGGGCTTTTTCTGTTGGGCTTCATTTGGATCCGTGTGTGTGCGTTGGCCCATTATGCTTCGCCTCTTTCTTCGTTCACTTTCTTATATTTTTTATTTTCTCTTTTTCCTTTTTTATCGCCTTTCCAAAATTTAATGTAACATTTTTCTGAATCATTTATATTTGTTTAATAGTGCTACTTCTGTATGCATAATGTAACAACAATATTATTTCTACCTTAACCATTAAGAGCAATGTAACAACTACATTAAGCGCATGAATAGTAAATTATTTTATTTATTAGAAATTACAATAAAGATGTACTAAAAAATTACATAGGGTGAAATTTTATGAAGAACACTTGCTTATTTTAAAACTATAATAGTAATATTTTAATCGATGTCTTAAAAACATTTATAATCATTTCTCATAAAAGAATCTGGATAAAAAAAAATCTCACTTCTAAAATCAAACCTACTTTGATTACTCGTATTATTAAAAGAAAATCCAATTTAACCCTGAAATTAACCCTATTAATTACTTTAATCCTTATCGCTACTCAAATAATTAAAAGATCGGATTAATATTTGTCTCAAACGCTAATTCTTAAAATGATCAATAATTAACAATTTCAAACTCAAAATTGACAAATTATAGAAAATGGCGAGATTGATTTGATGTTTGGGTATGAAAGAAACCTGATCATTCAATAACTGTGGCCGTTGACAGTGAACAGAAATACAAACTGACTCAACTGAGACAGGTCAAGCATCCAAAATCCAAAGAGCTTGAATTCGAGAACTGGTTTACAACAAACATTGTTTTGTTATTCAACAATGTCACGGAACATGTAGAATCTCTTTCAGATATTACAATCCACGGAATGAGATTAATACGAAAGGTAGATAAAGTTTTGCATGTAAGAGAGCATTGAAACTCTGATAACAAAGTATTCCACAATTAAGAACCCACTTTTGCATCTTTTACAACATTTCATGGTACAAAGCCACCACTCCGCACCCGTTATTTCGATATGTTCTGTACATGTATGAGACCATTGAAAATGAAAGGAACATAAAAGCGACTAAAATGTAAAACATTTTATTTTAATTGACAAGTGCTCTACCGAATCAGCAAAAATAAAACACTAATTACCACTAAATTACTTATTTACTAGTTACTAGCTAAGTGCTAAGGTGTGAGTATGAACCAAATTACGAAGCAAATGCTCGGTGTAATGAAGAGACATGGAGAGGAGGAAGAATTCCAATCACTCACTACAAAACCAAAACCATTCAGGCGTGTGCGGTCAACCTCCTCCTCCTCCTCCTCCACTGGATCGCAACTCCTCCATCGCAGCCTTGATCTGATCCTGCACCAGCTCCAACCGCTTCGAGAACACTTCCAACTCCAATATCTGTTGCTTCCTCCATTTCTCATCCACCACTTCTCCACCACCATAACTCAAATTCATCAAAGGCAGAGGGTTTAAGTTCAACGCAAACCCTCTCCCGCCAAACGCTCCCCCTCCCATCGCTCCCATCAACTCCCTCAACACCGGCGACAAACAACTCCTCACCGTTTCCTCGATCAAACTCGGTATGTTATTGCCATAACCACTGTTACAATTGTTATTATTAGTAGTAGTAGTAGGAGTGGCAGTAGTGTTAGTAGCAGTAGCAGTAGGTGTAACCGTAGCTGTAGCATTGCTAGTATAATTATGATCTCTGTTCGATGCCGATCCATCGTTTGACTCGACTTTCACTGCCGATCGAGGCCGGGAGCGTTTCGGTGTTTTCTTCTCCACGGAATTCCTGAAAATCGTTTCGTTCTTAAGAATTACAGGGCTAAAATTAAGGTTAGGGTGGGGGATAGGGTTGTGGTTGGGGTTGGGGTTGGGGCTAGGGTTGATTTCATCGTCGTCCAAGGAATTGTCGCCGATTGGAGCCACGCTGCTCCAGATCTTGCGCGAGATTTCGAAGGTGGCTTGATCGTGGGCGCTCTTGAAGGAGAATTCCTTGCCGGAGCTAATCTTGTTGAGAACGTTTCGGTACTTCTTCTTCAGCCTTCGGATCTTCTCCACTAGCTGGTTCTTGTTGAAATCGAGTTGGAGCTTGGACTTGATTTGGTCGTAGAACAGAGCGGTGTCGTTGTGGTGAGAGGATCCTCGCTGCGCGGTGTAGTCCAGGAACCCTTGCAGGAGCTCGATCTCGTCTTCGTCAGTCCAAAGCCGCTGGAACAGCCGTCGCGAGTCGTCCAGTGGCAGCGGCTTTTTCTCCTCGATTGGCTCCACCCGCCGCCGCTTTGGATCGGAGGAGTCGCCAACTACGACGATGGTAGTGGCGGTGGACGTCGTAAGTGGAGCGGCTCCGCCGTTTGGGACGGCGGAACCGGGGACGGCGACGGTGACAGCGAGAGCAGTGGAGGGAGAGGGCTCGTTTTCTTCATCCTCGGCGACCAAAACATCGTCGTCTTCTTCGAACTCTTCGTCCTCCTGTGACTCGTCGTCATCGTCCTCGATGTCTTCTTCGCGAAAAACGGCATCGTGTTGGTGAGATGCCATTGAAAGAAAGGAAAGAGAGAGAGGTTTGGTTAGTGGTTAGGCCAAGGAAGAGTGGGCTGAGTCACGGGTTTTGGTCTGTGTTGAACTTACTCACTCACCCATGGTTTGGTTTGGTTTGGTTTGGTGATGGTAAAGGGAATCCGAAGGGTGGTTTTGGTTTTTAGTTTAGTTTAGGTAGCCTAGTGGACCAAGTAACCAACCAAACCCCCTACATCATTTTTTCTATTCCCTATTTTCATTTTACAAGTAATGTACTTTGTTCTTTTGCCACACAAACGCAACCAAATTCATTTCTTTTTTGAATTAATCATTTCGTTTCCATAATTACAAAATCTTATCTTTTTACTTTCTACAATCATTTATTTTAATTTCGACATTTTTATTTTTATTATTTTTAATCTTTATATATCTCATTTAAATTTATTTGACAAAAACTATATAAAATTATAAAATAAATATATAATCTAAAAGATTCTGTTTTTAAGTATGAAAATAATTATCTTAACTACAAAAATCAAGGTAGTAATTTGACTATATTTTTGAAAAAGAAAATAGCTATAAAATATATATATATATATATATATATATATATTTATATTTTAATATTGAAACATATAATTTATTGTTGGTACTAATCCTTAATATTGTTAGAGCCTTAAAAATGCATTTTTTTTTATCGTGTTAGAAAGTATCTTATGATTTTTAAAATACTTTATTATTTTATGTAATAATAATACATATTATTATTTTATTATTAGAATATTAAAATATGTTTGATTGAAATTTTGTAAATTTATATTAATTCATAAAATATTTGCATTAATGAAATAAAATGTTACTAATGTTATCCTTGGTTAATTACTTTTTAAAAGATAAATATACGCACAGCAGATAAAAAATTCTTAAGCATTATGATAAAAATATTTACTTATCTTACCTTAATTACAAAAGCATGCAATACTGTTTCTTGGTGTAAGATGTTTAATTAAAAGCAAATGTTACCTTAAATTTAATGATGACAGCTTTTTTAAAACATTACTTTTAAAGTATATTCAAAATAGTAAAGTGTGTTTCCTTTACCTATAACCAGCTGGTATTAGTTCAAACCTCCGTATTCATTTCACGATTTGTTTCCAATTGACAGATTACTAACTTAAGCGTGAATACGTTGACGTGTTCCATTTGTATTACCAAGTACCGTTTTGTTTTCATGCTTACCAAAAGGGAAAAGTTAAGTTCACACCCGCATATCTTAAAACATCTTTTCAACAACCCAGCGTCACCATTTTTCTCTTAAAATTAAATGATAAAAATTAATTATACAATCAAATATAATATAAAATGACGTAGGATGGATATTTTGTGACTTGAAGGTGTCTATTAATCATCACCCTTTGCAAAATTGTAGCATGCATCATCATGATGTGAGCCACATTTGATAGAATTGTATATCTCATTTAAGTTTTAGTACATTTTATTATAAAAAAAATCTGACATCGAATACTTTTAGAATTAATAGTTCAAAAATAAAACTATTATTTATTTAAACACATTATTTTTCATTTTAATATATTCAATAACAATCAAACACCATCTAATAAACATCTTTAAAACATTTGTGCGGTAAAAAATCTTTAAAGCATTCGTTTGAACCAAACATGACTTTATTCCATGATTCTATTCCCTAATACTACGAAAATAATAGGTTGTTCTTTCGCTAGAAATGTAACATATAAATTAAAGTTATTTTATTATTAATCACGTTTAATGTGAAATCTATAATTAGTGTTTCAACTTTAATTTTTTTTTACATAATATTTGGGCAGTTTCATCATAAAAATAACATCATACTAAACTAATTAATTTTTACTAACAAATATGTGTTAATGTCATGCATTAAGTTGTAGAGAAATAAATAGAGAAATTCCTATGTTAAATATATAAACATAACGAGTAATACTACTGTACGATTTGGGAGGTTAAAGAGTTATAAATAGAAGAATAATTTTGACATGTAATACTGTAAAATAAAATAATTAAGTCTGGGGTTTAAAATATATACAAATAATTAATTAAAATTTTCATGTAATAATATACAAAGTGAATCATTGCATTTATTTTTGCTTAGATATTCATAATATAATTGGACAGAGTTGATAAATATTAAATTTTATCCATGCAAAAATATGTTAATAAATATAGAGATAAAAACTGCCACAAGCGGAACCTAGTTTACAGGTTCCTACGAGAGATAATGAGAAAAAACTGCCATGCCTATGAAAATATTTTGTTTTTTACAATCGACTACTGACTAGATAGTGAGCTAGATATCGCAATACAGAAGATAGTGGGCTAGATCTATTACTTAGCTAGACAGAAACTTTTGGTCCCAGCACTTCATCCCCATATTACGAAACTACAAGTCCATAAAAATTAATTTTCTTTTGTTAATTTTTTTATTTTACTATTTTAAATACAATTTTCTACAAAGTCAATTAAACAGCACCAGTTCCAAATAACGTTGCTTCAAACCACACATAAAATAACAGATCAATGGCAGAATACAAAATATATAAAAAAGAAAATAACAATTCCATTCTTTGTCATTTAAGTCAGAAGCTATGAGCAAAACAGTAGGAAACCTTAAAATTCAACCGTTAAAACTCTTGACAAATGACGATAAAACCGGACGACTTAGGACGATTTGTGAACGTTTAACTGAAAAAGTGGCACGTTGTGCATTCTCTATCTTAGCATTTGTTTTCTTCATCTCTTATAGCCTCAACCCATAGACTGAAAAAATCTGCGGGGTGGTCCTTTTTCTATTGGTACACATCTAAAATAGAAGTGAATAGATTGTCTCTACTACCAAACGTAATTTTTATATTGTGTTTAAATACATTATCCAAAATGTGGGGGTTCAATATTGTTTGCAACCCCGTATCTAAAAGGTATACCCTAGAATTGTGGTTTTCTTTGAGCCCAATTTACGCAAAATAATGACCCGCTAACTCAAATTTTACCAAATATTTGAAAGCAAAAGAAGGTTAAACATGAGCTCTCAAAATTGTTCAATGCTGCTAAGTACTCAACATCAGTTAAGCAAACATAAATTAAGACAAGTATCACACTTGCACCAAAACATCTCATTCTATAATTCTAACAGAAGATAGAATACCCTATTACAAAACATAGAAAACAATATAACCTTAGACCCGAAATCTCATTTCTTCTTTCCAGCCTTAGCAGCATCCGATGCCTTAGTCTGCATACATAAAACATGCCATATTTTATAATTTTATCAAACAAAATATGCCACAGCAGATAAATTTAATACAAAATTACCTTCTTTACTCCTCGAATCTTCTTTGCTCTGTTTTTCCTCTCCTTCATTTGTTTCCTTGACTTTTCTACCTTAGTATCAAGACCATTCTGAAATAGATATATTTTTTAGTTTGCTAGCACATAATTAAGCAATAGATAAAGATGTTAAAAAAATACATCATTGATATTAAATGATGATAGATGACGATATTTTAAATGATAATTTGCAGAATAAAATATATAAAATAACATTGTCAAAAAATAAAAACAATCATCATCATCAACCATCTTATATTTTGTGATTTCATTGGAAATTTAAAACCAACCCTATTGATCCCAATTAACTAGTTTAAATCCTTATTTTTCAAATACTGTTAATAATTTTGAAAAAATAACATAAATATACAGTACCACAACTATAATTACAGTAAAATTGTCATCACCAAATTTATGTTATAGGAGAATATTGTTATCATCTGTTGACTCACCCTGATGAGTCTGTACTTGGGCTCGTACTTCTTAGCATTGTCGACGGAATCATAAATCAAACCAAAACCTGTAGATTTGCCACCACCAAAATGTGTTCGGAATTTGAAGACAAATACAGTGTTAGGGTCTTTGACTTCATACATTCGAGCAAGCTTCTCCTTAAGTTCAGCCTATATTTCACAAAACAAACTAATCAAAAATCATAATGTAATTGTCAATATATAAAACTCAAAAACTGATATAAAATCAATAAAATGTAATATTAACAGTTCTGAATTTCTAATATCAATTATTTAAATTTTAAAAAAATCATAACAAAAGTACCTTGGAAACATTTGCCCTCCCTGGATGAAGTACATCAACAATCTACAACAACAACAACAACAACAACAACAAAATGCATATATAGATTAGAGGTTTCCTATGACCACAACCGTGAAGATCAAACAATTCCTTATTCAAATTCAGATCAAAAGAGCTCAATCGATAAGTAACTAAACAAAATTGTTTCCTATGACGCCGCGGTTCAATTAAAACAAACTATTATCACAATACACAAGTCTGATGAGTCAGATTCAAATATCCCATGCATTAGCCTCCAACAATAAAAAAGAATAAGAGAGAATTGGAAATAACATTTCAAACAATCGTCTGGATAGGCGAAAAAGGAAAGGTAAGTGAAACTCACAAACTGCTTCCTAGAAAGGAGCCTGTTTGTCATGAACTTGCGGGTTCGGATTGTAACAGCCTTGTCCGCCATATTGTTCAGTGAGGTGTGGCACCAAAGAAAATCACACAGATGCAGTCAAAGGGACTCAGCAGCTCCACAACACAGAACACTGAAGAGTTGAAGAAAGAAACCCTAATCCTTTTATAACATTAGGGTTTAGTTCGACAACGGGCTGGACTTTTAACTTTTTAAGCGGATTATTGGTTGTTGGGCTTTGGTACTAATTTTTTAAAATCTTCAACAGCTTCATGAAATCTTTGGTAGTTCCAAACTTTTTAACGAAAATTATTCCTAAATATGTTTTCAAATAAAATTTAATTTTGTCAATATTTTTAAAATATCATTTTAAAAAAATGTTATAATAAAGATTAAAAATTAACTTTCCTTATTCTCATAAAAATATATATCAAACAAAATATGCCCAATTAATATTTAAAAAAAAAAAAATATATATATATATATATATATATATATATATATATATATATATATATATCTAATCATCTATTCATATAACCTTGTAACAAATATTTTTATTTTTGTATATTTATAAATGAAAAATTAAATGAGTTATATTGAAAGTTATTTTTATAATTTTCTGTAAAACTTTCATTTTTACTTTTTATTTCAATAAATTTAATATACAAAATTAACAAAAACATATTTTATAACATGTTCATTCATAAATTATTTTTTTCATCGTAACATTTCTATGAGTACATCTCCATAAATATGAAAATACAGCCTAAAAATCTTAACTATCAATTGACATGGTAATTTTTATATTTGTTTATTCATTTTACGAGGACCATTAATATTACAAAGTTTAGTTAAATTTCATAAAAAAAAATAATAGTCAAATTAAAAAGCCATACGTATCTATGAAATTCAATCCATACGTATCTATGAAAACATAAATTTGCAAATAAAAAATATTTCAAGACATTAAAATATCAAACCTGTAACATCACTCTTTTTAGTTTGAAACTGAATATATATATATATATATATATATATATATATATATATATATATATATATATATATATATATATATATATATATATATATAAAAGCTCTGCAGTTTTATAAAACACTACACGTGAATATCATAACTCAACCTATATATTTTTTGTAAGATAATAAAGTTGATAAACTTTTATTTTGTATTTTTTTCCTCAGATAGTACTACTGAAAACTAAAAAAACAAATTTGTGAAATGGGTAGATAAATAACTAAAACTATACTTATGAAAACAATTTTGATGAAAAAGAAAATACAAATAAAAGAGTCTAAGATTTACAATTAAATATTAATATTCATTATTATATTAATATTAATAAGTCATGTTTTTGTTATTGATATATTATTATTTAAGAAAATATTTTTGTATACTTTAAATTATAAAAAACTCTATCATAATTAAAGGACGAAGATATATAAAATTAATGAGTAAGATAAAAAAATTAAATATTAAATAATAATTTTAATAAAATTAAAATATATTTGTATAATATATATATATATATATATATATATATATATATATATATATATAAAGATTTATGCTAAAATAATAAGAAGTGAAGAAACAATAATTAAATTCGTTCCAGAAAAGAATTAAAGAGATCCCATGAGGTTTGATATTAATTTAATTAATCTGTTGCGCGCTGAATGAAATATAACATATAATGTTAGATTTTATAAGAACACATTTCACAAAATTTTAATTTGATGTTCAAGCAATATAATAAATTATGTAAATTAAGATATGAGAATATATAATGAAGGTTTTATGTGTGAACAGATGAAATTTTTTCTTTGAAATTAAGAAGTGTTGGATACAAAAGGTAAAATAATTTTATGCATATCATCTATAGAATTGTCTTATTTTGTTTTAAAAAACATACGTACATTAAGTAGAATGTGGAAACAGTTTTCCTGAGACTGCCGAGACTTTAGGGGCAATTTTCTAATTTCTAATATCTAGCTCCCTCAACCCCTTTTATTCGGTTAATACTGGACCATTTATTTAACTACCTAGAAATTAACAAATAATCATTAAATACAGAATAATTCAACTAACAATCATTTCCTTAAACTAAAACTTGTAAGCTTTTAGTTTATTTCTGATGCTGCAATCATGCCTAGCTTGCTTCTGAGTTTCAAGAATTGCTCCGATTTGAGTGGCTTGGTCATTATATCTGCTATCTGATTCGAAGTGCTGCAGTAACTTAGCTTGATTCTCCCTTCTTTGACAAGATCCCTTAGGAAATGAAATCTAATATCGATATGTTTGCTTCTGTCATGAAAAACTGGATTTTCGGACAATTTAATGGTTGAATTGTTATCACACAAAATTAGAATGTGCTTTTGCTTTTCAAAACCAAGGGTTTCTAGAATTCTCATAATCCAGATGCATTGACATGCACAGGAAGCTGCAGCTATGTATTCTGATTCTGTAGTAGACAGTGTCACTATAGGTTGTTTTTTAGATGACCAAGAGATTGCACCTGTTCCTAGGAAGAAAACAAATCCTGATGTATTCTTCCTATCATCTACATCACCTGCGTAATCGCTGTCAGTATAAGCCATTAATGTTATACTTTCTCCTTTCTTGTAGAGTATGCCAAGATCCATGGTTCCTTTTAAATATCGTAGAACACGTTTGATAGCACTCCAGTGTGTTTCTGAAGGTTTTTCCATGAATCTACTAGTAAGACTGACCACATACATCAGATCAAGCCTGGTTGCAGTTAGATACATCAGACTACCAATTGCTTGCTTATAGATCGTGGCATCTGCTTTACGTCCTGTGTCGGTTCTGAAAAGTTTCATTCCTGGAACAATAGGATTCTGTACGGCATTGCATTCTAGCATATTGAATCTCGCTAAGACTTCCTGAGCATATTTGCATTGACACGTAAAGATGCCAAGCGTATTCTGCAAAATTTCAATTCCCAGAAAATACCTCATCTTCCCCAAGTCAGTCATATCAAAAACTGACATCATAGAATCCTTGAACTCACTGCACATGTCTTTATCATTTCCAGTGTAAATCAAATCATCCACATAAAGGCTTACAATAAGAATTTTACCTCCCTTTGCTGACTTGGTGAACAAGGTGTGTTCACAATAACATCGTTCAAAGCCATTTTGTAGGAAATATGCTTCAATTTTGTTGTACCATGCTCTAGGTGCTTACTTGAGTCCATAGAGTGCCTTCTTTAACTTATACACCTTTTCTTCCTGCCCTTTTTCTATAAATTCGGCTGGTTGTTGGACATAGATTTCTTCCTTCAATTCTCCATGGAGGAATGCACTTTTGACATCAAGTTGATATATAACCCATTCATGTTGTGCTGCCATAGATAGAATTATGCGAATGGTATCTAGTTTGGCAACCGGTGCAAATACCTCTGTGTAATCCACTCCATAGTGTTGAGCATAGCCTTTTGCAACTAGCCTTGCTTTAAGCTTATCAATTTCACCGTTCTCCTTGAGTTTGGTCTTGTAAATCCACTTGACTCCAATCGGTTTTACTTCTTTTGGAGCATAGGTTAACTCCCAAGTTTGATTTTTCTCTATAGCTTCCATCTCTTTCACCATAGCTTCTCGTCATTTCTTGCTCTTGACTGCTTCTTCAAAGGTTATTGGATCAGCATCAGCTACTAACATAGCATCAGCTACTAACATAGCATTAGTGCTGCTGTCATCATGTGTACTTTCTCCGTCTTCATAATCAACCATCCATACTGGTTTTCTTCTAATTCTTCTTGCCCTCCCTTCTGCTGGAGCTTCTTCTGTTTCAGTTTCAGCTTTGTTTCCAGGTTGTAATGATGGTTGTTGCTCCTCATCTTCTGATTCAGATTGAGAATCTTCTTCTGTCTCGCTTTCAGCAATATCTTGATGATTTTCTGCTCCACTCTGCTCCCATTTCCAGCTTTTTTTTCTTCAAAAATAACATCCTTGCTGATTACTATTTTCTTGCTAATAGGATCAAAGAGCCTATAGGCCTTGGATTCTTCACTGACTCCAAACAGAACACATGATATGCTCTTGCTATCCAGCTTAACTCGCTGCTGATCAGGTGTGTGAACATGCGCTAAGCAGCCAAATACTCGAAAGTACTCAACTGATGGTTTTGTCCCACTCCATGCTTCCTCTGGGGTCATATCTTGGACAGCTGAAGTAGGACTTCGATTGAGAATGTGTGCACACCATTTCGTTGCTTCTGGCCAGAATATCTTTGGGACTTGTCTTCCTATCAATATAGTGTGCACCATGTTCATTATGGTTCTGTTCTTTCTTTCAGCAACTCCGTTATGCTGGGGAGTATATGCAGCAGTTAATTGTCTTCTAATCCCATAATTTTTGCAAAACTCTTCAAATTCTTTTGAACAGAATTCTCCACCTCTATCTGTTCTTAAACAGATGATACTTTCCCCAGCTTCTCTTTCAACCAGTGCGTTGAAGTTTTTGAACACAGAGAACGTTTCTGATTTCTCACTTAAGAAATATATCTAAGTTTTTCTTGATAGATCATCAATAAAACTTAGAAAATATCTCTTATTGCTGCTTGAAGTTGGTCGAATTGGTCCACACAGATCCGCATGTACCAACTGTAATCTTTTGGATGCTCTCCATGCTCCCTTTTTGGACATACTTTTCCTGTGTTGTTTTCCTTCCAAACATTGGGTGCAGATCTTTTGAGGGGCAGTGATTTGAGGCAAACCTGTCACCATTTGTTTAGAAGCAAGGGTGTTTAAGCCATCATAGCTTAAGTGACCGAGTCTATTGTGCCAGAGTTGTGAGTTGTTTTCTGTGTCCATTTTAAAACACGAGTCTGCTGTCATGACTGCTATCAACACAAACATTCTGCTAGCATTCATTGGCACCTTGTATATTACTCCTTTCTCAGGATGCGTAACAGTGCAGAAGTTGCTTTGAATATTAATGTTTAGCCCCTTTTCCTGAAGTTGCCCAACACTTAAAAGGTTGTTTTTCAATTCAGGAACATAGTACACATGTGTAAATAACATGCGTCAATCCATTCACCTTCATCCGAATGCTTCCTTTACCCATAACAGCTATATGAGTATCATTTCCCAGCTTTACCTTGCCTCTGAACTGCTCATCTATTTCGGAAAACCACTCCTTGGTGCCACTCATGTGGTTGCTACATCCTGAGTCCAGGAACCATTCATTCTTCTTTCTTTCTTTACTTTTAGTGAGAGCCATTAGGAGAATTTCTTCTTCATTTTCTTCCTTCTCCTCCACCTCGGCATAATTGACTCTCTTCTCCCACATAGGACATTCATATTGAAAATGTCCTAGTTTATGGCATTTGTAACATTCAACTTCAGATTTGTTAAATGTTTGCATTCCCCTTCCTCTGCCACGAAATGCTCCTCGTATCCTTCCTCTTCATCTTCCTCTTCCTCTTCCTCTTCCATACCTCTCATCAGACATGGTTTGCATTGCCTGTTCTTCTTCCAGGGAGTATGTCATCCTCTGCTCATGCACTAATAGACTACTTTGTAATTCATCTATAGTCATAATGTTCATGTCATTTGACTCTTCAATTGAGCAAACAACATAGTTGAATTTGGTTGTCATGGACCGCAAAATTTTTGCAGTTATAACACTCTCCTCCATCTTTTCTCCTACAGCTTTCATACTTTTGGCTATCTTTAATGTGCGGCCAAAATAAGAGTTCACAGATTCTCCGTCCTTCATTTGCAAGGTCTCAAATTCCTTGCGTAGAGCTTGTAATTGCGCACGTTTTACCCTTGTAGAACCTTGAAGTTTCTGCCTCATAGACTCCCATATGTCTTTGGACGTTTCATCATGTAAAATTGTGTCCAAAATCTCTCTATCAATAGCTTGATAAAGATAACTTTTTATCTTCAGATCCTTGAGTTGTTGTTCTTCCAGCCGTTTGAGTTTCGCATCTGTGGCTTTTTCTGAAACTACAACAATACCATTCTCCACCAAACTCCAATACTCCTTAGAACGTAGGAAATTTTTCATTAGTTTTGTCCAATGGTCATAGTGACCATCAAACCTTGGAATTGCAGGTTGAACATATTTACTTGATTCAGCCATTGCAAATAGCGTTTGTAAGAGTTTCCCAAAGCTCACCAGTGTGTCTCTTCCCAATCCAACGCTGAACAGACGGAACTCACTATTATGGCTCTCTTACTCACGGTTTTTGGTTCAGGCCCCTATGAAGGAGCTCTGATACCAGATGTTGGACACAAAAGGTAAACTAATTTTCTGCATACCATCTATAGAATTATCTTATTTTGTTTTCAAAAACATACGTACATTAAGTAGAATGCAGAAACAGTTTTCCTGAAACTGCCGAGACTTTAGGGGCAGTTTCCTAACTATTAGGATTTTTAATATCTAGCTCCCTCAACCCCTTTTATTCGGTCAATACTGGACCGTTTATTTAACTACTCGAGAAATTAACAAATAATCATTAAATGCAAAATAATTCAACTAACAAGAAGATTATGTTATTAAAGTTTTGTAATTGAGACATGTCTATCATTTTAACTTCTAAACTTAATTATTAAATATATTTTTATGTATATTCATAATTTTATTTTTAAAAATATTTATATATTTATTTATTATTTATTAATAATATATTATTCACATAAAATTAATCTTTATCTAAGTTTCTAGAACTGAAGTATGATTTTTCAAAAATTTTATTACTTATACATAAGTAACTAAAATAAAATATTATTATTATTAAAGGATAATAATAAGCTAGTTAAAATAGTACATGTCAATATATAAAATATTAATATTTAAATTATATATATATATATATATATATATATATATATACTTTATTTATTATATTGTTATTAAGAATAAATTGTTGTAGGATATGTTTTATATACAGAAAAAAGTTTATTTTTCTTTTCGTTTAAATATTAAGGCAAGTAATATATAGTCATGATTTTTTTATAGTTAGCTTTATTTGGTTTTATATTAATTTACAATATCCAGCATAAATTATTAACTTATCATATATAAAAATTATCGTTCAATATATATATATATATATATATATATATATATATATTTGGAAATTTTTAATTATTTTGATTTTTTTATTTCTATAACACATGTAAAACTGAATAAAAAATATTATAATTAAAAATCATTCAATGTTAAAGGAAGACTCATCCCCATCCATAATTAGAAGAATAAATAAAAAAAAAAAAACAAAAAAAGAGAGAAGAAATTCAACCATAGACTATGTAAATGTCACAGTGCACTCCCGTGAAAAACCATTTGACTTGTATGACTTACAATATAATTATCTGTATAAGGTGTTTTATATATATATATATATATATATATATATATATATATATATATATATATATTATCTATTTGATGTTATTTTGATTAAAAAATTTTAAATATATATTTATTTAAGCATCGTTATTATTAAATCTAAGAAAATCTAAAAATACTTTTAATGGAATCATTTAAAAAATGTGATACTTATTTGTAACAAGAGAACACGTTTATTTTGAGCTGCGAATCTCTTTTAAATATAATTGTGATTATATAATTTGAAAGTTTTAATTAACAAACCCAATTATCTTTTGAAATTATAGCATAGCATACTATTTTTATATATGAAAATGAATGAAAGATGTAAAATAAAATAAAAAATTATAAATATATAATTTCAAATAATAAAATATATTATTTATTATTTTAAGTAAAATTATAAAAATACATATAAAAAAGAGCAAAAGAATAAAATACCAGCAATTATAGTAGTAATAATTAGTAAAAGATAAAATAAAAAGAAGAATATGCTATATGGATTGAGCCACGTGGCGTGATAAAGGAAACAAGAATTAGGATGAAAGTGAAAATGAAAAGGACAGAGATTTGGGGATTTGCCTCCATGGCCACAGCCTACACACAAATCTCAAATACCCATTTCATGTTCCAAACACAAATCTCCACACACAGTGCAATACAAAACACAGATTCATTCCAAAAGTAATATTATCTCAATTCAATTCGATTCCATGACCATGCTATTAACGCTGTTACTCCAACCCAATCTCTCCCATTTCAAATGGAACCAATTGCCTTCTCCTCTTCCACGTCGCACAAAGCTCAGTAACTTCGTTCTAATGCCGGACTCAAAACGCCGCGTTTCCACCGTCCAATGTTTCTCCTCGCGCAACCCTCAAAACACCCTCAGTTCACAATCGGCGTGGGAGGTTCTGGCGAGTACAGTGTCGAACACGTTGGAGGCGCTCAAGAAACCGGCCGTAGCCGTGCTCTTGGCGGGGCTGCTATTAATGTACGATCCAAATTCTGCATTCGGGGCATCTGGAGGAAGAATGGGTGGAAGGTCGTTTTCTTCTTCATCTTCTTCGTCGAGGAGTTATTCGGTGCCGAGAACTTCAGGGTCTGGGTTCTCCTATTCGGCTCCGTATTATGCGCCTTCTCCGTTCGGTGGGGTTTATGTGGGGCCCGCCGTAGGGGTGGGAGTGGGTGCGGGCTCGAGTTTCTTTTTCATCCTGGTGGGGTTTTTGGCCTTTGTTTTGGTTTCTGGCTTTCTTTCGGATCGCTCCGAGGGTAGTGTGCTTACTGGGGCCGACAAAACCACCGTGCTAAAGCTTCAGGTTTGCCTAACATAACAATTTTTAGTTACTTTTCTCTTTATATTCCTTGTTTCCTGCCACTAGCTACGCGTCATGTTTTTGTTTTTGTATCCGTGTTGTGGTTTTGAGTCTGAAAGTTGAACAACTGGGCCTACTTTTCCAAACCAAAGGCTTGTTACTTTGTTGTTGTTTAGAATGGGTTTAGAGGGATTCTTTGTTAGCGACTTGTTTTATCCCGATGTTACTAGGTTAGTTTATTTACTCTTTGTTCTGTATTTTTTTTTTTTTTTTGTGAATTTGGATGGAGGTGGTTTTCTTTTAGGTTGGGTTGTTGGGGATTGGATTGTACAAGTTAGACATGCATTATCTTCTGAGGGTTTTAAGTACGACTGAGATGAAACGTGAATCTCCCAAGTATGGGATTAGTTTTGACAATCGGTTATACTCTTTTATACCAAGCTGTTTAGAATATCGATATCAAGACTTTTGGTTAGGGTAGAGGGGCTTGGTCCATAGGGAGGGGTTCCTGCGAGAGACATTAATCTCTTACCTACAAGATTGGAGGATGCTCCGAGAAACAAAAATGCCTCGTAGGTCAAATCATGGTTGGATAAAATTAGATGCATGTCAAGAATAATTCATAAGGCAACAATAATTAGGTTGGAGATTGTGAATGGAAAGCATAAGTAAGGCCAAGGGAATACAGAGGGTCACAGCTGATATATTACATATTATGGCATATATGAAAGGAATGAAACGGGGAACTGTTCTAAGGGAAACAACAGACCCTCTAAAATGTATTATGAAATCTTTTTGTATGGTAATACACTGCATCCTTCAAGTGCTGAGAGAAATAGGTGAAGGCTATTGCCTAACATAGCATTGGTAAATTTTGGATGAGTGAAATAGATACATTAAAGTGAGCTGTGCAGTTGTATCAGAAGTTGGGCACCTAAGCAGGGTTGCAGATTACAATTGGTCAATGAGTAGAAACACTAATTCACTTGTCTTCTTTCAGACATTGAGAAGATTAGTAAAATGTCCCAACATTGCACTATTAAAGAAAACATCAAAGGCGTAAAATATCATGAACTGGACAATTTTCAGGGAGAGTTTCAATTTAGGTAATTTCTTTTCTTGTTGCTGATGCTCTACCTGAACCTAATTCCCTGAGTGTACCCTTTTGTGCGAACTTGTGTTACTGCTTTGCTGAATGAATTTGTTCTCTTGACCCCTAATAAATGAAAACATGGGTTAAACTTATAAAGTATGAAGATTTTGATGTGGATATTATTCTGCTTTGTATTTTATTATTTATTATTTATTATTTATTGCATATTAAGAAGGAATGACACAAGCTACCCAGTTTAAGTCACCTGCATGGTCCATGGAAACAGGAGTTGTAGTGGAAAGTAAAAATGTCAGAGGATAAAGGGAGATTTTCAAAGCATGGCCCATGGCTGCTTACCTGGCCTGGGATAAAGGACAAGCTCCCTAGTACTGTTTCCAATTAGGATGAGTAGAGAGAAAGATTTTGCAATCAGATTTTCAAAATCCTTGGCATTTTATTCCCCAATATTCCTCATTCAATTCCAAACCTTCCTCAATTTTATTGGCCCCATGCTAATTCTTATCTCATCAATTTGTGACAATGCTCGCAATTTTGTTACTTGCAGCTAACCCCTAGAAGTCAAAATGGAAGCATAGGTAACTTATTAGTACAATTTCCTCCATGTTGCATGTCCCACTGCAATCACAGTTTTTCAAAACCTGATAAATTTACTTTATTTTCTCTATGCAAATGTTGTGCTAAATGTAGTTTGAATTATCTCTTATTGTACAAGTAAATTCAGAGGAAAGATGACTCGAGTCTCGAGTTCAAATCCCCATTTGTGGTTGTTGCTAATACAGTATTGAATGTTCTGAAGGTCTTGCAGAAACCAGCCGCAGGTGCAATGCATTGAACCTGGGGGTTGTTATAAATGTACAACCCCAACTCTGCATTAGTGCATCTGGATGGCTAATAGATCTTTATCTAGGAGTTATTCAATGGCCAGGACATCCTCCAACTCTAGGCCCATCCAAGGCATCTCTTTCTCAGCTCTATATTACATGCCTTCTCCTTTAGGGTTTGGCAGTGACTGCAGTGTGATTTATGTTGATTTGATTTAGAGTTTTGACTCCATAGTAGGTGCTGCTTTGAGTTTATTTATTATCTTAGTGGATTTCACCATCCCATCACCTTTCTTGCGATTTATAGGTTTCTTCACAGATTGGTCTTAGGGTAGTGTACTTGCTGCCACTGAGTAAAACACCATGCTCAAGCTTCAATCATGGTCAAGTTTTCACATAAATATCACTGCCTCACTTTTTAATTTCTTTCCTGATTGATTGCTGGCATTAGCATAAAGCCATGAACCATTTTTGCTACATGGTCTTCCAATAAGTTGTTAGTAGTACTGTTACTTATCTAAGGTTATGCTTTGTTACCATGTTTCCTCTCTCTAATGCATATATTATTCTTTAAATTTATGATCCAAAGGTTTGGGTGCCAAGATTTGTTGCCATTTTAATTGCGTTTAAAAGACCTGTTTGTTAGCTATCATTCTACAGCACACTCTTTGTCATTTTATACATGGTTAAATCTTTGGTGAATATCAAATGTTCAATGGAAGTGTTATTGTTCTAGGTTGGATTGTTGGGTATGGGTCGCACACTTCAAAGGGATCTGAATAGGATTGCAGAAGTTGCTGATACATCAACCTCAGAAGGGCTGCATTATGTATTGACAGGTGAAGTGGCTAAATATGTGATTTTTCAGTCACTTGTTTATTGTCTACTTTTCTATCGCATGTTTTTTTTGTAAAGTTAACCAAACATGTGAGCATGTTTATTATTTTAAAATTTGCTATTATGTCTAACAATCAATGAAGGATTGGTGTGATACTTGTGTTCTGATTTCTGAGGGCTTTAAATTAGAGATTTTGCATAATCCTGGTAATGTATTCTATTGGATGACTTTTTGTTCATGGTATCAACAGAAAATATTTAATAAAAGATAAATACTGGAGAATAATGTCAGATTAATTGCATGATACTTTTAACCCCCAACTTAGTTTCAAACGGTTTGTTTTGGTTAGTGCTTTGTGTGGTATATATAGCACAACACTTAGTTTCTTTCAAGCATTGCATGTATTGTATTCGTCAATTGAATATTAAGGTTTCAAGTACACTTGCATTCAAACTTAAGAATAAAGCTTCTAGATTTAATTTAATATTGTTGAGATTCAGGAATAAATATTATACACTTAATGTATATTGATTTGATATTTGATTTTGAGAAAACTGAATATCCTCTAGTCATGCTAATTAATACAATATTTATATTTAAACCAACTGCACAGTGTCACTTAGACACAGTTTCAACATCATATGTCTCGGTCTTCTTTTTCGATTAACAATCACTTGTTTCAACATGGCGTGGATACATCTAATACATGATATGTTGATCAAATCTATTGTTGAGGAAGCATAGAAATTCTTGAAAAGGAATATTTCCTTTAAATTTCAAATTACTTATGGTTATTAAAATGATTTAGCTTGAAGCAACTTGGCTGTTACTTTAAAAATGTCAAATCTACTTTTATAATTTGCTTTCTTACTTTACTTTATGCTGCAGAGACAACGCTGGCTTTGCTTCGGCACCCAGATTACTGTATCTCAGCGTATTCATCTGTAAGTGATATTAGTCTTGTATCTTAAAGAGTCTTTTAGAATTGCATAATACTATAGTGGACACCGCCATTTAGGGTCTGTTTGGATAAACTTCTTCATTAGCACTCTGAGGATTATAAAACAAAAAAAATAAAATAACTTTCTCCTAGTTATGATTAACTATTGAAAGATTTTAATTGTAGATTTTTTTTTTCATATTAACATCTCTAAAAGATGATTTTAACTTATGTATAAACTAATTTTAGTTAAGAAAAAAATTATTTCACTCTTTCTTAAAGTTTTTTTGGAGAAGTATATCCAAATGAACTCTAAGTGTTATTAAGTTGTTAAATCATGTTACTTTTTGTTGCATAATAATGTGATAGATGAAACTTTGTGACACACCACACCCCACATTAATATTCTTATTCCCAAATTTAAAAGCAAATGCCTAGTCGTGCCCATACTTAGGGCATCGGTAACCAAAAGTGGAAAGTTTATATTGAAAGTGTAATATATAATGTTACCAATGCATTGAAATTGTCATTTCCTATAATTTTTTTATGTCTAATGATTCCTTAAAGGACTTTAAAGTAGAACCCAAGTTTAAAATAAAGTATCAAAGTGGCTAGAGCTTCCAATTCAATGTTTTTTATATTTTGTAACTATTTTGGTTGACAACATTTAAAGATTTATGTTATAATGGGGTAATGTTTTTCTTTTGTCCCAAGGTTAATACTTCAATGGAAGCTACTGGTCAAGCTGCAAACATGTTTAATTAAAGTAAAAAACACGTATTTCTTCTTAGGAAGAAACAGGGATAAACCCCAAATACAAGATTGAACACTGCAGTACCTTGAGTGTCTGCACCTCCCGATAATTTTCTCTAAAAAATGTCCCTCTTCATTTTGTTATACGTCTGATAATGAAACAACCATAAGGCTAAGAGGGAAACCATCCCTCAAAAGCTAGCTCAAGAGGTTGGAGGACCTCCTACCTTATAAGGCCTCCCTGGTAAGGAGACCTCCCCAATGTGGGACTTGTTACAATACCACCCCGTTCGAAAGCCAGCGTCCTCGATGGCTGCACTCCACGACACTTCACTCACCGGCACTTCACTCACTAGCACTTTACTCGGCTTTCTTACCGATCAGAACCCTCCAGTGGTCAGAACCCTCCGGCGGTCAGAACCCTCCGTGGGTAGCCCTTCTCGAGTTAGCTGGCTCTCAATGAAAGCACCATTGAAACAACCATAAGGCTAAGAGGGGAACCATCCCTCAAAAGCTAGCTCAAGAGGTTGGAGAACCTCCTACCTTATAAGGCCTCCCTGGTAAGGAGATCTCCCCAATGTGGGACTTGTTACAGATAACCTTCAGTAATTGTGACTACTAGTGGAACAATACCCCCTTCCTCAACCCCCCAAAGCATTCACCACAGCCTCAGGTGAAGGACAATATGTAAACGCCAAGAGCAATTGTTAACATAACCATACCAGGATCACATTGCCTGAAATATATCAATTGTCTGTCTCTTTTCGTCTCAGTAAGAGATGCAAAAACAACTGTATTTGTAATTTATTACTTACGTAATCTCCATGACTATAGATTGGAACATACAGCTGGGTTCAAGACTTGGTAAAGTTAATTGAAAATTCTTCTTATTGCTTATATTTCTCCCATTAGTTTCCCCTTGAAGCACAAAAATGAGCCATAGCCCAGCGTCTGGTGGATTGACACCTTTTGATATTGCCCCATCCCTAAAATTTTTTTGATAACATCAACAGTTCCGCGAAACATAGCAATTTACTGTACTGTCTCTCCACTGTTGCTGCTGCTGTACTAATTGGACTCGCATTCCGATTTTGTATTTCGTCAACTCATTTTACACATCCCAACAAAAAAACAAAATAAGATGGGTTCCATAAGTTTCTTATCTGGATTTCCGCAGTGATGTGGCCACCAACCCTCAATCTCATACAAATTGCACCCAGTCTAATAAGAAACCCTCAAAACATTCTTTCTTCTGAATTCTGACAAAGGTATCACCCAAATTATTGGGAAGAATTCACATCAAACTGCCAACACCTTCTTGTGCACTCAAGGTTGTTACTGACTTACTAATGGGTTATCTAACATTGACACTTGTGTAGGTGGACATAAAGCGTGGTATTGAAGATGGGGAGAAACGTTTTAATCAACTTTCGATTGAAGAGAGGGGAAAGTTTGATGAAGAGACACTGGTCAATGTTAATAACATAAAGAGACAAAGCACAAGAAGCCAGAGAGCGAATGGGTTCAGCAATGAATACATAGTGGTATGATTTTGTTTTCCAGTAACTTATTTTTTGTTTTCAATAATCTGTATTCCCACATGTTTTGTCATCAACAGAAAACAAATATATTACGAGATTACAGAAGGTACTCCATCGCTAACAAAATGTACAATAATCGGAAAAGGACAAAACTTGATTCCAATATCTTAAGTTTCATACTAAGATTTCAGGCTTCTATTCCTGCATAAATTTTACTGCATCATATTTTGACGATACACATTTGAGTAACTTATGAAGTACGAGATACATGTGAAATCATATTATTACATATTAACTTTTGTGTTAGGTATGAAGTTGGGAAGACTTCACCTATAACTTAAAATACATTTTAACATGTAGGTTTAATGTCACTGTTGACATCCATATCTAGAAAAAAAAAATTCCAACCATCAGAAAAAAAATGGAAAAGATATTGAAAATATTTGGCGTATGGGGCCCTGATGTAAGACAGAAAATAATAAAATGAATCTGAACTAGTTGAGAACATTTCTCATCTTTGTTACTCTTCTAAAACCCGTATTTCTATTGCTGTGGTTGGTAGACATTAGCACAATTGAATATGTTGACCTATAAACAATTAAATTATTTTTCATATGTTTTTATTGGAAATACTGAACTTGGATTTTTATACTTTTTTTCTTTCTTTGCCTTTTATTGTCGTTTGGTTGTAACGATTCAGTTTGTCAAATAGAGGTAGGTTCTTGCGTGCTTCATAACTCTGGTGCGGCTGCTTCTTTTCAAATTACATTGGTCAATATCCGTTTTACCTACATCTGTTACTCAACAGGCATGAATCATCAATACCTAAATTCAATAGGCATATAACTACAGTAATCTGTGTGAACCTGTTCTCATTTTGTTTGGCTTTGAAATTTTTAAATTTAAGCCCTGCGAATCTGTTCAGTGGAAAGGGAAATAGTAGGGACAAAAATGTTGTTTCATGTAGATTTTATAATTTTATGTGTAATACAAGTTTTCTTATTTCCAACTGGTTCTTTCGAGACCCTTATTCCTGATGGTTTAAGTGGGTTCTACTGAACCATGAACTCGTCCAATCCAACCAATCATTTGTGGGTTTGGGATCATTGAGTGGGATTGAGTTTTTTTTTTTTAATGTACCCAAATTGAAGAGCTTGATCAGGCAATGAATTCATGAGTTTTTAAATCCAATAAACCCAATTCAATCTGGACTACTTACACCTGCACTTATTCCTGAGAAGGGTGAAGACTGAAGTTTCATGAGGACAGTTCTTAAATTTTTCTTCTATTTCGTGCTATCAGATAACAATCTTGGCAGCTGCCGAAGGAGAACACAAACTCCCTAGCATCAATGGAAGTGGAAACTTGAAGGACGCTTTACAGAAACTTGGATCCATCCCATCAAACAAATTATTGGTAAGATTAATGTTACTCTGATAGTCCTTTTGTAGACGCCGTTGTTAAATAACATCACCATGCTTGAATTACTTACAGGCAGTTGAGGTGTTATGGACACCCCAGAATGAGAACGATACTCTCTCAGAACGGGAGTTACTTGAAGATTACCCACTTTTGCGGCCTCTGTAGATTGTGAGGACATGCTTGCGTTCTGCTTCTAGCCTTCTAGAGCTATGAATTGAAACTGGGTTCTGTTTGCATAGTTAGGGATCATCACCAGTATTGTGATTGTTCTTCTACTCAGTCTGCAAGGCAATTTTCAGCTCCAGTAAATGTCAGCAATGACGTTGAATCACTTACAAAGGTTTTAATATTAAATATTGATGGCATTAGTTGTAAAAATTACCACTAGGAGCCACTCTAAAGAATATGTACAATATTATAGAGAATCCTTTTTTCATTGAAATTTAAAATAAGTGCCCTGTCTGTTTGGAAATTGCTCTGCTTTAAATTCTGTGAACTTTTCCAGAATTGTTACGTGCACGACAACATGAACATACATTGGTTAAAAACTTGACGTTTTGCAAGTTGTGATCATAGAATAAAATAAAATTTCAATGTCCAATATTTTATTATTATTTTGGTATTGGTGTAGACTAAATCCAATATCTAGTTGGATAAATTATTAGTTTTTTATCACAGTCTGACTGACTTTATGACGTTAAGCTTCAGTTTTATAATGGATTTCAGTCATGACCGACGTACGTGCTCAATCATGAATGTGTAGACGTTTATTGACGCCATGCCAACTTAGAAAAGATCACCAACATCTTATAAAATAAGAGTTTGATTCAATATAATCCTAAAATATTGTTGTTATATTATTAATCAGTTAAAATCTCCAGGACTTTTCATGTAGTTATTATATTTAACATATTTTCAGTGTAATGATTTTTATATCAAGAGTAAATTAAACATCACTTTAAGTAATTATTGAAAATTAATTAGTAATTATATATGTCAACTATTGAATGAGAAACAACCCATTTTAATTAAATTCCATAAATAAATAGTATGATCATAAGATCATAAATAAAACATACTAATGATTAACACTAATGTCAATCAAATGAAACCTTATATTTCTATTTCGGTAATTTTTCCTTTCTCCCTCTTTTATTATTTTGTATGTTCTTTGCCATGACTTCTACATCATTTGTCTAAATATCATCAATCATTAAAGGTCTTTACATGTTATGCTTATTGTGATAATTTAATGTGTTCCATTGAATTATTTAAGTTTTCCCACATCATGAGTCAAAAGTTGCATGCCCTTATAAAAAAATCTTTTATCAATAAAAATGAATCCTACCAATGATTTTTTTTTAAATAAACAAAAAAAAAATCTCTAAACATAATCCAAATAGTTCTCAAATAATCTTTTGGGATATGTGAGCTATTTTTTTGGTTTACCCTCTTTTTTTTCTTATGTTTTTCATGGTCTTTAGATCAGAATCATAAAATGAACTTTTTCAATAGGACGAACAAACTTATTCTAATAGGATGAAGTTTTCTTCTTCAATGTTTTTAAGTAAATCAATAGGATGAATTAGTTATAAATATTTTTACATTTAGGAATCGAAGGAATGCTTTAGTAGGTACAATTAGGTTTTATTTATGATTTAAATCTATGCAGTAATTCTTTATAAGGGTATGAAGTGCTAACTTCTTTATGTGATTGGTGTTCATGTCTCTCTTTTACAGTAGCAGTTAGAAAAAAAAATAGAAAGAAAATTATGAAAATAGCAAACCTTAAATACAATTCATTGGACCAATTCATCATTTTACATTATTGGGTTCAAATTATTGTTTTATTTTTCAAAACAACTGCATCATCATCATTCATGATTGAGAAGAAATAAAGGTAATGGCAAAGCAAAAGTTCAGAAACCATCATGGGCCAACCCAGTGGGAACTGACACGCCATATAATATCAACGAACCAAACTCAAGAAAAAAATGTAATTAATAATTTATTGCAATGTTATTTGTCAACGTACCTTTAGCCCCTTCAATTCCACGCACATGAAAAATAAATCACGTTTCCCCCTTCAAATACCAATTTCAGACAAATGTATACAGCGCAGAGAATTAAGAGTTGATTTGTTCTGAATTTAGAAATTGCCAAACGGTTGGTTTGAAACCAACAGAACTTGAATATGCTCGATGTTTAGGAAGGATCATAATAGGATGTAATTGACCAACAAGTGGCGAGTCACCAATTTGGGTTGAATTTTCACGCGCATTGTTCAAGGGAGAATTTGACCCAGTTGGCACACTCAATTATTGTAGTTCTATCTAGAAAAATAGAATACATGCAACTCTATTATTTGTTTCTATTAAAGACTTGACAAAACTGCATAGACTTGACCGATTGCTATGCTCAGTATTACATAGAACATGTGCATGATCACCCTCCCCTCACCAAAAGGAACAAAAAAAAAATCTGTTTATTCTAAATATACGACACTGTAATGTATATTGACAAGTTTGTAAGGAACTGTTTTGGTATCTTTGTGGGGGACATTGAAATTCCAAGAAAAGAAAAAGGTAGGGGTGTTGCAATCAGAAAACCTGGGAGGACTGTATGTACATAATGCACAAAAGAATTCAGTCACAAAATTATACATCCACAGCATCAACAGGAAGGGAAACTGTCCTGTATAGAGTGTCTCGAAGCGACCCTGTGTTAAAACTCTTTGCAGTAACCATACCTTCTTTGTGAGAACACATCACCTCACAATTTTGGGGCCTTTGGATGTCCAAATTGGAGTGGTTCTTTTGGACTTGAGAATGAAAACTGGAATCATAATCCCAGAAATTACACAAGGGTTTCAAGTAAATCCCATTTTTCACTCCGTTTAATGTTTCTGTCAATGGTGGCATAATGCCTTGATCTGTTTTGTGTTCTTTGTTAGTAGAAGGTGAAGATTTAACTGCTACACCAAACTTTTTGTCCCTACGATCCCTTGAATCCATTTGGTGTTTGCTTTGAGCCATCTCAATTCTTGTTGGACCACTTTCTCATATTCCTTTTCGGAGCCACGACATAATAAACTGATAGTAGACGAATAATTTCCAGATAAACTTCGTGGGGGGTTTCCGGGATCATGTGCAAACTTGTTTTCCAAAATGCCCTTTTCTTTCTCTTCTGCTAATACTGATTTATCTAATTGTTCATATGGCTCATCAGAATGGCTTTGATCAGACTCTACTGGACTCAGGTCACAACTTTCTTGATGATTCCATAACTCCTGATACTGCTGGCAGTCTGATTGGCTTGATTTGATAGGTTCATCCCCTCTCACATGATTGTCATACTCAGATGGGAAGGTTACCTCCTCGAACCGCCCATGCACCGAAGTACATCCATGCCTACAGCATTGAGGAAGCTGCAAGTTCTTTCCAACTTGATTATGTGAATGAAAATCCATAATATTGCCACTGGATGTATGATTAGACACACAATTGTGACAAACAAAATTATTTACAAAATGGTTAGTTTCTTCAAGTCCTGGTCCTCGCTTCCATTCAGGAACCAAGGAAGCAATTTCCCCATCTATCATGTCAGCTATGCTGGTAACATCCTGATCAGTAATGTCGAGTTCTGCAACCATTTCAGTTGCTACACTTAATGCTGTGTCCATCTCTATGTCAAATGGGAAATAAATATTTCGAATATGTCCTGCCATATAAACAAGTCAAATTATCAATCATAAATTCCACCCTGAAATATACGAGTTATGGGATAAAGTACCAAAACAATTCCCAACCTTCTTTGTCTGCAATTCTTAGCCTTAAAAAAATGCCACCATCATCTTTCCTCTTTCCTTTGATGCTTATGTCAACATCTTCAGAGGCTTCATCATCAGGGCACTCGAAAAGTTCAATTCCACTATGTTCAATCTCAGCTGGATGAGAATTTCGGTCTCCTTCATATTCAAGGCAATTTGAGTATTCAGTACTCATGTTACTATAGCTCCGATGGAGATCAAAAAATGGCTGATGGATAAGAGAACCCATGTCATCAAATGCTCCACTCTCCATAGGCCCTAAATCATACTCGTAATCATCAATCTGAAGAAAAGGGTCATCTAAAAGCTCCCTTGCAGAGAGCCTTAGAGACACTGTTGCCAGGCATTTCTCAACAAATTGTCGCACTTCTGGATCCTTCACTTTATACAAGGCTTCCGGTTTCTTCCCCTGGAAATGTAACATGCGATTCATATCTTGAAACTCCTGAATAAACGCGTACTGAGCAAAAAAGAGAAAGAAAGCAATCTTACAGAAGTAACTTTCTTGTAGATTTGCGCTGGATGACTACATTCACTATAAGGATATTCAAATGTGACCATTTCTAACACACACATCCCAAAGGAATATATGTCAACTAATTCATTATATGATTCTTCATAAACTTCAGGTGCCATGAATTCGGGTGTTCCTGTGGAAATACAGATGTGAAAGATAAAACTCTAATCAGAACTGTTGATCCTAAATCATCCCCTAATTATCTTAACAACACCATCCAACCGTGCAGTACACATCACACGGTTTTATATGGTACTGCCAAATCATTTTTCAAAAGATGGGATCCATGAACTGAAGTAATCGCAATTGGTGCTAGAAATGGCCATTTTTTTTCTTGTTACCTTATGATATGAAATAGACATACCTACACAATGAGCAGCATGAGACTTGCGTAGAATTGCTGCCAACCCAAGATCCCCAATCTTAACTTCCCCTTGGTTTCCATTGACAAAAATATTATCACATTTTAGATCTCTATGGATCACAGGTGGGTCATGGCTATGAAGATAGTGAAGCCCTCTCAGGATCTGTCTACACCAATGCTTCACTGCCCTAATGTTAACCCTTTTGTGCTTTTGCCTATACCTATTGTGATAATTAAAATAAATAAAAGAAGAAAGCAATCATACAAGAAGAAAGCACAAAAAGAATAATGGTCATATGCATAAAATGTAGATGGGCGATAAAAGATTGAACAATGGAGGGAACTCACTGCCTAAGAGTGCCAGAAGTGAACATTTCAGTCACAAAGTTGATATTCCTATTTGCAGTATCGACCCAAGACGTGTAAAACTTCATTATGTTTCTGTGCTTCAGCGTCTTGAGAAGATGAATTTCACAGTAAAGCCTCTCGAGATCTTCAGGGCTCTGCAGAAAATCGTACAATTTGACTTGGTTCCAAGCAACTTCAATCCCTTGATACTCATCAAATGCTCTATATCTGAATAAAACAAAAATTGAAAAAATAAATGAATAAAATATCAAATGCCCAATTCAACAAACTCGGAAAAATGAAGAGGAACCTCTCTAAATAATCAGAAGTGAACCACTAACATAATCAACTGGAACAAATCAAACAACAACCATAAAGATTGGAAATTTGAGAAAAATAAGGGATGGGAGGTAAAAGGGTTTGTCTGAAATATTCATACACTGTCTTGGAAGCTCCTTTGCCGAGGATTTCATTGTACTGCAAAAAAAAAAAAAAATTGATGAAAAAGTTTAGGTATAAGAGAAGAATGAGAGAAAAAAGATGAAAGAGGGTATGATTACTCTGCCGTATCTGCCAGTTGGATCAACTTCGACGAACTCAGAAGAGACAGATGAATCTGTTTGAAGTTCATTCATTTCTTATTCTTTATGATTTTCTCTAATTTTCTTTCTCTCTTATCATTAGATTTCTCCTCTTCCCTGTCTAGTTCTTCCTCTGCCACCACACCAAACTCAAAACAAAATTTTTCACCTGTTTATCTCTACGGATCTATAATAATATATAATATATTTTTTTACCTTTAACAATGGTATATCAGCGTGTATTCTAAATGGACTAAAATTATTTTCATCAATTTTCATTTTATATGAACTCCTTGCACTTAATAAAATTATATTATTATTTTAAAATAATTATTAGGTTATAAAATTGATTAATTACTATTATTATAATAATAAACAAAAATTATCAAACGAGAAAATGAATAACCTATAAAAATAAAATAATCAGAATGAATTATATGAATTGAGATACGGATTATTACTTAACATTTTCTTACTTAAAATTTTTATATTTTTAAAAAATATATCTTTAATTATAAAACTAATTTTAAGTTTTTATTTATTAATTAATATTTTTAATAGATCAATTTAAAAAAATATTATATTTATTTATTAGAATAAATAATCTTATTAAAAATTATAATTTAATTAATTAATTTTTATAATCTAAATTATAATATTATAAAATATTTATTTATTTTAATAAGATAAACAAAAAAATATTTAATTATTTTTATTTTATTTTAATATATAAATACTTTTTTAAAACAAATTAATAAATAATTCATCTCATTTTATTATTGACTTGCTGATTAATCATGACAAATTTTAATTATTATTTCCTCTCACTACTTAAAAAAAAACAAAAATTACCATTGAAACCTAATCCAGTTTAGATTGTTAAAATCAACTAGAAAAGAGACACGTAATAGTAACTTTAGATTACCATATATTTTACCGTATAGATTATGGAACCACCCACCACAACGGGACATTATAATAAATATTTTTTATTTTTATTTAAAATATAAGTACATTTTATTTTATTTAACCTCATAAATTTTATGAATGATAAAGTTTACTTTTTTTTTAAATATTGAACGTAAATACAAAATTAAATTAAAAATACTATTTACCATATAATTCAAACAAATTACGAAAAACTTTACTTTCCTTTTATTTATATTTAATTCTTGTTTTAATTCTTCTTCAAATTTACATATGTTTATTTTTTTATTTTTTACTAATTAAAGTTATACTGATGTATTTATTTAAAGTATCATTGCATATTATTTAAATTTATTGAAATTAGAAAAATATAAAGTATGTAAAATTATGGATTTAATTAAAATTATAAATTATTTCAAAATACTATAATAAAATCATGAACAATAAAATAATTCAAATTTTAATTAATAAATTATAATTCAGTCAATAATATAAGTTTGGACATTTAAACTCTTTAAAAGTTTAGTTGAATATAAATAGTTTAGAAATAAAGAGAGAAGGGAAACAAATAATTAATAAATGGAACGAATAATACAATGATAAAAGAAAATACTTGACTCATGTAAGTTGAAAGTTTAAATATCTTCAAAGTTTTAATTTTCAGTTTAATGTTCACATTATTGAATTAAGTTGACTTGAAAATATGTTTGAATTTTTTGTCTTTATTTACGAGTGATTGTAATAAAAGTCTCCCTGACTAGTAAAATTTTTTAAATGAAACAAAAATTAAAAAATGAAATATTTTTTAAGCATCACCGATAAAAAAATAAATTTAAACTATTTTTTAAAGGAATATCTACACGAGAAAATAAAAAGCAATTTTTTTCCTCTTTTTCTTTCTAAAAACACGATGAACATTCAACGTTATCGGAAACAAAAAAAACTAGAAAAGCATGTGTCTTTTGGAACTCAGACTTTTTGTTTTTTAACACACAAAAGTCAAAAAAAAGATTTACCTAACTGAACCGGCAAAACAGAGTGATACTTTGATGAGTATTGAAAATTAAAAGCAAAATTAATGATAATTGATGATAAGGGTTTCAACCTTTGTGCTTAGGTTCACTGTAACTAATTAATATCTCATCTAAACAATAATTAATGCTCAAGGAGAAGTAAACACATAAACTGAAAGAAAATGTTAAAAAAAAAAAATATTAAGTGGAAGTGAATATTATTTGATACAAGATTAAACATAAATGAAAATAAATAAATAAAATATTTATTATTTTATTTATTATTATTATCATTAAAAATTATCAATTATTACGTTATAATGCAATTTTATTTCATTGACAACTCTAGAATAAATATATAACATTGATATCGCTTAAAATATATATATATATATATATATATATATATATATAATATTAAATGAAATTTTTTAATTAAATATTATATTGATCTCAAAACTTTAATATACATAATATTTAATTATTCATAAGTAAATAAATATAACATATTCACAACACCACAAATAATATATTTATTAACATCCTTAATTTATGTGAAACAATTTTAAATTACATTAATTATGAGATAGAAGCAGTATCTACTTTATTTAAATTAATATACATATTTTGTAATATTTAATCTTAACAAAACAAGCTGAAACTATAATATATATATATATATATATATATATATATATATGAACAAATTTATTTATATATGGGTTGTTATAAAAGTTAAACAATTTTCAACTGATTTTATTAATGTTTATTTATCTTATACATAATAATAATAATAATAATAATAATAATAATAATATTATTATTATTATTATTATTATTAGTGTGATAAACTATCATGATATTTCAATGCATGTGTCAATTTATAAATGAGTTAGAAATTTTACATGCACAGGAAAAATAAGTTAGAATTTTTACTATCTAATTAATCAAATTTTTTCCTTTTTCTTTTTCTCACATGTTTATTTGTTTTTATGTTTAGAATATTGTCATTATTATTTATAGGATAAATTTTTGCATACAAGTAAAATTAAATATAAGATTTTTTATTAAATAGATAATTTATAATATATGAAAATAATATGTCATTGACTAGTAAAATTTCTGTCATTTAAAGATTTAATTTATTTTAAAAAGCATAGAATTGTTTCATATCATGGTAATAATCAAATAATGAGAGATTCTACTTTTTGGATTACATTCTTGTAGGAAGGATGGGAAAACTGATTATTTGACTAGAAGGATCAGTTTATTGTTAATTGTGAATATGTTTTTTTCTTCTAAATAAATAAATAAATAAATAAAGGTATTTATTAGAATGATGTGATTCGTTTTCTTGTTTTGAGAAGAAAACACAATATGAAAGGTGTGGTGTGTTTGGATGTTAGGGTGCATTGATTGAAAGGCAGAGCACATGCACACACAAGTGGGATCCTATTTTATGCCCTTCTCATCACACCTTTCTGCATGTCTACTCTGTCAATATATAAATCAATCAAGCATCAAAATAAAAATAATAATCATAATAATACACAATCTTTTTATTTTAAATTTAATAATCAAATTATTATCGTAATTTCTTAAAAAATCCAAAAAAGTCAATGAGAAAATAATCATATAATTATATTTTTTATCCTTTTATAATATAAAAATTAAAATAAATCATTATTTTTTACTATTTAAATAAAATATTATAAAAATTTATTCTTGAGATAAGTAAATATTTAATTTTCTATACATTTAAAATATCAAACTTTTTTTATGATTAAATTTTAGCATTTATTTTCTATCAATTCAAACTGATAAATAAATATTAATACAATTGAAATTGAAAATAAATATAAAGAGAGAGAAAAAGATTTTTATTGACAAATTCGATTATTATTATTATTATTATTATTATCAAGGATTTAAATAAAATCTTAACATCATAATTTTTTTACTTTAGAGATTAATATACTTTTTCATTACCAAATTCGATTATTATTATTATTATTATTATCAAGGATTTAAATAAAATCTTAACATCATAATTTTTTTACTTTAGAGATTAATATACTTTTTCATTACCAAAATTATCACTGTGTGGAACACTTTTCCAGAAATATTTGATCAGAATTAATTAAATGGATATTCCCTCTTGAGTTTTTTTTACAATAATATGAAACAAAGATAGGAAGTAAATTTAGCCCGTTATTCTTGAAAATAATTCCAATATGCTGGTTGTCACTAAAAAAACTCTGTTTCACGCTGTATACACAAAGCAAATACAGAAAAAAGAAATTGTTGTAATTTTAAATTAATTTGTACTTTTTTTTATTCTCTCGTTTTCAAAAATTAACTGATTAAAAAAATCATCTCTCATTTATGCTGTCGTAAGTATTTTTTGAAAAAAAAAAATCACATTGTTCATATAAAGCTACTGTTGAAACTTGGAATCTAAGTTCCACTTTTGCCGTCGTAGATAATACATTCACACTGTTTGAATTAAATTTTCCATAAAAAATTTATAAAAAATAAAGAAAAACTATTTATTTTGTAAGTTGAAATCAAGTGTAAATTAAAACTAATTATTTGAAAGTTAAATGAAATATTTTTGTATATTATCGTGTATAAATTAATTTTATAATTCTTATTTTGTAATAAATTTGTATAAAGAAATGTATCGACAAATCAAATTTAATTTGAGTTTTGCTTGTTATATATACTTTTCAAATTACAGTCAAATATGCTTTAATGTACGAATATTAAGTTTACAAGGATTTGTACAAAAATATAACCAGTTAAAGAATCATTCTTATGGGAGGGAGATATATATAAATTATTTTTAAAAATATATAAAAATTATCTTTAATCTAAAAATATATATATATATATATATAAATTATTTCCTAACCCTTTTCTCTTTTCTTAACTTAGGGTTCTATAAATATGTTATCTTTTAACTTTCGTAATTGAAGCGAACAGGTCATGAAATTGGTGCAAGAGTGCATCATCTTATTACGAATAAAGTCTAAAAGATTATGAAAATGAAATGAAATGAAATACGGAAAGTGTACCCAAAAGAAGTGCTTTACAAGTCACCAAACTGTCCAAACACGCCCCACCCAACCCAAAGATTAGAGATTAGTATCACCATGAAACCAATTGCCAAATGCATGTGCATCTTTATCCTTTAAGTTCGTGGTACTCTTTGTACCAACTCAATCACGTTCATAAAATCACTTCCGCCAACTTATCACGTTTATTTCTTGTCACAAACTTTGCACTCTTTTTATTGTTTATGAATACAACGATTGTGTATTCTCTCTAAATTTTAAATATTGATATAAAAATCTCATACATGTCTCCTAAATATTAGGTGAAAATCTAAAATCTTGTAATTACTTTCCATATTTAAAAAAAATATTATTAAAAATTTAATAAGTTTTCAAAACTTATTTGAGACTAATTATTTCATAAGAAAAAAAAGTAACAAAGGGAGGGCAACATGCGTTTAAAATGTTGTTTGGGTACGAACGTACTTTTTGGTTTTGTCCACTTGAGAAACATGCACACATAGTAATATACCCTGTTTGGCTGTGCCAATTGCCAAAAAGCCAAAAGCCAAAAGCCAAAAGCTAAAGTGGGGTCCTGAAGAAGAAAGGTTAGGTAGACATATCTATCTAGTTTTAACTATTGGGACAGCAGGGAAATAAATACGTAAACAAGCACAACCAGCTAAGCTTGCTTTTAATATTTTAGGAGCATTTAGGTGTGAACAAATATAATTATTTAAATTAAATTTATATTTATCTATATTTAAATCACCTTAAAATAATTTAAATGATTAATTTAACATTTGTATATTTTTGGATTTTAAATTCTATCTATTTAATTGAGTTCAAATCAAATATTTTTTAGGTTTATTTTAAGAATTTATTTTATCAAAATATTTTTTTTCTTTCAATTGAGATATTTTTCATTTTGTAAACATTTTTTGGATTTAACATATTGAAGATAGTGTTGAGTCGATTTTAATTGAAGTATCATAGATCATTATTAATAATAGATATTGTTTATCATATAAATGATTATTTATTTTTCAACAATTAATATTAAAGATGAAATTTTAGAAACAATAAATTATTATATTAAAAATGGACCGACACAAATACACATAATTATTCATATTGTCATAAAATAAATAAACAATAAAACTTTTATAAGAAAAAATAACTAAATAGTAAAAATATAATGTATCTTTTTGTTAAATCTCGAGTTATATATTAGTATTACTAACTTCTTCTAAAATGAATATTATAATCATGATAAATATTTTAATTATCCTAAAAATATTAATAAAAATTAATTTGAATTGATAAAATACAATAACTTTAATTTTAGTATCAACTTTATGTAAATCAAATAATTAAATGAATAAAATTTAAATTTAAAGTAGATTTGAGAAAATATAAATTATTAAAATAAAATAAATTTAAATTTAAAATTTATTTTATTGTATGTGAATGGAATATGAATTGGATTTTAAAAATCCAAAAGCACCCTAATTTAATTTGTTCCGTGTTTAAGGTTGTGGAACGCTCAATACGCAACACATTCACGAATTTTTGTGGGCAATTGGGTACCTTTTGATAGTAATTATTGGGCTAAAGATAAGGATGCAACTTTATTTTGGTCCACTTCAGGATATGATTTTGTGGACGTAATGGCTTTGTTTGTTCCACGTAAAAACTTACCCCTTTTTAGTATTCAACTCAAGAACCCTCTTTTTAATCACTGATCTATCATGGCTTTCAATTCAAAGATTTCCACCAATCTCTTACATGGATTTCTGAAAGAATATTATTCCCAATTGAAGATTCTTCAAGTTTTGCAAAAGTTGTACAAGCAAAAGAAGATAAAAATAAAGATTCTTCGACCAGCTCATAACCAAACTATAGATATCACTGTAACCAATTAAACGTTTAATGTGATAAAATAGTAATCAATGGTTCCAAATTCTGAGATCTTTGAAGGATATATACATAAATGACTGAACTTAGTTTTTCTAGAATGTGTACTTCTGAGAATCAATTCACATGTTCATTCAGTGTTTATGTTATAATTACCACCTTCATGACGCATGCTACTAGCAACTTTCTTAATTTATCTCAATGGAGAGTGCTCCACTTAAGATTTGTATCCAATGAATGTTTTTGTGCCTCAAACAACGATTGTATTATTTGGGTCTTAGTTTAGTTCATCTTCATCTCAGATGACATCATAAACATCTATTAAGATTAAAATAAAGATATTGTTTATCGACTAAGTGAAAATTAATTTACTATCAAAAAATAAAATCATTTTTAAACTATAAGAGGATATTTTTGCAAATTAGTTTATATATAGATCTAATTTTAACTTATATATATATATATATATATATATATATATATATATTCTATTTTTATTTTGTATCATATATTTGTACGAAAATAGATGATTGATATAACCCAGGGTTTCAATTTCAAACTATATGTTATTTTTTCATACTTTCACTTTATAGTTTTTATATTATTATTTATTTAAACATAAAGTTTGTTTGATGTATAAGAAGAGACTTGTATTTAAGTTTGTTTGTTTCTATATATTTTTTATATTGATGGAAGAGTCAATGACTTTTATGTTTATTTTCAGTGACTATAGTGAATTTGAGGAAAGGGAGAACAGGGAATGTTCGGTGTAACGAGGAGACGAGACGCGAAAAATAGCTTGTCTCATATATATTTATACAATATCCCTAACAAAAAATCAATTTCTCTATGCAAAGAATCAATTCTCACTAAAGAGATAATTTCATCATCTCCATATTTATTTTATTAAAACATTTTCTTTATCATTCATATTAACAAATCAATCACAACCTTTTACAAAAAAAAGTTTCATTTCTCATTTTTTTACAATTTTTTACTATCTTTCCCTTAATTTAAATAATCTTATTCTCCCCTCTCTTTTTCTGAATCTACCATTTTCGCCCTTCACAAGTCCATTTTTATTCCAAAGATAATGTTAATGTCAATGGAAAGAAGTACTCAATTTAATTAGTGTCGAACAAAATTTGAAGTGGATTGTCTTTGGAAAAAAAGGTAATGGGTAAAAAAACTTTTCTATAAAAAAGCCGTTAAAAAACTTTATGAATCACTAAACCTTGACTTTTTCAATTAAATAGGGTTTGAAAATATAACTAATACTACTTTTTAATAAACAAGTTTGACTTGACTGCGCCTCATGCTGCCAAAGCCATGAATTTCCCTTGAATAACTTAACCTATTCTTATTGTTAGTTGTCTTGAGCAACTCTTGTTTGAGCGTATTATCGCAAAAACAACCATTAGAAGTGCAAATTCATTCAAATAATAATAACAACGATAAAAAAATTAATAATATCTTAAAATTGAAGTATATTCTTTTTGTTTTCCCGTAAAACATTAACTACTTACGTTTATAAATGCTTGCAGCAACAAAACTGAGAAATGTTTGCGTATCAATTAATCAATACACGGGCCCAAGGCTTAGATGTTGGGCTTTTAAGCTTCTGTTTACAAGACTATCTCGTTTTCCAAGACCCAACATTTCCTATTATTTGCGTGACCACCTGGGTAGTGCCTGCAACAATTTTAATATATTATTTTATTTTAAATCTCACCACACAAAAAAAGTTATTTCAGATTTATAAAAATTATTTACGTGAATAATCATTTTATTCATATAAACCTTTCTCAAACAAAGATTAACTTAACCCGTTGGATTAGTTTGAATGATCTAAAAAAATTAAATTTAAATTAAATAATATCTATTTTAATTCAATGTATTTATGTAATGATTTATATAAACTTAAGTTAAATTAATCATAAATTTATGAAACAATCTGTTTTATAGATTTTTGTAATAAATTTTTATTTTCAAAATATATGACAACTATTCAGAAGACGCTCTTAATCATATTTTTATTAAGTTTTTAATGTTATTGAACTATAACTAGCATTTTAGTTGCACATAAACATTTAGTTACTGATAAACACGATTATTCAATACAGTTTTTATAAAGGAAAAGATTATTATTAAACATTCTATCAACAATATATTTTTATATTATAATAAGAATTTTAAATTAATTTTATTTTTATTAAATCCTTCAATGATTATTATATTAATAAAAAGAATTGTCCAACATATGTTCCCTCTTTTACAAATTAAAAACTTCAGATTAAACTTGTAAGATCATATTTTACTGTTATAGTATAAGTAAATAGTAGTCTACACATTCTTGCCTTGGGGTAATCATTCCCGGTATTATTGTTCTTCACTTTCTTGGTTCCCTGCCGACTTCACCAGAAAACGTAAACTTTCCTGGTTCAATTCTGTTGTTTAAAGCATTGAATACGTCTCTTACAGATAGAAGGACGAAACACACAAGTTAAACAAGTATGGATACAAAAACCAGAGACATGAGAGTACATAGAAGAAGAGGTTATTAACGAAGAGAAGAGGGAAAGTGAAGTGATTAAGAAGTTGAGGTGGTGGAACCTAGCTCCTTATCAATAGCTTTATTGGCAGTGTCGAGATCCTCATCGAAGAACATGTCCCAATGGCCATCCCACTTGATGAAGAATAGGGTGTCCTCATAATACTTAACCCTATGAACATCCCCTGCAGGGGTGAACAGGTAATCCCCAACCGTCAGATCGTATCTCGCTTCCTTCGTCAGATTCCAAACACTCTTCTTCCCTTCGATCACCACCAAATCGTGCCCGAACGTGTGGTGGTGCGCCGGCTCCACGCTCCCGGCCTTGAACCTCACGAACGCTGACGTCGGAGTCTCCCTCACGATCTTCATCGACCCTCCCGGAATCAACTCGATCGGCTTCAATTCCCGGTTCTTCACCAGACAGCAAACAGCGCACGTGTCGAACGGGCCGTCTTTTCCGATCTCCGGCATCTCCACCAGCGAGTGGTCTAGAAACGTCTGGATATCCTGCGGCCACGGTTCGCCGTCGTTGGCGGGGCACGCCGACTTGAACGGCGTGTTCAGCCACGCTTCCAGGATCTCGATCGCGGCCTCCGGCGAGGTGTGCTTGCCGGATACGGCGAGGACGTTGGAGTTGTTGATGGAGCGGGCGTTGACGGCGTCGGAGGGAGTGAGGCAAGTGGCGGCGTAGACGCCGGGGAATTTGTTGGCGAAGATTGAGACGCCGGCGCCGGTGCCACAGGCAACGAGGCCGCGGACGTCGGAGGATTGGGAGACTCGGCGACCGACCTCGGCTCCGGCGGAGTAGTAGGAAGAGGTTCCGAGATCTTCGACTTCGATGGCGCGGGAGCGGAGGTGTGCGACGAGGGCGTCTTTGAGAGGAGTGCCGAAGCCATCGGCGGCGGCGATGATTTTGACGGGGCGCGTGGGTTCTGCTGCCATGGCTGATTATGGGATTGAAGGATTGTTCTTCAGTTGAATCGAGTTCACTCACTTCGCTTACACACGACCTGAGACTCAGGTACAATGAACCTGGTCCCTATCTAGTGCTCTAATCAATCAAGGATTTCAATAATCTCTATCTTGTGTCTCAATTACTCGGGCCTCTAGCGTGTGCCTCAATCACTTGCGGCCCACTAGTGTTATTCTTGGTAGGCTTTTACTTCTGCATCCATGATTTCTCCTTGCACCCCCATAGCTATATTAAATTCCATTTTATCTTTATACTATGCACCCCATAGCTTTATTAAATTCCATCTTATCTTTATACCATGCACCCCATACCTTTATTAAATTCCATTTTATCTTTATAATCTTTATTTTCATTCCGGAATGCATTATGGCTTGATGTTTTCAGGAAACCCAGAAACACCCAACCCAGATTGTGCTCTAAGAAAAGTTTTTCCAGAATGGCATTCCGAAACAATTTATCCAGACAATATATTTTTGAAAAGATTTTTCCAAAAAATAAACACCCAACCTAAAATCTCATTATGGAACACCAATGTGTTTCTAGAGAATCCAATCTAAAAACATAATCCGAAATATCAAATCTCAAATGTATTTTAAAAAATATATATTCTTGAACACTCTATCCGAAATACAATTTTATTGTTGTGATATTATTTTAAATTAAGTAATTTAAGTTTTTTTTTAATTTAAATACAAAAATATATAATTTATATATAATATATAATATTAATGATTACTTATTTTTAATTATTATAAAATATTTTTAATGGAGATGATACAAAAAAAATCAAATAACCAAATATTGAAAATGTTAAGTGATGAAAGTACACAAGTTATATACAAATAGAAAAATAATAAGTTAAAGTAAAAAAAAAATTACAGGCAAGGTATTTTAAATATTTGACTTTAATAAATGAAATTACATAAATAGAAAAATAATTAGTTAAAGTACAAAAAAAAATTACAGACAAAGTATTTTAAATATTTGACTTTAATAAATGAAATTACATAAAGAAATTATAGAGATCCATGGAACAAGAATCTTCTTTCTCTTACTGATTATTAATTTCCTTACTTTTATTTTCTATTATTTTTAATTGTATATATTTTAAAGTAAATCAACGTATTCCTTTTTATTAATATTATTAAGTTATAAAGATAAAATAAGATGATATATGATGACGTGCCATATATAAATGTAATAACGTTAATAATTATAGTCTCATACATATGACATGACTATACTGATAAAGAAAATACATTAACTTATTTAAATAAAATCAAATTAACATTAAAAACAATGACAAAACAAAATTAATGAATTAAATCTGGTTTATAAAGATTTTTTTTTTATGAATTTTTTTACTTGTTATCAAATTTAATTTTAATTTTATATTTTAAGATTAATAATTAGTCCTTAATTTTTTTTAAAATTGTGAATTGAAATTTGTATTAATTTTATTATAATAAAAATATTACTAAACAATAAATTTAGGTATAAACAATTGTTAAAACAACATTCATTTTTATTGAAATAAAAATTATATTTAAATAACAAATTTAGACTTGAAAAAAATTACATGTTTTAAAAAGTTTTAAAACTTAATTCATGAATTTAAAATATAAGGACTCAATGTAAGTTAAAAAAAAAATCAGAAATATATTTTTTCAAACAGTACACATTTTGAAGTACATCATAACATATTTGATACATTCCCGGTCCATATTCGATTACCAAATTATTCTAATTTTAGTTAACTTAATATTTACCAATTGAGTCTAACTTCATTCTCTTTTTACTTAATCAATTATTGTTTGTACAAGTTACCGTCCGTATATGGAGGGACCATTCAGGCATACCCCAATAATACATGGAACATGTTTAATTTGAACTTAAAAGATACTTTGCGAATTCTAAAGAATATATATATATATATATATTAAATCAAAACATAAATAATACAAATACCATTCTCCGTTGGTCAAAGCATGAAAGTAGAGATGTTTTATATACTGAATGAAGTTATGCAACACTCTGTGAATGAGGAGTGAAATTAACAATATTTAAGCACACTTATATGAACTTTACTCTTCAATAAATAATGCATTAAAAAATCTGCAAATATTAAATATGAGTGGTTGACACATTACAAAATAATCCACCCTGAATGGTCTAAAATTGTAGGCATATTATTATCGTGGCCAACTAAGTACTATTAATTACATTTTCTTTTTTAGTTAGTAATGGGTGAGTATTAATAGTTATTTATAATTTTATTATAAGGTAAAGTAATAAACTATTTTTTATATCTTATCGTGATTTTTTTTTCATAACTTATTTTTATCGCTTTTATCTTATCTTTATATATTCCTTATTCCTTTTTTCTTTTTTTAAATAAGTTTATATATTATTTTTCTGTAGTTGTTAGTATTAATGTGACGTTACCATGTTTTAATGAAACAACATGATATTACAACATCTTCGGGGTAAAGAAAATATACGCCTTATCAAATATAAATATATATATATATATATATATATATATATATATATATATATATATATATATATATTACAAAAAAATTCCAAATTGTAGAAGTTTAAATCCTGTATTTTTATTAAATTTTTAAATTATGTATTATATTTCATCAAATTAAAAATAAATAAATACAAAAAGCAGCTCAAAATTTTGAAGGTTTAAATCCAGTATTTTCATTAAAATTTTAAATTATAAGTACTATGTTTCATTAAATTGAAAAATAAAATATGAAATCTTAAATATTGTATTTTTCATCAAAATTTTAAATTATAAATATTATGTTTGTGCAAGTGAAATATAAAAAAATAATATTAAAGAGAAAAAAATCGAGTTATTGAATTATGAAAAAAAGTAATTAAGAGAGTGAAATTGAATAGGTAAATTACGAAAATAAAAAAGTAAGTAATACCTAAGGACCCGCGTTAGCCTAACCGGATAATTATTGGATAAATAAATACATTACCTCACTTTAGCTGGTGAAGATATGAGATTGAAATGTGAAGAATTTTCAGGTGCCAAAAATAAAAAATAAAAAAATTGGACCAATTGATTACACATGCTTTGAAACAATATCAAAAGTAAAGCCTTGATTGATTGAAAAATAATTTCATATCTTCATCAGAAAGTGAGGTTGCTTTAATATTAGAAAAATGGTTGGAGGAATGATAACGGAACAGGTAACGTTGAAGTGATTCTTCACAAGTTCATCTTTGATCAACCAAAAAAAGTTTACTAAAACTTGTTCATTAAAAATTAAAATGGCGACCTACTTAATAACCTATATTTAAATTCTAAACTTGAGATTTATGTACCTATTTTATTTAATATATTCATAATATTTATAAACTAGTCGTTAATTATTAGTGGTTAAACAAATTGAAAATAATATTAAAAATTCATATATTTTATATCTTTAATATAATATTATTTGCAATTTGTTTTTCACTAATATTATTTATAATAACCACATTAATAAATAATGATTAATATTTTTCTTAAAATAACATATTAATTGTATTTATTTGATAAAATAATGAAATACCTATTAACTATTAATGGAATGAAGCAAATATTAGACATTATATGTTGGTAGAAATATTCACAAATAATACAGCAAAGAACTGCAATTAACAATAATTGCGTCAAGTTTATCTATCAATAGAGCGTCTCATAAGTCACAAACCCAATCCCTTACACGGGCTAACCTAAGCAAAGACCCTTTAATTTTGTTGGCGCCCTTCACGGGGCCAACATGTTCATTCACAAATCTTAATAATTAATTAATTAATTAATTAACTAATTCACTTTCTGGATTAATAATTAATAAATCATCATGATATACCTCAAATAATCATAACAACGGTTGGTGTGGTTTAACGTACTTCCCTGTTTCTTTTTGTTGATGTAATACATAATTCAAAGGATTCATCAAAGGACATGTTTATTGCTGAATATGGATAGCAGTAAATGACAGCAGCAACAATGTACAAGGAGAAGATGAATATATATATATATATATATATATATATATATATATATATATATATATATATATATATATATATATATATATATATATATATATATATATGTATACATATACATACATTTTTACATATACGCATAAATGAAGTGCAATCCAATCTCTCTTAAAAGTTGAAATCCCATAAAAGAATGAATATGAAGAAGAAATGAAATGAAATGAATGAATTAATTTAGGGTCCAGGCATAGAGCAACAAAGAGAAGCCAGTGGCATTGCTCCCACAAGACTTGGTCGATGAAGAACACGAAGTTCTCCCACACTCACTACTCTCTTCTGCCCACTGCAACACGCTTGAACCTGAAACGTTTCTCTTTATCAACTTTTTTTCTGCCCCCACCATCTCTGGCCACACCGTTCCATCCCCAACTTGAAACACAAAAACACCGTGACCCTTGTTGTTGTCGCTGTTAACCACCCAACTTAACACGTCCCAGTAAAACTCCACTTCGATTCCGTCGATGAATATTTTCTCGTACCCTCGGAACTTCCACGCCAACCGTTTCACCACCAACCGCGTCTCGCCGTCAACTTTCACATGCATCACACCGCCGCCGCCGTCGCACTCGATCTCTATCACGTGCTTGGACCCCATGAACACCGCACGTGACACGTAGCATCTGCTTCCGAACACGTGCTCTCTCCTCGACAGCAGAACCGGCTCAACGAGGTTGTTGTTGTTGCTGCTGCTGCTGCTGCCGCCCTTAACCTCGAGCTTCTTATGCCGCCGAGTTAGATCGCGGAGAAGGTCGCCGAGGAAAAATTGGAGCTTGCCGTTTTGGGAGATTGCGAGGTAGAATCGGGATTCGGGTTCCGCGGAGTTTTGTGCGAACTCTGCGCGCGTGAAGTTCCAGTGGAGCTTGATTTTGCGGTGGCGGATGGATTTTGAACCGTGGCGTGTTCCAAAGAAGGAGAGGGTTGAGGAGTTAAGAGAAATTGTGATGGAAGATATATCTGCAGCAGAAAGTGTTAAGGAATGAGAGAAAAGGGTTTTGGACCAACTGAGAGTGAGGTAAGTGGGGGAGTTGCATAGTTGAGTTTGGTATATGCATGTTACCACATTCTGCGGCACTTGGGAACAGTTACTGCTACTTGATGAAGAAGGGGTGTTGGGTTGGCTGAAACAACCTGCGATCATGCTGTTCAATTTCTTCTATACTCCAACCTAACCATGTGTGGGTGTGTGTTTTTCTCTGTGGACGGAAGATGGTGAAGGTGTATTAATAGAAGTTTAAATTTGATGGATGTTTGGCAAGGGTGTGTGTTTTTGAGGTGAGGTGTTGGAAAAAGTGTAGTGCATAGCATGGTTTTAATGATGAGAACACAAGGGTTCTCTGGTTAGAATGATGAAGGCCAGTTGCAATGACTTTTGATTGGGTCATGTTTTGGTTCCTTGATTTGCGCCTTTGACAAGGCTAGGCATAGCAATAGTGGGTTCTTTACCATGTGCCACTGAGCTGGGTTGCACTCACATTTTCCAAGTCATCACACTCACTCACTGGTATTCCAAAGGACTTTCTGATTTTCTTACATCACATCTTCCCCTTTTCTAAATTCATATCCTCTGTCAATCATCACAGAAAGGGAATTCAGGTTGATGATGGGCCCTCAAGAAAGGGTCTCCTTAACACCAATTTCACCATTTGAATACATTTTCATGTCAGTATTATTTTTTGTATGTCTACCATTCTTGTTTTCTTCTACGTGTTTTCAACCGCTGAAGTTAACTGCGAAAACTAAGTCTACCCAGTTTAAAGTGAAAAAAGAAAAATGCATTAAGTGGTCTTGGACTTCTTCCAGTCTAATATCGATAGTCAAATAATGTGATCATGTAAAGTTTGAATGCCGTCTAATAAATATGTTAAGAGCATATTTGGATTTAGTGCTGCTAGTATAAAGAGCAGCTGATGAAGATGAAAAAACACGCGTCATTGCTCCATCTAACAACGGTTAAATGAATATCTTATTGCTCACATTTTCTACCCCACTATTGCATTGATCTCTGTACTCACAATCCACTTCCATTGTACTTGCAATGGAATTTTTACTATTTAAGATCAATGGTTGAGTTTGATGTGGTCATGTCTAGGGTAGAGTTTTTAAAACATTGTTTGTGTAAAAAGTACAAGAGAAGTGGTGGTAGATTGGACCTAAGTACTAAATCTTAATGTTAACACTGTTTGAATTAGTAATTAGGTACAAAAGCGTTTTTTTTTTTTTTTTCATACGAAACACAAAACAAAGTGATTTAGGTTAGTTTTTTCTCCATTCTCCTTTCAAGACATATTTTTTCAATTGAGATAAATGTGAGCTAATTACTAACTAACTAATCCAGGAATAGCATTGAGAATTGAAGAATCTTAAAACAGAGTGGTAAAAAACATGAATTAAAATATAACAACCCAATCCCATGAGCTTTAGTTTCTATATTTATAAGAATAATAAAAAAGAGAGGCGAGAAAAAAAGAAAAAAAAAAAACTTAGCAATTTGACTAGATTGATAATTGATTCCTGTTTTTTTTAACTCTACAAACCCTAACTATAGAACAGAGAGAAAGGGTTTGATGTGTTTGTTATACAATGTTTCAAACAGAAACACACTATTGGGTACCAATAAATAAATAAATAAAACTATTGGGCCTTTAATCGAAGAGACAAAATAATGAAAAAAAAAACTGTTTATCAACGAGGTCAATTAAGCTTTTCAACATATAAAAATAAAGGTTTAAATTTAATTGAAATAAAACATTGCTTTATCTGTTGATTTCACCCATATATACTTATTTTAAAAATAATTAATTGTTAACATATTTGTGTACTATGTTACTTAAGGAGGGATTAAAAAACAAAATTAAATATACAAATATTTCATTTATGTATTTTGCTTTAGAAAAATGACATTATTCAAGTGTAGGGATTTAAATTATAATTAAAAGGATTCATGATTAACATAGCACTGTTAAATTATAAATTTATACAAAGAAATAAAGTAATGAAGTAATCGTTTAAAAATAACAAAATAAATTTTATGAAACATAATCAATTAAATTTGAAATTTGAATTGATTCATCAACACGCCATTTGATTGAACAGAATTATGCTTAGGTACTCTAAACAAGGTTTTACGTTACACTTATATTGACGAAAAAACGTGAGTGTAAGAGTAAATTCACGAAAGCTATTCATCTAATTCTTTAACGCCTTGTTTGTTTTCGTGAAAAATATTACATAATAATAAATATTTTAAAATACTTCCTTACATAATATAATATGTGAAAATATAATCTATTAAGTCTACTTTTTTTCATAATAAATAATAAATTATTTTTCTTTTAATCTAATTAATTATATTTTTCACTCTTTTTCTCTTTTTAAATCCAAACAAAGCTTAATGTTGACGATACAATTATTAAACATTTTATACATAAAATACGATGACAAAAAATTCGACTTGAAAAGGACATTTTTTAAAAAGAAATATTACTAATTAATTTTTTATTGAATAAACTAAATACATAGTACAATGTTTCACTTCTAAATTCAACGTAAAAATATTTTATTTATTCTATGTCATAAAATCCCTTAATCATTTAAAACACACAAAAATATTGAGTTTAATTTAATTTAAGTATATTAATAGTATATACGTATTTTACGTTGTTATTAAATAATAAATTACCGTTTTTAATAACCAACATAAATGATGATATTTATCAATTCATGAAAGTTATTTAAAAAAATTCGGGTTATTCCCTAGTTTAAAATTTTCAAGTATATTTTTAATTCTATATTTATTTATTTATTAGTGTCTTGGTGGGCTAACATAAACGAAATAATCGAATAAATACAATTCGGGTTATTCCCTAGTTTAAAATTTTCAAGTATATTTTTAATTCTATATTTATTTATTTATTTATTGGTGTCTTGGTGGGCTAACATAAACGAAATAATCGAATATATGTATTTATTTTTACCAAGTAAAAGAAAATATTGGTAAAATAGTTTTATTAAAAATATTGTAATATTTAAAAATGTTATTAAAAGTATTAAAAAAATTGTTAGTTTGATTCCTAAGACAAGTCATGTGAAGCACGTAATCCTTATTCTAATCCGCGCGTGGGATGGCGCTTCCATTTCCACCACCATGTGGGGTCCACGTCCCACGAACAGTTGGTCACCAACAACTCTTAGTTGTATAATAATCACTTTTTCATAATAATTTATATAATAAAAATAATATGTATTAAAATAGATTGTGTGAGAAAGAAAAATTAAACAAATAATTTTATAAAAACAGTATTAAAATAGAATCTATTTAAACTGCTTTAATACTTTGATTTTTTACACTACCACCCATAATTTGCATATTACTATGTAATAAATTTGTTAATTTTTTAATTTTATTATACTAGACAATAATAGAATATAAAAACATCCCAAATATGATTAAATAGATTGTGAGGAATGTATTGGATATGCTTCAATAAAAAGTAGGTAAATATATGATGTGTTTTTTTATTGATTAATAGTATTTATTTTAACGTGAAATGAAAATTAAACTGAAAAGATTATATATATATAAATAGACGCGAGATAGAAGGACAAGGGAATAGATTGATTAGTACAATGAACAGTGTCTGATTGGATTTTTTGACAAAGGACGCAGTTACTCGATTTCAAGTTTCACGTTCTTTTCCTCTCTTCTTCGTGTCAGGTAAAAGCTTGGTCTCACTGCAAAAGGAAAAAGAAGAAAGACGCAGAGTGCAGTATAAAAATACAACCTTTTTTGTTTTCACCTCCATTCGCCGGTCACCACAATAACCAGTTTCCGTTTTCTTCATTTTCTTCACTCTGTTATTTTGCTTCATAGCGTCGCCATCTTAAGGTTCTTTTCATTTTATGTTATATTCTGTTGTGCTTTTTTTCTTTCTCCTTTTTGGCTTTTAGGTATTTTTTTTCCCTGAAAGAAATTTCAATCGTTAGTAACGCATATACATTGAAAGTGAAAGAAGTATGCTCTTTTGTCCGCTTCTGTCTGGGGTCTGAGCTGTTTTACTCTCCACATTCTCTTTATTTGTCTTGAAGTAACGCAAACTCTCTTCTATCAAATTGGGTTCATTGGTTTTAATTCCGTATTCAAAACCATTCCATGATGGATTTTTCTGGTCATGTTAAGGTAAGGGTCTGTCCCAACTTGTTTTTTGTTGCCTTCACCTTGTTAGGGTGAGTGTTTTTGTCCACTTCAAATCTGGGTTCGATCTGTTTGTTGAAAAACCCCAAAGGGAAAAGGCTTTGTAGTTGAGTTGAATTGAAGCAAAAAATGAAGGATTTTCCATCTTGTTTTGGTGAGAACGGGGTTCAAGTTGCGGATTCTTCGTCTTCAAGCGCTAACAAAAGTGCCCAGAACGTGGTTACTTGTGTTTATCAATGCATGGTTGGTGGTAGTTCCTGCCTGATTACTGTCACATGGAGTAAGAATTTGATGGGGCAAGGCCTTGGTGTAGCGATCGACGATTCTTCAAGCCAGAGTCTTTGTAAGGTGGATATCAAACCGTGGGGATTTTCCAAGAGGAGAGGTTGTAAGAGTCTAGATGTTCGTTCTTGTAAAGTTGATGTGTATTGGGACCTTTCTTCGGCTAAATTTGGTTCTAGCCCGGAACCTTTGGCGGGATTTTATGTAGGAGCTGTGGTGGATGGAAAAATGGTTCTTCTTATTGGGGATTTGAAGAAAGAAGCTTTCAAGAAGACCAATGCCAACCCATTACCCTGCAATGCAGCTTTGATTGCCAAGAAAGAGCATGTTTTTGGTAAAAAGTTGTATGGTACGAAGGCTGTGTTTTGTGACAATGGCCAAATTCATGATCTTTTGATTGAGTGTGACACTGCAAGTGTTAGTGATCCGACCCTGGTAATTCGCATAGACAGCAAAACTGTGATGCAAGTGAAGCAGTTGAGATGGAAGTTCAGGGGGAATCATACTATCCTTGTAGATGGTCTTGCAGTGGAAGTTTTCTGGGATGTTTATAATTGGCTCTTTGGTACATCCCTTGGAAATGCTGTTTTTATGTTCAGGACAAGCCTGTCAGCGGTGAACAAATTGTGGGCTGGCCAACCGCCTTCTGATTTGCCATTGTCTTTCTCTGAGAGATTTCCTGAGACCAAATTGCAGGGTCTTGGTTTCTCGCTTAATTTGTATGCTTGGAAGGGCCAGTAGATATGCAGAAATCCATCACAGATTGAGTACTAACATACCTCTCAGTGAATTTTGGTTTATCGTCCATGTGATCGAATCATAGTTGAGTAAAAATGAGTACTTTGGTTTCTCCCATTCCCCTTGTTAAATTCGTATTCTCTCTTTAGCTGAGCTGAGCTATTTGAACATATCAGAGTCTTTTTTTATCCCAATTGGCTGTACATTTATCTTCAACTGGCAACTTTATGGTCCACATTACTAAAATACAAACTTTACAGTATGTTTATTCAACTACATCTTTATTCTCTTTAAATTAGCAAGTATTACCTACTTTTCCCTGTTATGGGTCATCATATGTATTAGCTTTAGTATTTTAATTAGCATTGATCATTCATTCCATCAAGTGCGTAAAGCTGTTGCTTCAAATTGGTAAATCCCACCTACTAAGAGGGCCGTAACAAGAAATAACTAATAAGCTTTTGGGAGCTGAGGTTGAAGAGGAATGTATTCCGTGAGTGGAAGATCACCAGTTTCTAATGAATGTCAAAACTCTTTTTAACAGCCATTTGAATTTTTTTTATGTAGGAACTGAGGCATGAATATGAATATTTTTTTGCCTTAGTAGGGTTGCATACTTTGATGTCTTATAATATTTAGCAAATTTGATCCGAGAGCTGGCCAAATAAATTTATGTGATGGAAGGCCAAATACCATTTTATTTTACTCTCTGAACACAACTGCCAGTTTGTCATGGCTAGTGAATCATTATTGTATATAAAAAATCTTTCCACTGCTGAACATCTACTGCCAGTTCATTATGTACTCAAATGTTAAATGAATATCGTTTTAAGACCATGTAGTCTATAGCAAGATCCTTTAATCCCAATTCTGCAGCAGATCCAAATAACTAAACTTACTAGTTTAGCAATGATAATCTCTTTTTAAAACCTTACTTTTGCAATTTCAGTTGCACATTTCAGATGAAAAAGACTTTCGAACAATGCAACGTTAAACAAAAAAAGCTCTTGCTTATTTAAATTCATTTTATGATTCTTGGCATAAAATGCTTGTCAAAAACCACATGGTCATAGTAGTCATTCTTTAGTCTCCAGCTCAAGGTATAAACTTTACATTGGATTTATCCTTAGGCAAATGTGCAGAGTCTTTCATAAAATAAAAGGTCATGAGATGTAGCAATTGTGTATTTCAAATGCTTTATTCTTTAAATCATGAAGAACTGCTTATCAGTTTGTTGTTTATAGTTAAGTTCATGATGAATTAGAATGTAATTTAAGGTACTTAAATGTTCTTCTTAGTACTTCATATAGCATGAAATGATTGCACAAATCAGTTGTGTATTATTTCAGAATACAGCTTCCAAGGAGATTGATGAATCCCTGGTCTCAATTATGTATGAATAAGGATGACTGCAAGGTCATGAGATGTAGCAATTTAAAATCATCAAAATAAATTTGTCTGAGATAAAAAAATGGTGATCACATTGGAAGTTCTACCTTGTAGAACGGTTTTTCTTTTTCTAGTAACTGATATATTTCTTTGTCTTTATGCCTCTTCAAGTGTCCAGTCTATTAAGCATATGACATTTTAAAAGAAATTTGGAAAAACAAATGGAGTTTCAATCTTTTTAATTTGGTCACTGAATACAGTAGCAGCCTTGTTTAGTTTCTGTCTTATTGTAATTCGGATTTATTAACAAGAGCTTATAGAAAATGAATAATAAATTAAGGTAGTAAAATAAATATTTATTTTATTATATTTTTAATATAACATAGATTATAACATAGGTCATATGATCATACTAATAATTTAAAAGATAAAGATTACTAAATTTTGTAAGAGAATAAATATAACAGAGATAATCAATTTTAGCTAATTTCTCAATATTTATAATTATTGTTTTATTTAATCTCTATTTGGTTATTAGTCATGTATATGTTGAGTTTATTTTTCTTCTTATTATTAATAGCTCAACTTATTTTATGATTTTTTTCCCTCAATAACAATTCAGTTAAAAAGTTTAATATCTCATAATATATCATTTATAATTATAAAATCATTTTTCTGAAATTGACATCACAAATAATAATGCAGTAGTTTTGAGAATTTATTTCAGATTTTTCGTTTGTCTGCACAAGATCGACGTGCACAACTCAGAATATCACGTTTTTATAGTTTGCAAGTTACTTAGATTACTGTACTTGAACAGTTGTAATTTAACACTTTACTCTTTTTAATAATAATAAAAATATTTACGTTATTATTGTTAAAAAAAAAACTTTATCCTTCTTTTAGTTTGAGAAATGGAAATCAGTTTCGAATTTTTGCTCAGAACCAAATAAACCTGGGTAAAAACTCATCAGGAATAAAAATAATTTTACAGTGATAAAAAGTTATTAGATTATTTTGTTTTCAAAAGTAAAACGGTAATAAAAGCTAGGATAATTTTATTTATTCTAATATTTAAAAAACATTTCCATTAAAATTAATTTATATTTTATACAAAAATATAAAATCAAACTGAAAAAACCATCAAATAAATTATATTAAATAATATTTTAACGTAATTTTTCATTGACAGTGAAATATAATATTTGATAATCTAAGTGTAATTTTAAGTCCTATGTTATAAGAACGAGGAAGTTGAACAACTTAAAAGAAAAAAAAATCATAACTCAATGTCTTACGGTTTTAGGTTGAACTCATGTCTCATTTGTATTGTTTCTCTCCTGTGAATCCCCTCGAAAGATCCAAAAATTATATCAGAGTTGAAATTGTTTTGGATTGAGAGTGGTGTCAATCATTTTTACGTGGATTAGGTTCATATCTCATTGGTGTTGTTTCTCTCCTGTGTGAATCTCTCCCGAATATCTAACAAGTAGTATCAAAGCCGTCTCATTGGTATTGTTTCTCTCATGTGAATCTCCCTCAAAATATCTAACAAGTAGTATCAGAGTCGAAAGTTGATCAGTAGTTTAAGTGTAGTCTTTGTATCTTTTATGATGAACGTGTCTCGTTATGATGAACAATGGTATATGGAAGGACTACTAGTGAGCTCGAGGGGAAGTACGAATGTGGAAGAACTCACACTTGGGGTACATTGTGTAAGAATGAAGAAGTTGAACAACATATAAGGAAGAAAGACCTATTACTCAATGTCTTAAGGTTTTGGGTTGAAAGTGATATCAATTCATTAAGTTTGTATAAAAAATGAAAGGGCTACTAGTGTGTCCCGATGAAGATGTTTCATTGATGTTGTCTCTCCCCAGTAAATCTCTCCCTCAAAAGACCCAACAACTGATATCAGAACCGAATGTTGTTGATCAACCGTTTGAGAGTGATATTTGTATTGAAAGTCTTTTTGTCAGTGGATCAAATAAGCGTGTTTCGTTATGATAAACAATGATACATGGAAAGACTATTAGTGAACTTGAGGAGATGTACCAATATAGAGGAACTCACACTTGAGGGGGAGATTGTTGAGAAATCAAAGTGTAATTTTAAGTCTCATATTGTGTAAAAATGAGGAAATTGAGTAATATAAAAAGAAGAAAGACCCATAAATCAATGCCTTAAGGTTTTGGTTTGTGAGTGGTGTTAATCATTTATTTGGGTTAACTTATGTCTCATTGATGTTATTTTTTCCCTGTGAATTTCTTCTCGAAAGACCCAACAATATGAGTCTAAGTCTCACATTGACTAAGAATAAAAAAGTTAAACAATATATAAGGAAGGAAGACTCATAACCCAATGTCTTAAGGTTTTGGGTTGAGAGTGATGTTAATCATTTACGTGGGTTGAACTTATTTCTCATTGATGTTGTCTCTTCCGAGTAAATTCTACCTCAAAAGACCCAACAATTTGTATCAGAGTTGAAGATTGATTAAGAGTAAGAGATTGTTGAAAAATCTAAGTGTGAGTATAAATCTCACATTGCGTAAGAATGAAAAAAAAGTTAAGCAACATATAAAAAAGTAAAACTCATAATCTAATGTCTTAAAATTTTGGGTTAAGAATGATGTTAATATTTATGTGGAATGAATTCTTATCTCATTACTATTATTTATCTCTGCTACTCCTCCAAAATCTAACAAATATACATATAGAAAAATATTATAGGATATACTAGAAGATTTGTTTGCATTTCTAAAAATACTCAATTTTCAATATAACAAATATAGAAGAAGGGAAATAATTTAAAGATTAGCATTATCAACTGACTACTAATAATATGTGTAAATTAATTAAAGAATAATATCCAATTTTCAGCACAACATTAACAAAACTAATCAAAACCATTCAAATGAAAAGGATACCAACATCTATATACCTCGTATTCGTATAGGACTTCATCTATTCAACTCCATTTAACTTGCAATGCATACTCTTAATAAAAAAAATGTGGGACATTAAAACTTGTAATACTTATTTTCATATTGAGAAAATAAAAATCAATGCGAAACATTAGACTTGCATAGCATAGTTTTATCCATGACTTAAAATTTGGTATTAGATAGTGTATTTTTATCCCAAGAAAAATTACAGTTGTGGAACTTTGAAACATAACTGAATAGTTTTAAAACTGGAGAGTATATTATGAAAGAGTATTTTATATTTTTGTTTTTAGATTATATTTTAAATGAAAGTATTATTTATATTGATTGGATCAAAATTATTTTTGAGTCTTCAATGATAAATTTTGAGGGAATGAGTGAGGGGACAGTTTTCAAAAACACTGGTTTTTATGGGAAGGGAAGAGAAGGGTAATGTTAGAATTATAGGTAATAGGCAATAGACAGTATTGAATGATTGCATGCAGGTGCCAGAAATGGAATTGACAAGAGGAGCAGTTGACCAAAAGTAATGCCATTTTCCAGTGAGAAAAAAAAAGAAAAAAGGGATAGTTGGTGGGTCTCTTCATGTGTTCTGCACTCAACAGAGCACATAGAAACACATAAACATAACAGCGTCTGCTATGGAATTGGTGCAGGTATGGGTCATGGGGCATGGGAATGGGATTGGGATGCGAAACCAAACATCGAAAGCTGCAATTCGTACGTAAAAACTCTTCAAAGTTGAACCTGAACATATAGCAGTTAGCAGGTGGGCATTTTTCAACTTGATACTTTCATATCATACCCCATATGCATCATCAATGTCCTCCTTCTGTCGTTAACGTTTCAGACAAATTCACCATGCCCACCATGTCCACCATGTCTTTCTTTTTTTTGTGTGTGTGTGTGTGTGTGTGGCTTGCCTTCTCAACTGTGGTTAAGCCTTTATTTGTTGAGACCTCTTCTGCAAATTTAAGATTCGCGTACAATTTTTATTTGTAACAAACCATTCCATTGAAAAGTATCTAGCTGCGGTTTTTAAATGACAAAACATAGATATCGGAATATTATCCTTTTTTTTCTTCTCTAGAAAGACAAGCCTAATTAAACTCATTTTTTTGGTAAATTGTAAAACAAATTAAGCATCTTAATTTTTTTATAGAAGGGAAAAGAAGTAGGTTTTTACAACATGTTTGGTGAACGAGTTTTTGTTTTGTTTCCTCTCCCTCTCTATCCACTCATTTTCTGCTTCTCTCCAGCTCTTTTTCGCTTTACTCCAAAACTTTTAACCTTTTAAACTTGCAAACTAAAAAATATATAGTATTAGGATGGAATGCGCTGTTTGAAGAATAGAGTTATAAATTCATTCAGCGTTAAGTTTCGATGAATATAAAGGCAAACGTTTTATAAATGTTTCTTTTGACGTTTTCGAATTAATTTAAAATTTAAATGTTTCATTAATAATTCATAAAATAAAAGAAAACGTGTCACGTCTAAATCTCAAAACGTGTTTAATTTCTAGAGATAAAATAAAACTAAAATCGCCAATGATACTATGATAAAGTTTTGCTTTATTTTTTGAGACTCGTCTCTTTTGCCTTTGTTTTGCGTTTCTTAGTTGATAAAAGAGACCATTGTAAAGTCCTATGTAAAATTTAATTTATATATAAACTTGAATTGAAGGATAAAGTTTAATTAAATTCATAAAAGTGACATGATATTCCTCAGAACTGTTTTACTTAATTCTATAAATTTTAGAGATAAAACTGGTCAAAATACGGTTTATTGTATTAAGAATTGATCGAATAAACAGTTCATCACTTTTTGCTATGCCAAAGGAGTATTGCAAATTCTGCTGCCCAAACCGGATAACAGGGTTCCATTCAGGGGTATGCTAAATGGAACACTCACGAAAATTATTAAAATAGTAACTGGCAAAAAGATATGTCAAAAACAAATTATGCCCCCATCTTAAGCATTATGAAAGCTATGACAATACTTTAGGGTCCACAGGCCATCTGAATCTTTATATGTCTTTCGGTAAATATCATTATCGAAGGAACAATAATAATTTTCATTTTAATATTGAGAAGAAAATGACTGAGGAAATCTAAGTGCGTTAATTAAAACTGGCAACAATCTGAGAAAATTTCAAAAAGTGACTAAATGATCATCATTAAGAGATGCTGCATCATGATGACAATGTTAAACTCTTTAAGGCAGTTGTAAGTTGAGGAAGCTTGTCCGGAGCTCTCTGTTTGTAATCTTTCTCCAATACTTTGGCTGCTAGAGATTGTAACTGTGACCCTTCTTTCTCCTCCTTGCTTTTCCCTTTTGTAAGCTGTGTAATAGCAGAGGTGCACTGGAGAACAGGAGAGAAACTAAAATTTCAGGCTTATATAGATGAATAGTTTGTAAAGAAGAATCCAGTCCTGAGTTACTAAGGAGAAAATCAAGAATCTATGCAGGAAGACTGAAATCTACCAAAGCAAAAACTAAATGATGACTTTCACTGCAACAAACAAAACCTAGGTTCAACCAACTTCCAAGTAAAAAAAACTATAGTCAGTTCACACACACACACACACACAATAACTTGCAAATGCAGAGAGGACCACACAAATTAATACTCATAGGGAAGATCTTACCAAGCATATCCCAAAGAGTGCTCTGGTATTTTTGCCTCCAGTCAAGTCAATAGTAGAAGCATAGTATTTCTTGGCAGTTTGAAGGTTTTCTAATCCACCAAGCGTATAAAGTACCTGACAATGCCACAAGTCAAGAAAACGTACTTGTGCAATAAAAGTAAGACTCTTGCTATGTTACTCCTATCCAATCACCTCTGGCATGAAATGCTTTTTGTGCCTATTTTATGACTACCCAAGCAAAGAAATGAAAGGAGAAGAATTTATTTAACCAAAAGAAAGTAATCACATTCATAAAAGTTACTCACATCAGCGTAGGCTAAGTGGTAGAGTGGAACAGTAGGTTGAGATAATATCAACTCCTCGTAACAAAATGCTGCTTGTTTATACCTAACAGGAAGACAGAAAGCCAAAAGAAAAAACGCAGATAAATAATTAGCAATATAAATGTTACATTTGTGGCAGGGAAGATAAATGGTAGAATAAAATCTAACATTTGCAGGGAGACGTATATTTCAGCCAATTCTCTCCATGCATCATGATCAGCCATGAATCTGTTAAAACAAGAAAAACAATTCAGATACATGCTCCATTTTCTGATATAAATAAAAAATTATTTATCTTTTGTTTTGGAATGAAATAAACTTTTGACAGACATCCATCTTACGTTTCTAGATATTTATTAAGCCAATCAATAGCCACAGAAATGTTGCCTTGGGCCTTAGCCATTGCCACCCTCCTCTTATGGATGGCCTGCCCAAAATAAAAAACACTTTAGCTTTTGGCTTTCTTTACTCATCTGGCCCAGCCTGTTTAATGTAAAACTGAAAGATTATATAAATCAAGTGGAAGTAACAAAATACAAAAGAAGAAGCCACAACTATATGGTTTTTGTTTCATCATATAGAGTAACTAAACAACCAACAGCTCCCTGTTTTGGCTTCACCATCAGGTTATGTGAGTTTACTTGGTCAAGAGGACTGTCCTCCAAAAGGCTTGCGTAAGCCTTTTCAGCCAATTCCCAGGATCCTTTTGCTTCAAGCAACATTGCCTCCAGCCTACCTGTAATAATTTGACACTCAAATAATTTGATTTAGTGGGAACAAGAGCATGCATATGCACAGACATCTTTGGAATTTTGTGAAATCTAGTTATATTTAAGATAACATCCCTCTTGAACGAATGGAATGCAAATTATCCAAGTTAGTCATCCACCAGTCTGAAAGTTTGTTTCAAGAACCTGAACTGTGCATCAACAATCAGAGTAAAGCATGAAATTGCTTGTGTTTTGAGACAAGTAAACAATCAGTTAGTGTTTTTGGAAAATTATTATAGAGTCTAGCACTTCTAAATGATGCAAGGGAACAAAACAGGAAGAAAAAAAACTGTAGCCAGATCAATCATTGCAATTTCAAAGGAAATAGTTCTTAGCCTAGGGTGACCAATATATAGGAACACTGGCCAATTAAAAGGCATATGCCAGCAACATTTAGCCATGGTAATACTAACTACACAACTGTTACATAATCTAAGGAGAACTGTACAATGTGAGCTCTGAGTTCAGATGGTACAACTTAATTCCCCCTGCCTCCAAGCTTAAAGAGAGTCAGTCAAACATCAAGAGTCGTGTAGATAGTGCTATTACTAACCCAAATAGAAACTTGGTTAAGAGGTATAGAAAATATCAACTCACCAACTCTTTTACTCTCTGGGAATCTTTTCCGTAGAACCTTTGTACAGTCCTGATAAAAAGGTAAAATATTATCAACTTCAAGACATAAAATATCAAACTAGACGGTTTCTCTTATCATATAAAGTAGACCGATGCAGCAAATGCTCAATTCTGGCTCACATAAGGAATAACATAAAAGTTCAGGAGCATATTAATTTCCAGGCTCCGAACTAACAGAAGCAAATAAGACCAAACATCTTGGCCAAAACTTTAACAAGAAGAAAGAATAATGGCATAGCTAGATCAGAAAACCATTATTTCCTCCATCCACCATCAACAGATAGAATAAAGGGCCAATTCAACTCAAACTTAAAATAAACACTCAGAAATTTTAGCAGTCAAATACATGGACTATAATCTTACAAAGTAATGAAAATCAATCATTATGCGCTAAAACAAAAAGCATCAAGCAATGTTATAATTCCATGTACAATTCACAAGCAACCGTCTCGTGTGCATCATCAGAATCTCGACAACGCAAGTGACAAGGGAGTAAAGGGTAAGTTTCAACTACTTCAAATAAGTAAGACTCAACCAGTGCATAAAATTCCTGATTCAGTAATCATTACACTAAATAATAAATTCATTTACGTAGTATAGTGCTTGATACAATTTACAATACATGAAAGAAACTAATAGAAGAAAAACAGCCAAATTAGATCGAGACCTTAGCAACGTCGAGACATTGACAATCCATAGCAGCAACTGCAACCTGCTCGTACAAGGTCCATTCTGCACACCCAAACATTAGTCAAAAGTCAAATTCACTAGATGCTAGACCTGCAACTAAAGCATAGCTGAAAAAACAAGGTTTTACAAGACAGTGAAATTTGAAACCCCAAAAATCATCCATATAATCAGAAATAACAGAATCACGCAATTGAATCACAACAATATAAATTAGGTCAGTGGCGAAAGAAGAGAGACCATCGGAGCCGAGAGAGGATCGTTGTTTGGGGTCGTTCAAGATGGAAAGGCCATGCTTCAGAACTTTCTCGGAACGGCGAACCTTGAGCTTTCTGACAAGGCAGAGGTACTCCCAGGCGCCGCCGCCGCCATTATCGACCTGATTTTCAAGCCTGTTCAATTGAGTCTCCTCTGTTTTGGTAACCATCTTCTTTGCCCCAATTCACAAACGCAGATCCAACAAATCGATGAACGAATTTTTGATCTGTTGTCGAAATTATCGTTATCTTTGCTGCATATACGCCTGGAGTGAGAAGGGGGAAATACAGTGGGATCTCACTTCATCTCCAGGTTCCACCTCGGAAATATAACAAAATAAAGTAGTTAAATGAATCAAACAATATATTATCAGAGTTTAATTTACAAATTTGTATACAGATACAAAAATTCAGTTTTACAATAATAATCATTTAATTATTTTATTTTGATCTAACTAGTTTTTTTTTTCATTTCATTAGATAATATAAGTATTGTCTTTTATATATATATATATATATATATATATATATATATATATATATATATATTAATTAATTAAATGTTAGTAAATATAATTTATTGTAAATAACTAATGATATAAATTTTTATTATTGTCAATACTTTTGAAAATAAAATAAACTGAAGAAATTAAAAGGAATAATAAAAACAGTACATGGCTAAAAAAATAATTTTTTTTTCAAAAAGTATAATCTTTTGCAGTTAATTAATTATAAAACTTTTAAGTGAAATTTTAATTTTAAATTAATAGATAAATAATTTAATAATCATAATAAAAATGTTGTTATCCAGAGGTTCAATAACGTTTGTACGACAACATTTTTATTAAATTTAGATTTTATTTATTTATTAAATATAATTTAGTATATTTTATAATAATCATTATTATGTATTGTTATATATATGTATACATATATATTTAAATGAAAAATAATAATGTATTATAGTAGTTAAAAAAATATTAATATAATAAATTTAAAAGTTATAATGACTATGTAATTTGTCCAAAGTTTACATATATTAACATGTAATTTTTTTAATAAAAATTTAAAATTATAACTATATACTGATTTTTTATTTTTTTTAACTTGGTGGTTATAAAATTGATCAAAAATATTGTCTTCAAGCAATATATATTGTAATATCGACTCTTTATATTATTAATTAATTGTACGAAAATATTTTAAAAATGTAGTGACAAGTATTAACAAAAATATTATGAGTGGTGTGTGCTTGATTAATATAAGATGGGCCACCTCTAACATATACACCATACTAATTTATAATATCAATATTACCATTATTTAGTATTAACAAAAACACAAATATTATTGTGTGTTAGTATTTTTTAATATGCTATTTTATTTTGATAAAATTTAATATGTATGCTAATTTATGATGTATAATAATTTATAATAATGTAGGATTGATATCTCCATTTGATTATATGGAGTTGTTTTTGGGTATCCTTTCACTATTTTCACTTTCATCCTTAATCTTCAATTCTTCCAAAGTTTAAATTTGTTATTGTAATTTTAAAATATAATAATGGTAAAATAATAAAATGATTTATATACATCCGAAAAATCTTTTATATATCCTTATAGATAATGAATAACATAATTTATGTATGTTAAAACAGTTTTTTAATAAAATAATTGTTCTATAAATGACAATAAAGTATTAAGTATTCAAATAAATAAAAAACTGGTAAATTTGTAATAATAGTTTTGAAAAGATTGTATTGAGAAATAAAAAATTGTTCCCATCGTTTAGTGTTTATAGTGGATAATTTGTAGGGAAGAAGTAATATGATACATTTAGAAATAAATTGTACTATTCTCAATTAATTTATATTTTTATCAAATGTTAGAAAACGAGATAAGAAAAAGAATACAACTTTTTTTTCTGTGGTCTAAAGTATAAAATAGACATTTATCTTAGTTTCAGGTGTTCAGATTCAGAGGTAAAATGTAATTTAATTTCGTACTTGACACGAATTTGAGCTTTACATGTGAAACACTTAAATATTTTTAAAAGAATTGGTATAAAAAATTATTTAGAAATAAAAATAAATATTTTATTATAGATGTCGTATCTCAATTGTTTAAAAATGAAAAAATTGTATAAAATTGTAAAAAATTATTATATAAATAATTCTAACCAATTTTAAGATAACTCAATTATAAAATCTATGATAAAATATTTAATTTTATTGCTAGGTTAAAAAACTCAAGATGCTCTCACCCAGCTTTGCGTTTCAAGGATCACAAGATATGCAGTAGCGGTTGCAATGCAACTTCCCGCTCTGTTGCTTTAAACCCTAAACTGAACTAAAACCTTTGTGTAAGATCCTAATGGCAATGAAAACCGTAGAAGAAGATGAAGTGGGTATCTCCTGCTTCATTTCCGACCTTCCTGGCTTCCGCGGAATTTTAAAGCAAAGGTTTCGTCATTTTCTTCACAATTCATTATTACCTTCCTCACTGCACCTCATTGATTAGTGATGTATGTATGCTGAAGTGCATTATTCGATAGTATCTTGTTAATGCTGATTGCAATTGAATTTTATTCAGGTATTCTGATTTTATTGTGAATGAAGTGGACAGAGATGGAACAGTTGTTCAATTGTCCATGCTTGATGCCCCTGAAGAGAAACCAGAGGTCTAATTATTTGTGATCATTGATCAATCAATTTTTGCTTTGTTTTTAGTATCTGATGCTTTTGTGCTCATTCAGACTGTTCAGGAAAACGGAACCAACACAGCTGACACTGTTGTAAGTTATGCCTCTCGAATTGAATCTTTTAAGTCTCTTGCTGGGGAGTCTGATGCAGTTCTTTTGGAAGAATTTATTAATAAAATTAATGCGGGTGGAGAAGATAGTGTTTCTTCCATTGTTCTTTCTCCGGATTCTGATAAGTCTCATCGAAAGGTTAGTATGAATTTTTTGGCTTATTATGCACTTTGTTAGAGTCTGGAGACATAAAAAGATGTCCATAATGGTGAGCACTTGGACATTGGCTCGAAGTGGGTATCTCATGACATTACAGTGGGCTGAACTTTTTGTAGAATTTCACTTCTTCATTCATTTATTTAGCCTTTTTGAGTTAAGTGCTCCGTCACTATAATTTTCTTTACATAATTGAATTTAGTAAAAGGAGACTGATCTGATCCTGCTTTTGTGGCATGCAAAATAAATTCATTTGTAGTTTTTTTGGCCATTCAAAACATCATAAATTTTGTGCTTCTCAAATGTATCAGGAAATGCATAATTTCTTTAAGGAAAACTTTAAGTTCCTGGTTACTGATGTGGTTGATGGACCTGATGCTTCATCGAAATGTATCCGAGTTAGATTGAATTCTGCTGAAGCCAACAGCAAAGGCAAAAACTCCAAGAAACGCAAAGAAAGGGGTGATAAACCCTTTGATAGCCGAGGTTCAGAAAATTGGCCTGAGAATATTGGCAAGTTCGTTAGGTAAGATTGCTTGGCAATTTTATTTGATAAAATATAAATTAAGCAATGCTCACAGTCTTCCATTTCTAGTGCAGTCAACATGAGCGTTTTGTTAATTAGCTGTAGTTTGTCCAACAAGCAACCACTTATGGAATATCCAAAACCATTCGACCTAATGAAGACTCTTCGCTATATTAAATTTATTTTATTCATAAATTGACAGAAAGTGATAGCCACTCGTTCTGGCATTTTTTATTTGCTCGTGCCATTTTCCTGTTTTTTTATTGTATTTGTTTGTCAACTGAATGTTTCTACCAATGCAATTTCTAGGTTTCATATTTACAAGGAGAATAAAGATACCCATGAGGCCTTGGGGGTTATTGGAAATATGCTTGGCATCCAGGTCTGTATGGTTCTTTGTTGGATACATTCTGCAGGCTTTTTCATTGAGTGTGAAAGTGAATTGTTTTGTTTTTGTTGATGGTTCATTCAATTCCTGACATCAATTCCCTCTTAATTGATTATAAATATACATTCTACAACTGAAACATGTGATAGGATAATTGAATCTGTTTCCCATATTTTTATTTGTGAATTATTTGCTTGATATATTTATGATTATGTTTCAATGTATTATGCCTCTGTCCAACTTTTTGTTTTCAACCTGGAGATTTGGGAACTTTGTTTTGTTATTTTTTATGTCTCCATGATTTTTCCTGCTCATAAAATTTGATTGATGTAAAATGTTATGTTTTTAGTAATATGCACTATTTTATAGTCCACTATCCAAGTTTATGCATTGGCCATTTGGCAAGTAGAAAATATATAAATGCAATTCGTTATTATTACTATTGGTTTATGGATAAGATTGTTGGACTTTTCCACCTTTCTGTTTTAACTGATTGATAATTAATTGACAGCCAAAATCATTTGGATTTGCGGGTACAAAGGACAAGCGTGCTGTCACGACGCAAAGGGTGATAAATCATCCCATTCTTTTTCATTGTACATCAAACATTCATTCCTTTCTTCACTTTCCAGAACTAGTATCAGGGTTCATTTATAGATAATTACTAAAACTGGTTTCTTACTTCTTCTTTTTTATCTAGGTTACTGTTTACAAGCAGCGAGCAAGTCGACTCGCTTCACTTAACAAACGCTTGTTTGGTATTAAATTGGGTGATTTCTGGTAAGGTGATTGAATTTTGAATGGTTGACATTCCTACTTATCTGATTTTTGTGGAATGATAGCTATAAATGTTCTATTGTCCAGTTATGTTAAGGAAGGACTTTGTCTTGGCCAGCTCATGGGAAATCGATTTACAATCACATTGCGGTGAGGGTATTATGCATGGAATTCATTTTTCCTGTGTTAAATTAGTATCCTTGATATCAGGGTTATTTATAATTATTGATGTAATTGAAGCTCTGTATTTGTACATATCATAGCATTGACATATTTTCTCAGAGGTATTGTTTCAGATTCTGAAGATATCATAAAAGCATCTGCAGATGCCTTGGGAAGGCTTGGCTTCATTAACTACTTTGGTCTACAGGTACTTTCTAAGTCAATTTTTCCTCTCTGATTAGTCTCTTGATTTTGTTGTGATGACATACAATGGGATAGCTACCTTGTGCTAGTTTAGATGTAAACTTCCTGAACAGCCCTAGGGGGAATGATCTCTTATAACATGTGGCATTTGCTGTATATCATTCAGAAGTGCCATGCAATAGGATCTGCATTAGGCCTAGTTCATGTCTATTGTAAAACATTTTTTATTTTTCATTTTTGTTTTACAAGTAACTTATTTGTCTGTGAATGTGCTCTTTTTCAGCGTTTTGGAAGTGGTTCTTTGCCAACTCACCTTATTGGATCTGCATTACTTCGAGGGGAATGGAAACTTGCTGTTGACATGATTCTTGATCCAAGAGATGGAGATATCCTTTTCATTGTTTTTATTGTTAAATATAATCGATAATGTCTTGATGATTAATCAATTAATTGTGTGCTGCTGATAGTTAAAAATAGCATATTGATTTCTGTTGTTCTTCATAACAATGTTATTTAGATACAGAGACATGCAATAGCCAATGCACGTAAGTACTATAAAGAAAGTAATGATGTTGTTGGGACACTTAAGCAGTTGCCTCGATATTTAGTTGCTGAAAGGGCTGTGGTAATAAGCTTCAAATAAAAATGATTTCTTCATTGGACACTTCCTTTGTTAGATTAAAGCTAATTTTTTTGTTTATTCACTATATTTATCCATGTATGATGATGTCATAACCATGTTTGTGTCATCAAATATTCTGCAGCTTCAATCTTTAAAGATGTCTCCAGGAAATTATTTGCAGGCTTTGAAAAGCATTCCAAGGACTCTGAGAATGTTGTGAGTTAAAATTATATTCGTGTTTTGAATATCTTGCTGAAGTGGTGTTACACTGTTAGTCTGTTACTGCCAGTGGTTTTTCTTCTTCGGGAGCATGTATCTAGTACCAAAGTTTATTTTTATTCCTTATTGTCGATCATCATCTGGTGTTACATAATTTCATGAATCTCTTTTCTTTGGACACAACATAGTGGTATGCTTATATTTTAATTGTTCTTGCATGAGGAGTGCAAAATGTTTTCTTAAGTATATCTTACTTTTCTTTCTCTACATTTCAGTTTAAACATATACCTGATTTGAATTTGACATAACTTTATGTGAAATTTTGGTACACGGTTGAGTTCATAATGTGAAAACTGACATATACCCTTTAGCTCTAAATTATCTTATTTTGTTTTTCGAAAGATTTGTAATAAAAATGTTAAAAGGGTGAAATTTTGGCTGAAGAACCTTTTATGGGCATAAAATAATCAAAACCAGACACGCTCCAAGGTTTTTGCATATTACAGACAATGCACTACAGGGATGCCATGACAACGTTAATTTCCTTACTTACAATAGAAATGTGACAACAAGGCCTATGTTGTTGTTATAATGGTAATTTTGTGAAGCTTATTGCTGATGTCAATTTTATGCTGAGATGTTTATTTCTTTCACTCTCCTCCTGCACTAGCCAGTTCTATACTTCCATGCTGGCTAATAGGCCACTTAGTGTTATTTGATTGAAAAAGATTCTGGCTGGTGGGCTGCAGTATATGTATATATGAAACAGAGTTGACAAGTGCATGTAGTTTTAAATCACTTTCTTTTAAAAATAATCTCTTCTAATTCTTTTTATGCAATTGTTTTAGTTTTTCAAAATCATTAAAAATTGAAAATAATCTAAAAATCTAATTAAAAGAAGAAGCTGTTTTTAATGGCTTCTAATTAAAACCAGTTGTTTTTTTTAAGTGAGTTTTTCATGATTCTAAACAAACATAACTTATCACTGGATGATTTTACATCAGAATAATTGTTTTTAATCCGTAACAAACAGGCCCTAAATCTCTGCTTTGACACCGCATACAGTTAAGGAGGAAATGTTTTGTTGTATACAAAAAACAGTTAACACATGCAAATGAATAAAATTTGAAAGCTAGTAAGATACATAAGTAATTCTTACAGAAGCTCTAAAGTAGGTTGGTTATGCTGTCTATTTGATGATGTTTTCTTTTGTTTCTATGAGTATTGTACAGAGAACTGTTGTTATAAGTGTCCGGTTATGCTGTTTCAAAGTTAGTTAAAAAGTTAGTTATGCATCTGTCACTATGACAGCTGTATCTTGGTACTTGCTAGTTTCAGTCAGGTATATAATACCTTTCTGTATCTCTCATTTTCAAGTAACATTCACACAGATATACAGTTCCTTTGCTTTTCTAAATTCAATCTCTTAATATCTTGATATAGTTTTATTTTAAAGACAAGTCTGCTTTGAATACAAATAAAAGATGTAATATATTATTCAACATCATGTATTTGAAAGACGATATTAATATTCATTTTATATTTCCATGACTTTTGTTAGGTATATACATAGCTACCAAAGCTATTTATGGAACCATGCTGCAAGTAAGAGGGTGCAAAAATATGGTAAGTTGTGCTTTGTAATAAATTTCTAGATTTGTGCAAAAATATGATAGTTGAAGTCTAAATATTCATTTATTATATTCAACGATACTGTGGCAGGAACTGAACAAGTAGTATTAGGGGACTTGGTAAACTGTAAAGACAACTCTACTACAAAAGTTACAGAGTTTGTTGGACCTGAATATGCTGAAGACTGCAGTGGTGGGTATGATTCCAATAATGAGGATGAAATCTCTAGAGATATTCATGAAGACATAAATAATTGTGTCAAGGTTAGTCGTTTGATTTTGGCCATTTTATGTTAGTGCATAACTGAAATGTAGTTTTAGAAATGTCATGACTTATATTTCTCATCTATCTATTCAGAGTCTAGTGCACACACATGGAAAAATATGTAGACCTGAACTTACATCGATGCACAAATATTTGGTCATTTTATACATTGTTACTATTCTGAAAATGAAAGTTCAAGAATATTATATGAAATTAAAGTTACTTTTCATAAGAAGAATTTATATGAAAAGAATTAGGAGGATAAGATCCTCCTTAAAAATGAAAAAGAAAAAAGAAAAAGAAAAGTGCACATAAAAAACATTTATCAAAATTGGTATTGTCTTTATATATTAGTATGGATTAACTGTCAACATGATCAGTCATTCAGTGAGGATTTAATGAAATCAATAATTTTTGAGCAATTTTGTGTTAAAATAGAAAATTATTTTTATTTGGGAGAAATGACGGGAAGTACAACTAAGGAAAGGATAATTTACCAATTGGAACATAAAATAAGTACTCAACAAGGAACAGCAGAAGTTCTGAAGTGGGTTTACTTGGTATGACAGGTTGTTGGTGCTGAAGATCTTAATTCTGGATGTTACACAATTGATGATGTCATCCTTCCTATGCCAGGGTAAGCATGATTGGCTAATACTGCTCAGTTTCTGTGATTCTGATAACTCAGATCCTCCTCCAATGCTTTAGTTTTTCATTGTTTTTCTTTTTTTATTTTGGCGGAGTGATCGGTCTCTGACATTTGTGTATTTGTTATCTTGCAGTTCACGCGTAAAATATCCAACCAATCATATTGCCAATGTTTATGAAGATTTAGCAAAAAAAGTACGTATCAATTTTGCCCCCTAGTACTTTCAAATTTCAATGTCCTGAATTTTATGCATTTAATTAGGAGTCTGGATATCGTGCCAAATATTTTATAATTAATTTTTTCTTACTATCTCAGTATGAAATCGCCCACTTTATCCCAGTCTTCCTTTCACGCTTACATGAAAGAACTTCGTAAAAAATTTGTGTAGGAGATTTATCTATTTACTTGTAAAAAACAATTCGTGGTTATATTAATTGCTATGCATTTCACTATACTTGAGCAAATGATTTTATTTCATGAAGGGGAAAATCAAAAAGTTGCTCGTCAGGTTCATTTTATTGTATTAAGCCGAACAGTCCTTCGGTGATGAAATAAAGATTTGAAGCAAGTTTTATAAGTTAGTGTTGTCTCGAATGCTATAGGTTCTGACTCATACGCATACCAACCTCAAGAGCCTGCTTTATTTCTGTTATCAAGATTAATATTAATACTCCGTTGTTTACGATTGATATTGATTTTGGAACTGCAATTTAGTGTTGATATTATTAAGCATGACAAGCCCCTCCACACTCCAGTGCTTCTCTTTCTCCTCCTCCTCTTTGTTACTTTTAGAATTATGTTCAACTAGTTCTTTACATTTACGTTCCTCTTGCTATCCTTCTTGCCTTTTTGTAACCTTCTGTACTGTTATTGTTCCATGGGTTGTTATTCCCCGTTGTAATATATTCACCTGTTTTATTTGTACTGGTCAGGATGGAATCAGTTTAACTGAAAGCGTGCACAATGTGGAGTATGTAATAAGAATCTCAACTCAAATCTTGAAGAGTCCAATTCTACATTCATTCTTTTCTGTTCTGCCAGTTTTCTTACCCTGATTTATTCCTACTTTTTTGTTAGGGAATTCTCAATTACTAGTATCACTGGATGTTACAGGAGGGTTTTTCAAAAGCCAATTAACTTTGAATGGTATTTTACCAAGTTAACCCTCCACCACAGACTTACTTGTCTCTCGTTCCATTTTTTTTAATTTCCCGTGTAGTTCACTTTTTGACTCATTTTCTATGATGTCTGCAATTCCAGGGAATTACTTACATACTCTGACAGTGATGAACAGTTGGTAGAGACAGATTTAGACAAAATTAAAAAGTCTACATCTACGAACACTATCAAACCAATTGATGTAGGAAATGGGAAAATTGAAGATGCCTTTGACCGCATCAGAGAGTTAGAGAGTTCTGATGACGTTCCAAAGGTTGAGATTGCAGGCGAGCAGGTAAAATTACCTCATGAACAATCTCTTGGTGACTCCAGCTCTCAAGATTCCCATATTGCTCTCAAACTGAGCTTTACTCTTCCTGCTTCTTGTTATGCAACAATGGCCATAAGGGAGCTGCTGAAGACATCAACATCTGTAAGCACCCAATTTGAAAATCTTGTGTCTGTTAATGAGAGTGTACAAATTAACAATAACTGGGAAAAGTTCTAGCATTGGGAATATAATACAAATGATAGAGTTGTAAAAGCATAAAATGGGAGAAAGCTTGGTCCTGGCTTCGCTCAAACTGGGGTCAAATATGTTACTAGCGTGTTTGGATTAACTTTATGTGTGAGAATAGTCAATTAATTTTTAATGAAGGTAAAAAGTAGCTAGTTGCTTTTACTTTGTTTTCACTACGATTTTGTGGATTAGAATTGATTCTTGTGGGTTATCCAAATACACTATATAAATTCTTTTGACATGGTTGAAACTGGCTGGTAAAGGTGGTTCAGTTAATCTCACAGTTGTATGTGCATAAATTCTTTTATTTGAATACTGTTGCAGGTTGCATATCACAAGACATTAAACCAGTAGTATGAGCACAGATACCCATTTAGCAATCTTTTCTGGAGTAGAAAGTGATTTACAGAACAGATAGATCACCGCGAAGATAAGTTTCAGCTCATGTTACTTATTTTATGTTGCCATAATATCCTGTCAGAAGAGAGAGAGGGAAATCCTCTCTCGGGGTGCTCTTTGTATCTAGTTGAACCGAGAAATTTAATTGTATTAACTAGTTCTGCCGAATATTTAAATTTAAATCTTCGTTTTTGTATGGGAAGATTTCCATGTGTTGGGTTTTAGTACCTTGTGCGCAGTTCTAACATACCATAGCTTTCTTGTTGTGTATTTTTAGCTACCACATCTCATTCCTATGCTTTTCCAGAAACATGGTGTTTGGAAATTTTGTACTATTGTTTGGAAATTGAAAATCTTCTCTCCATGTCAAAAATACAATACTCAATTGTCCATTTGGTGTCTTATACTTGTGAGGCGGGTGAGAGCGAACCAAATTGTCCATCTGAGTGCACTTTTGTCCTGAGTACATGTTACGTCGACATTAAATACGTTTTAAGCTTTTCATGAAGGAGTTAAATCATGAAGCAAATTTAGTTTGACGTATGTTTGTAGATGGAATCAGTTGCAAAATTTGAGTATTTATAAACATATTTATAATTATTTTAAAAATTTAAGCTATGTTTGTGAATTGAGATAGAGGGAGGAGGTACACTTTATTTTTAATAAATATTCTCCATTTAGTTTTTTTTAATATAAAAAATAGGTTTAAATAAGTTTTGAGTTGTTAATATATATGACTGGGTTTTTTAAGTACTCAATAATTTTTTTCTTTATATTGGATATTTAACCATTTATATATATATATTAATCTAAGTTCGTTTTGTCAGTTTCATATGATGCAACACATTTTTGTTATGGTAAAAAAATATTAAGAGGTTGAAAGAAATGTCTCTGACGCTTAAATTAAAACAAATATAAGTAAATTCATTTAGGGACTTAAATTGAAATATTTATTTGCTATGTACTAAATTTGAAAGAAAAAAATTTATTGGATACAAAAAATGGTCGTATATTAAGGATCTATAACTTAATTTAATTCTAGAAAATAAACTTAAATTGATGTAAAACTATTGCCTCAATGCTTTATTTTTATTAATATTATATAATTTTTCAATTTTCAATTAAATATTATTTTATTTGACAACACTTGTTTTTATGGGTATATAATTGCGACAATGAAGTTTACATTGACTCTTTTTTTTCATTTTTTAAATTAAATAACTTACAATTTTTTATTTTTTACGGTCACAATAAATATTTTAAAAAATTAATAAGCTTCCTATGCACAACAGGTAAGATATTATTAAATAAAAATATAATTAATACAAATATTATTATCATTATTATTATTATTATTATTATTATTATTATTATTATTATTATCTAACACTAATGAACATTTAGTATTTTATTAAATATTAATAAAATTAAATGGATCAAAAGTTTTTAATTGAAGAGAAGATTATGAAAAAAAAATTTAAATCAATACACATTCTCCCTGTATTTGTTAATTTGACATGATGCATGAAAATTAAGTTTAATATGTGATTATTATTATTATTATTATCTAAAAAAATCACAATATATTTATTTCCACTTGGTGTATCAGGGATTATAGTTAATTCAAATCTAAACAAACTAAATTTAAGTAATATTTTTTAAATTAGTAAACTATATATATATAAAGAATTAGATACTGGTACAAGAGTGACTAGCTACATTTCTTTGCGAAAAACGAAGCAAATTCTAAATATATTTTTAGACACATAATTTATAATAAAAAGGGTGAATTGATAATAGTAACTTTGTTAACCACGTTACCAATACTAATCAACTGGATTCCTAATTTAAATTATTTTTTCAGCAATAACTAAATTTTTAATTATATCAAGGTTGTTCAAAATAACATGATAATATAACTCTATCTATCTATCTATATATATAACGTGTAGATTATAGGTATTCTTTGTTAGTTAAGTGAAATAATTTCGTACTAGTTAATTGGTATTCGATGATTGTATCGTTAGTATACATAAAGTTGATACACATTAATACTGATAAAATATACCCAACATTAAAATATTTTCATTGAAACTTGGAAAATTAAGATAATAAAAAATTTGAAGAAGTACTGTTAATGTATGTTGTTATTTGTATTTATTTAACATTATAATATTGGTAAGTATGTATTTTTCAAATTGTTAAAAACACAAATCCATTTTGATTACAATTTATTAAAATATGGAAAAACTAATATAATTTTTATAGAAATCTTAAAATATACCATAAAAACAGTCAATAAAGCAGTGAAAGAGTGCAATGAAAAGTTAGATAAAACAAATGAATTTCTATGTAAATATCTTTTAAATGAAATATAAATAAACCAATAAATATCACTTCACATTCTAAGATAGAATAACGGGACACATATAAAAAAAATGTTACACGAGTTCTCAACGTGAATAAAAAAATTAAAATTCGTGTCACGTGGAGGCTATAAAAGAGTTTATATATATATATATATATATATATATATATATATATATATATATATATATATATAGTTTAATATCATTTTGTTTAAATTCGAAAATCCTTGTTTTATTTTACTATTTTTTATTCTAATTGCGTTATTTCTCTTTGCATAATTTTTAATATAATTAAGCTTATATACGTGTTTAATACATGGTAGAATTGTTGAAGTCTTTTAGACACTCTAATGGAACATCTTAACATATATTTTTAAATATTTTTAAACTATAAAAATGCAGTGTCATATAACATAACTTAATAGGAGATGGTAATTATATATATTTTTTTCTCTTTGAAATATTATTATAAAAATTAATAAAACTTATATTACACATGATGGTTTATAATTCAGTAACAACGTAATTTTACAATCAATTTATAGTTATTGAATGCTACCTCTCTACTTAGTTATAAGTAAAATTAACTAGTAATTTAAAAAAAGATTAAGTTTATTTAATATTATTAGTTTCATATAATATTTTTTTCTAAATTAACCTTAAACTATATTTATGAAAAACGAAGTTTTAAAATAATAACATTAAATAAATTTTACAAGACTTAAATTTATTTATATTTAAATAAAGACTGATATATATTAATTAGCATTGTGGATTGACATGAAGACCCCTTAAGTACACTAAAAAACCCTTAGTTAATAGCATTAGTAATAATAAATTATATTGCAAAGTTTTAATGATATCAACTGTAGAGTAACCATTTAATAGGGGTATCAATAAAAATTAATACATATAAATAATATACAGAGAAACACAAGATCGATTGAATAGTTTTAAACAAGATATTGGAAAAAGTTTCTACCGTTTAAATGTATAACAATAATAAGTTCACAACTAAATTTTGAAAATTAAATATTCTAAGTAAATTTATTGACCCATTTTGAACCAGTTATGGATGGGTTCATAGATTTTATCGATTTTTTTTTTACTAGTTCTCCAATATTTAGGCCAGTTCTTTCATAAATCAATTTTTTAATTTAATTCAACTGAACATATAGTCAGTTTATCAATTTTCAGTTGAACCAACAAGTCTCATTCAATTTTGAAAACATAATCATAAACCCTGGAATCGGTTCCTTTAAACTTAAACTATGTCTAAAATTTAACTAGTAGAAACCTCAATGTTTAAATTTAAAATAAATATTTTTTACATTAAATAAAAATTGTAAAATAATGATTAAAGTTACATGCTTTTTATTTTATTTTTAAATATCTGACAGGTTGAACCATGATCTTGCTTTGGACTTTGGATTGAGTGGACCAAGTTAAGCACCCTCGCAGGTTATAAAATCCAACTCATCTTGCCAAATTTGGCATGTTACCTTCCAATTAAACTCCTAAGAAACCACACAACCAAATCTTACATGCAAAACCCCAACACAACACTTTTTGTTGTATTTTTTTCTCTTCAAAAATGTAATTTTACCAAATGTGACAGAAAATATAAGACCACTCCAATATTGTTGGACAGAAGTGTCCTCCACTTCAGAGGATTATCATTGTACAAGTTCAAACTGCATCTGCAAAATGATGAAATGGTATTTCACTCAGAAAGAAAAACGATGACAACAGCATTCAAACGCACCTTCATAATAAGAAGGATAAAACTTGATTTCAGACCCTTAACTATTTGCTAATTCATTTAAAAATGTTAATTGTTTACAAGACGCAGGGGAAGTATTGAATACATAGTGACAACACAGGAGATGCATATGGTGCAATGTTTATGTAAGAAAAGAGGGTCCCACATTGTCTTTTAGTATACAAGGCTCCTTTAGGGGCCCCCCTGTCCGTGGGCAGACACTGTCTCAAACAGACATCTGTTCATGTTCCATTCATAATTTTTCTTTTTCTTTTTAATGAAACAATAATGCTATGTTTGCATCGATTTTCCCCACACACAACTATAGTGAATTAGCATTATCTGCTCCTTCTCTATAACAAAATGAGTAGAAGAGTTAACACAAACCATAACATGCAAAACAAAGAATTTGATGCACAAGCTTGCTTCCATCCCATGTGCTCTTGGCTGTGTTCTGTGACTGTGTGCAAGCGTCCACTACACAGTAAGCTCTTGCACGTGCTGGCTGCTGTTCCTGTACGACACCACTGTATTCCTTTGTACCAAGTGAAGATTCCCATCCTTAAATCATCGGTCCCACTCTCTGCTTCTTTTCACGTGTCCTGCCATCCCTATGCCGTTAATTACAACATCATCACCGTCAGCTACTCCATGCCACCAACACTTTTTTTTTTTTTCCCTATTGTTCCTGTCAGCCACACTCTCACTCTCCTTGCGCGTCTAACTCAACCCCCAATTATCATATAATTTCATATATATATATATATAAAGTACAAAACAAGGTACATGTAACATGTCATTGCATCTTTGTATAATTCAAATTGTGTACTGGTTTACTGTGAAGGTGAGAATTTTGATGCGTTTGCCAAGGTTCAAAATTTCGGTTACTGATAGATTAAGCACTTACTTAGGATCCGTGGTGAGTTGTGAGAGTGGGAAAAATATTCTTGTGTAGTGTGTTTAATGGGGTGATAAAGATGAGTTTGGATTTTGTTTGAAAAGAGAAAAAGGGTTGGACAAGTTTGAAATGAATTGAATATACCTCGAATAGCAACGTGGTTGGATTGACTTGTCCAAGGTCACACAATATTTAATTGCGTAAAATACTGTGGTTTAGAGGGTGGCTGGTGAGTTCCCTTTCTCCTAAAAGGGTGTCGGGGGCTATCTTTTCCTTTTCATGCAAGGACAATCTCCTTGATAAACGCGAGGGAGAAAGAAAGAGAGGGATAGAGAGAGAAGTGAAGTTAGTGTTTTGAAAAGTTTCTTGTAGCAATGTTGTGATTTACAGTGAGCACCGAGGAGAAAGAAAGAGGTAAAGCACTCCAACACAAACACCAACATGTTCGATGGAGCACCAGACCAGTTCCACCAATTCATAGCACCAAGGACCACTCTTCCTCTCCACTTGTCCTTCCCTCTCCATGCCTCTTCAACTCCCCCAACTACCTTCCTACCCTTTGATCCCTATAACCCTTCTCAATCTCAACACCACTTGCCACTCCAAACCAATCTCTTGCACCCATTGCACCCCCCTTCTCCCACCCACAAACATGAACAACAACGCAAGGTTGCTCCAATCCACAACGTCCACATTCAAACAGATCAAACACAATTACCAGACCTAACCGATTCCTGGACCAACGATGAAGTGCTTGCACTTTTGAGAATCAGATCTAGCATGGAAAATTGGTTCCCGGAGCTCACATGGGACCATGTCTCAAGGTACATATATACCTCTACATCACATTAATCATCTATATAGTACATGCTTTCAGTTGAGCCTCACTGTTATCCTTTAATTAACTCACTGTTCCTTTGAGCAAGTAAGTGAATTAACTCAATTGAGACTGATGATCTAGGGAGAATGAGAAATTAATGAGTTAGATATAGACTATATATTCGATTAATCATCACATGTTACCCTCATGTGGTAGACAAATTAACGCACACGTGCACCAACGCGTTATAGTACTTTAGCTCGCACGCTGACACAGCACGGCAAGACACAAACCCCGAGAGAAAGATATAAGGCTGAGCCGGCCATGGAGCAAAGAAGGAAAACCATTAATTTGAAGTGTTGAGGACAGTGTGTACTTACAATTGTGTGAAGCAAATAAATGAAAATAACAAAAATTCTTATGGGGTGGTTTTTGGATTTTTGTATTTATGATGTGTGCAGGAAGCTAGCAGAGCTTGGGTTTAAGAAGAGTGCTGAGAAGTGCAAGGAGAAGTTTGAAGATGAGAGTAGATATTTCGACAACATTAACAACTTCGGCAAGAACAATTACCGGTTCCTTAGCGAACTGGAGGAGCTTTGTCAAAACCCTGATTCGAGTGGTGGTGGTGGTGACCGTGCAGGAGATAATGGAGTTGTGAGAAGTGAAAAGACCCTTCACCTTGGAGGAGACAACATGGGCCACCAACAATGTGATGGAACAAGTGACAAGGTTGTGGTGGAAAAGTCAAAGGAGCGCAAGAGGAAGAGACGTGATAGGTTCGAAATGTTCAAGGGTTTTTGCGAGAGTGTTGTCAACAAGATGATGGCTCAACAAGAAGAGATTCACAACAAGCTCCTCGAGGACATGGTCAAAAGGGACCAAGAGAAGTTCGCCAGAGAGGAGGCGTGGAAGAAGCAAGAGATGGAGAGGATGAACAAGGAGCTTGAGATCATGGCACAGGAGCAAGTTATTGCCGGAGATAGACATGCCACCATAATTGAGTTCTTAAAGAAATGTGCAACAACTTCATCATCCCCTCCAAGCCAAAATCCCAAGCACTACAACAAAGATGGTTCAAGTCTTCCAAATAGTTTATTGCACTCGCAAAACCCTAATAGTCCTTCCAGCGAAGACAACAATCTCGATCCAACACCATCTCCTAAAATGATTCTGAATCATGATCAAACCACATTGGGAGCAGAAAACCCTAGCTCAAGTGACACATTGTTACAAGTTCCTTCTTCCTCCAATTCTTCTCCAACTCCCCACAACCCTAGTTCTTCGCTCAATAGCCATGATAATATCATTCCATTGGAGTCAAATTTAGTTTCCACACATAAGGCAACCTCAATAGCCACTATAGTCAGCGCTGAGAATTCGAAAGAGGATGTTGGGAGAAGATGGCCTAGGGATGAAGTGTTAGCACTGATAAACCTGAGGTGCACGAGTATAAGTAACAACAACAATGAAGAGAAAGAAGGAAACAAGGGTCCTCTGTGGGAGAGAATCTCGCAAGGGATGTCAGAGCTGGGTTACAAGAGAAGTGCAAAGAGGTGCAAAGAGAAGTGGGAGAACATAAACAAGTACTTCAGAAAAACCAAGGATGTTAACAAGAAAAGGTCCATTAACTCTAGGACCTGTCCCTATTTCCATCAACTGAGTTGCTTGTATGGTCAGGGAAAACTTGTGGCACAGTCTGAAAGTGAAGGGAACTACATGAGTCCAACCGCTAATTCCGGCCAACTGCCACCACCGGATGATGATGAACAAGTTCAAGCTGATGAGTCTTCTCAAGTGGGGTCTGGTAGTTTGGTTCAGTATGCATGTTAATTGATCATGCAGGTGAGAAACCTTTGAAATTAAGTAATACCATCTTTGGATTGTGATTACTTTCAAATTCATTATTTTGCCCATTTTATATGGCCTATAATAAGTTCCATTATTTTCCTTTTCTTTGGTTTTGGTGGTGGGAGAGGACTTTTTTCTTATATATATGAGCATAAATTGATATTGAATATGTATATTTTGATTTTTGGTGAGCACCGACAGCTTCAGGAACTAGAACAATATTTTTGTTCTGTGGCACTGCAATTTACATTTATATAATTTTGTATGAGATTGATGTTTCATGCATATGTATTGACTAATGCCCGTTAATTGGGAACACACTGGCCCCGGAAAAAGAGGGGTGGACGAGACATTCTCGGGAATAATTATTTATTTTGTACAACAGTTTTGAAAATATATTTATTATCTTTTAGTTTTCTTTACAAAATACGTTAATATATAATATATACAATGTATAATACCAAATATAAATATGATGTTTTCAAAACTTAATGTTGAAATTACAAAACTCTTGCTTGGTCATCTTGAAATCTACTGGGATGCCAATCAATTTAAAAATTGAAAGGAATTTGCAGTTTTTTCCCCTTCTGTTGATTGTGTAGTAATTAAACACAAATAATGATTTTGTTTTGTTTTAATTAAAAAAATCCCAATTTAATTTTGCTTTGCAAGGTGGATGTTTGGAGGAAAATACTATAGAAGATTATTTTTTATATTTAAAAAATAGAAATTTTTTAATACATTTAAAAAAACATGACGATTTCTGTTTATAATGATGATGTTATGTATTAAATAAGCAAATAAAAATTATATAAAATACAAAAAGTTCCTCTCTATATTTTCTTCGTTTCTTATTATTTTCTCCATTCAGATGTTTATAATAAGATATTTAATTGTAACATTTTGGTCTTAATAATAGATCATTCTCTCTCTCAAAATATAAACTATTAAAATATAATGCATACAAATTAAAATGAAATCCAAATTTGGATAAGTTAATATTAAAATTAAGTTTATTTTAAAAAAGTTTCCTTAATTTGCTCCAAATTATTAGTCGACTGAATTATATAAGAAGTTTACTATTTGAGTTATTACTAGGTTATTAAGAATAAAATAAATATAAGTACCTTATAAAAAAAATTATATGTTAGCTTAGAATTTTTATCCTGCTTTAGAGAGGATGACATTATCTATTTTTCTTAACTTTTTTGTTATAAAATATCATTGTTTTTGTTAGAGTATATCAAAATTACAAATTTAATTAAATTACATTTTTATTCCATTTGAAAGAATAAACCTCTTAAATAAACAAAGAATATTCAATATAAAAAGATTACATTAATTTTATGATTAAGATAGATTAAAATTTGCTAACATATAAGTGATAGCTACTTATATATTTTAATTAAGTAATGTAGGATTTGAACTTTAATAATATCATTTGAGTATAAAGTAAATCATGTTGAGAGAAAATATTCACTTTAAACACAAATCTCTTGTTTACCATAATAGTTAATTTGTATCAACATCATAATTATATATATAAACAAAATAAAGAATATGAAAATACAAATCTTCTTAAAAATATTCAGTTTGGAAATAAAAAGATAAATTTATAATAGCTTGTTTGGGAAGTTATAATTTGTGTCGTTATAACCTACTCTTATTTTGAGTTCAACTCATTGTTCGTATTTATTTGTTTATAAAGCATACTCAAATTATTTGGGTTCTGGATATATTTTATATTGGAGAACCACATCAAACTACCCCTAAACTTTTACTGTTTAGCAAATAGGCACCTTAATCATATTCTATTTTAATTAGTACTTAAACTTTTATTATTATTTCAATCAAAACTTTTGTTAACTTGATGCTAAATATCATTTAATTTTAATTGGTAATTTTTATTTAAATATTAAAATCAATTTATGGTGTAGGGGACATGAGGAGCCCTCGTTCTTCTTTTGCTAACTTTTGTCTATGGTTTTTAGCAGAAATAAATTGTCTCCAACAACCTATTTGTGCAATTTGAGTGTGTGTATTGTTCATTTGTCAGATGAAGGATAATCACTGTAGAAGAAAGAGGCACTTATGCAACACCATTGTTTAAACAAAAAGGAAAACATTCGTGAAACTATGTGCGTAGATTCTGCAATTAGTTTTACAAACTCCTTTCTCTTTACACGTGCATAGCTTCTTCTTTTTTTGACCGATTTACATGTGCATAACTACTCTTCTAGATTTTTTATTTATTTTGGAAGCATTTATTCCATATGATTTGAATATTTTAAACACAAAGTATTGAGAATCAACAGTATAAATTTATTTTATTAATTATTAACGTCAAGTTGATGAAAGGACTACAACAATAATTAAAATGTAATAGTTAATTAAGATAAAATAAGAGTTAATGGTGTCTATTTGTAAAAGAGTAAGATTTCAAAATGATTTGAATGGTTTTTTTTTTCTCTTTTATGATTGTTCTTATTTTTGCATGTGTGGGGAACTTGGAAAGTTGAGTAAAATCAATCTCCAAGTTTTCAATCATTATTTAAATAGGAATCAATGTAAGAATGATAATTGATTTGTCTGTAAAAAAAAAAGTTATGAAAGAGTTACTTATATACAACACTTGACAAAAATACATATAAAAAAATCAATGTAAAAAAATAAAATCCACTACTTACAATTATATGTCCATTATTACAAGAATTTTATTAAATATTAACTAATTTATAAAAAATATTTAGTCATTAAAATAATTTATGAACTATAATTTAAAGACTAAAAAATAAATCTAAAAATATTTCAACAATCATTTATAAAAATAAACACAATGATGAATACCAAATATAATTAAATACTTTTTACGGATCAAATACAAATCCGTAAATATTTCAAGAACAATTTATTAGGAAGAATACAAATAACTAAAACATTTCAAAACCAAAAATCATGTTTAAGTCTTTAAATTTATTAATAAATAAAAATAATATATTTATACACGTCAAATATAAATTAATTCTACAAGTTTATCATTATTTAGTTTTAGGAAAAATAAAAATAATTAAATAGTATCATCTTATGAAATTCTTAAACCATATCTCGTACCATTTTGCTATATTTAACTTACAAAAGTATCAGGTAAGGGAAGCTCTGAGCTCCCGATTTGTTTGTTGAATTTGTATAAATTTAAAGCTATTTGAATTTGTATTATTAATCTATTGAATACAAGTCAAATAAATAAATAAATATATATATATATATATTATTTTTATTTTTTTTATATTTATAAATCTCACATTACTTAAAATATAATATCAAAAGTAATATATATATATATATATATATATATATATATATATATATATATATATAACTTATCAAGATATTTTAAGATAAAAATACGACGAATTAAATCTCAGACAATATCTATCCAAATGTCATTTCAGTTAAATTTCACTTATTTTCTTTCCTCTCAATTCAGTCACTTAAGTTTCTCGTATGATTTAGAATCGAGGTTATATATATTCTTCGTAAATAATAAGTGTTTTCCTAAATTTTTTTAGTTTTTTAATCTCACCTAGGAAACAGCCTTAAAGGTTTGATAATTTGTACGAAGTTTTAAGTTCAATTTATTATTATTATTAAATAAATTTATAGAATACTTGAGTGAAAATTATTTTCTCTGGTTATCTATTATTATTCATAGCATCATCCATTCACCCAAAAGTATGTCTGATATGATATCAGGGTGGTTCTGGCCCCACACTTCTCTGCATAACGCATTGAGACACACCCATTCATTTTTCACTGTCACACACTGCCACCTTCATCATGCATGCCCATGTGCTCTTCTGCATCTCTTCTCTTCTCTGTTATACAAATCTTCACTTTCAGTAAGACCTTACACGTGCGTTCCCTTATTTCTGTCCCTATTATTCATCACTTCATTTTTTTTACTTTCAACCACACTGGTCAACGTAATTAATCCATTTCCTTTTTGCTCAAATCAGAGTATTAGCCCAGGCCCACTACCAAACATTTGGCCCATAAGATTTACCTTCGCAGGCCACCATTATGGACCCAAAAAAACCTTGAAGCTTAACATTTCGGGACACCTACCCATAAGTGAAACCACAATTCATCAAATTCAAACAAAATTAACCAAACAAACAAATAAATAAGAAAATTTGTGTTAGATAATGGAATCCACCAATTCTAGACATCATAAATCTATTTTATATACACATCATGAAAACAAAAGCACCACATTTTTGTGTTCCATGGTGCAGTGTCGCTTTCTGGTGCGGTGTAGAGGTGGGGAAGTTGACTGGTGAATAGGAATGGCCAATGGTTTCTGGGTATTTTTAGTAGCCATATTAATAATATTAATAATAATAATAATAAATAAAGTAATGATATTTGAATATGGGAAACACGTTTAGACTCGGTTCTTGGTTGCGTATGTCCCACCAATTCCACCGTCTTTAGATTTTGTTTCTTTGTTTATTTATTTTCACAATGTTCCAAAGTGTTTCTTCTTTCATTCGAGTATCCTAATGGACATTGTATAGTGTTTCAATTCAACTTTAAAATAGTACATTACTGTGCTCCCCACATACCCATAAAATTTGGGTTAAGTGGCATGGCATGTATTCAATTTTTACATTTTGTGAAAATTAATTAGAAAAAAATTGCGGTTAAACATAGAAAAATATTGTTTCCTTACAATATTCTCAAATATTTTGGTGAGTAGTTGATTTTATAATTATTTGTTGTGGATTTGTTATATCAATTTACCAATGCATTGGCAAGCCAAAAGCGTTAGGCTAGTTATCATGGAACCACTCATGAGAAAAGGACTTCTTCTGTTGAGATTTGGACCTCTTGAAAGTTTGAAAAAAATAAAAAATAAAGTTGACATTGTGTCTGTGTCACTCTCTATATATACAATTTTCATAAGTGAAAAGAAAGTGTTTCAAAAATAGTACCATGTATTTTATTTACAAGCTCATATAGATTTAAGTTTCAATAAGGAATTTTTAAACTTTTTACGTATAATTTATCTTCATGGTACAAATTTTGAATAGCTAACTTTACTAATTTATTTGACTTTAAGTAATGGATCTTCAATAAGTTACTTTGGATTTTTTTTATAATACCAAATATATAAAAAATAATAAAATTAAAAGACTATTTTTTAAATAAAATTCACTTTACATATGTTAAAAAAATAATAAAAATATAATTACTAAGTTTATAAGTATTTATCACTTATATATTCTTAAATAGTTTATTTCTACATAATAAAAATCTAATAATTATTTATTATGTTATTAATTTTAATTACTTGTCATGCTTGTTAATTTTTATGTTGCATAAAGTATAAATATAGAATTAATATTATATATATAAAATTAATAGGTTTATTTTTCTCTCAACTGACATGAGATACATCCATTCACACATAAGAAGAGTGAAACCAACAAGTACCTTCTCTATAAAGGTATGAACTTCTGGAATAAATTAAGGTTATAATTTTAGAAAATATTTTTTCTTCTGTGTTAGATGCATTATATGTAAAATCTTGAGAAACCGGATCTAATATTTGCAGTAAAATTTTATCGGAAACCTTCGTCCTCATATAAATTTTTTAATAATGAGATATGAAAATCTTATATCTAGTATAATTTATTACAATCACAATTATTTTATAATTGAAACGTGTTCAGGATTTTTTAGTTTCAATTTATTTTAATAAATATAGAATAAAATTGAGTAGATACTTGAGAGGATGATATTACAGAAAATTTATTTTAATTTTTTAAATATGATTTATATAATTTATTTATTTGAATTAATTTATATTAATTTAAGTGTAAGAATGAGATAAATATTTATCATAATAAATTTTATTAAAAATCATTTTATCAATGTTATTATTGAGGATCGTCTCAACAACTTAATCAGTATATTTTTCTAAAAAGACTCCTCAATATTTAAATCAATAAATATAAATCAATAAATATATAAAAATATGATTGAATAGAATAAAAATATATTAAATCTATATTATTTCATATATTTTAAGGTAATTTTCATGTATTTAAAAAGTCAGGACATCTAATATCTAAATATTTCAAACATTCGTTAATATCCTAATATCTCACAATATTCCAAACGTTACCGACGTGTATTTATAAGATATTCTCCGAAAATATATAAAAAGTTATGATATAATATTGTTTTAAGATGGGTAAGTATATTTGACATTTTAACGACAATGAAGTTTGTAGTCGCAGTGAAGTCTATATCCTAAGAAATTTGAATTTGAATTGATTATAATAGTAGTGTGAAAATAAATTGACATGAAATTATGCGGCGGATCATAAGGTGGGTAATTGATAATAAGAAGAGGTAGTTAAAGAAATAAGCATTGAGTTGGTAGATGAAGAAGAAAGGTGTGTGTCCCACTATGATTTCCTCTGTCCACTTCCCATATATTTTACGCTCTTTTTATTTTTTTTCTTTAGCCTTCTTTCTACTATCACACCATTACCTTTTTGTTTTTTAATTAAAGCTACTGGAGGCTACAATATTCCCTAATATATAATAATTTCACTGCAACACCTCTTCAATTTGTTTTCCTTAGCCTATAGTCTATCTGTTTTTTTACCCTAGTTTGTTAAAACAATCTTTGTTAATAGAGTCCTATAATCTCCATTGTAATTCTTAATATAAGTAAAACTTGATTAGATCTCAATAACAGTTTTGAAAATTTATTTACTAGTAAAAAATGTTGACTTAGATTTGAATATGTTTCTTGCTTTCACCAATGAACTTAGAGAGATCTGAAGCGCATTAATGATGAATTATTAATCAATCACTCCAATGTTGACCCTTGTATCATTTTCTCCCAGCATGAACTAAAACCTCTCTATCACCGCAGTAACCAAATAATTCGGTTTGCTTTTGTAATTTGCAATGTAAATCAAACGTCGTTTTCTTTTGAAACCAACCACAATGGCGAAAGAGCTTCTGCAGCTTCCTCTGCTGCTGGTCCATCATCGGTGTCGTTTAGCATTTTCTTTGTCAATCTTCAACCTCGCATCCTCAGATTTGTCTCTTCCCTCTTCCTTTTGAATCCCTTCTAATTCCTCTCTCTTCCTCTTCTTACCTAGTCTCAGGTACACTTTGCCTTCTCCTACTTCCTTTCCTTTTATTTTTACCTCAAATGTTTGGTTTCGTTTTCTTAGTTTTTTATCGGTAGTTTTTTTTCTATTTTCTGTGTTTGTGTCTGCGACTGCTATTTCCTTTGCGAAATTATTGGTCTGTAACTGCTTTTCATGCACTGTGGAGTTTGCTAATGTAATATTGTTTATAAAAAAAGTTCTGTGAGAAAAAAGTCTTATCGTCCTTCTGCTGCAATTTCTATTTCTCTAGGTTCCTCGCTGTGAATTACTATACCTGATACTTCAAACTTGGTAGGTAAGTTTATGTAATCGTACTTACTTCTTGTTATTGTGTACATTATTACAATGTTGTATCCTTGTTGCATGTACAATGAGAAAGTGAGAAAGTTTTACCTACAAGCATAAGTGCTTTTTGAGCAACTTCCCGACATATTAGATAAATTTCTTCCTGTGTATAGCTAGATTTTAGTAATTGACTTTGAGATTTGATTTGTGGTTTAGTATTCCTATTAGCCTTCTTCTTTTGTGAGATTCTAAAGAATCGGACATGCTTGTATATAGGAGAGGGAAATCTCTTGCTAATTGATGACATGGAGCAGTATGAAATACTTGAGCAAATTGGGAAAGGTGCTTTTGGTTCTGCTCTTCTAGTGAAGCATAAGCATGAGAAGAAAAAGTGAGAATTGAAGTTGTGTTGCCTTCTTTTTTTCCCTATTGGCCTTTATCTCTGTATCTAAACTTTGTCCTATCAATTATATAGATATGTACTGAAGAAGATTCGCCTTGCCCGCCAAACTGAGCGCTCTCGTAGGTCTGCTCACCAGGAGGTTTGTCCTTAAATTACATTTCTAAAGATGGACTAACTTATGTGTGCTCCATGCTTATGTGTTGTGCTACATGGTTCCGTCCTCCTACTGTGATTTTTTTAGTGTCTGCTCCAGAGGAATTTAAAATTTTAACAGGTTTAAAGAAATTTCAAACCCTGATATGAATTTGACTGTAAACACCAACAATCTCTCAGTCTCAAAACATTTTTTGTGTGATCAGAGTTAAAGTAAGAAGGACGGTAATGAACAATATTGCACAATATTGATTACAAGCTATTATTTTTATTTTTAGTCCAATAAAATATCTAAATTGTCACATTTATTTTCTGCCACCTAATATATATATATATGACAAATTTCTTCATAAACTCAATACAATAACAAATATATGTATAATAGTAACTAACTTGTTATCATTATAAATCAGTATATTATTATATTATTCATTTAATATATTTTTCTTTTGATATGTTTAGATGGAGCTCCTCTCCAAATTAAGAAACCCATTTATTGTGGAATATAAAGATTCATGGGTAGAAAAGGTATGTGATTATTGAATTCTATTGTGTACATTTTTAATATAAAATATTTGAAGTAGTTTTTAACTCTTCGACTTTTGATGGTAATCCTAGTATATTATTTTATTTGATTTCATTAGCTTTTTAATAATTATAATTTGGTGACATTATTGATGAGTTAGTTTGTATATTCGATAAAATGCAGTAATGTAGACTAAAATACTAGGTTACATAGCTTTGTTATTAGTTAGGATGTGTGTTTTTTCTCTTGTTTGGATAATTACTTCAACTATTTCCTTTTATTATTACTGTTTTTTTATTATTGATTGGTGATAGATGACATAGTAACCTAACTTTCTTCTCAGGGTTGCTATGTATGCATTATTATAGGCTACTGTGAGGGTGGAGACATGTAAGTTTCTTTCTCATATCTTTACTAACTTTTCTTTCTTTTGGGTTGATATTTTAATAATTAGGTTGTTAATATTGTTTTAAATGTACCATTGATGAAACACAGGGCAGAGACTATAAAGAAAGTTAATGGTGTTATGTTTCCAGAGGAGGTTATATCTGATTTGTTTTCCTGCATAAATTATAATTTTCATCTTTATTTTGCTATAGACATGAATATTCATCTCTGAATAAACAAGATAACGTTATATTTAAACAATTAAAATCTAAAAGATCATCTATTTGCAGAAACTATGTAAGTGGCTTGTTCAGCTTCTTATGGCACTTGATTACTTGCGTGTGAACCATATTCTTCACCGTGATGTCAAGGTTAGTTACATAACTTCTTTGTGCTTAGTGACAGTATTCCTATTTTAATCTAAATTCCTTTAAACATGTTACTGATAATTATGTATTTCTATCAGTGTTCAAATATATTCTTGACAAAAGATCACAACATACGCCTTGGTAAGTTTTTCTGTTGTTCCTTTAAATAAAGCATAATTGCATAAATGGTTGAAGTTTTGCTTACAAGTGGTTAATGATGAATCAGGTGATTTTGGACTTGCCAAAATGTTGAGTTCCGATGATCTAACTTCATCTGTAAGAAATATTTAATCTAAGAATGAGTTTACCTTCTCGATTGTAATTTTTGTATGGTCATAGTAAGTAATGTCTTGTAATTAAGGTTGTGGGAACTCCTAGCTATATGTGCCCTGAGCTTCTTGCTGATATACCTTATGGCTCTAAATCAGATATTTGGTCCTTGGGTAAGTACTCATTTATTATGATTATTTTAGTAAGTTTTTTGTATTATCTAGTTGATTGTGTATTCATGATCTCTGAAAATGGTTGTTCAGGATGTTGTATATATGAAATGACCTCGCTTAAGCCTGCATTCAAAGCATTTGTAAGTTTCTTCAATAACCCTTCGTTTTTTTTTTCTTTTTGTATATCATCTTCTTGGAACATATTCAATACTTTCATTGTTGATGTTGAAGTTTTCTGTTTCTTATTAAGAGACTAATGTCTGCATATCAATTTGATTATTATTGAATTAAATTTGGTTCCTCTAAACTGAAGCGTGCACCCTAGGATATAAAACCATTGACTTAAATCCACTGAATAGTTTGTTATGCATGTGCATGACAGTTAACTTCTACAATTTTTCAATCAAGGTTATAACTCAGCATTTTACTCTCTAAAATACATCACTTTAAAGCGGCCAAGTCCCCTTACATTCCTTAGTTTCAACATGTTTATATGTTCTATGGATTGAATGCACTTGTCTAGCTGCATGGCTATACATAATTACATATATTATCTCTCTAAAAGCTTGAAACTACATGCATTTACTGCTTTTGTATATTTTTGGCAAACATTGCTCTTAATTAAAAGTATTATAATTGTCTTTAAAAATTTTCAAGCAGGATATACAAGCCCTGATTAACAAAATTAATAAGTCCATCGTGGCTCCATTGCCAACAAAATATTCTGGTGCATTGTAAGTCCTTGTTATTTTGTCACGTAGTTACTGTGGCTTATATTTTTAGTTATTAATTGCTTTGTCATGTCTTAATGCTGTTAAATGTGGAATTTTTATTGATCTAATGCCTAAAATTGTCCTAACAAACAGCTTTAGGCAAGGCAAAGCTCATTGAAAGTGAGGTTTCTTGTTAATTTATTGCAATCAATTAGTTATATTATGAACTGTAAGATTGTTCTAACAATTTTTTTATTTAACTTTTGGCAGTCGTGGTCTTGTTAAAAGCATGTTGCGGAAAAATCCAGAGCTTAGACCTAGTGTATGTATAAAAGTTCTCCTTTGACATGGAATAATTCTATGTAATTTAATGGTGCAGCATCTAGTACCGTGTTTCATTTTGGAGATGGGTTGGGTTGATGATGGATTTCACATTAAACGTTAATGAGAATTTTCTTTTATATATTAACTGGATTTTAACCTGTTCTCCATTCATGTAAACTTGTCACTTAGTGCAGATAGGTATGTTCATGAGTAAAGAAGTGCTTAAACATTTGTATAATTATAAATGTCTGCTTAAATTAATGACCATTTAATAAGGATTCTACATTATGGGAATCAGATTTAGTTTGCTTGGATAGATTTAGTGAGTAATTTGGGAAAATACGTGTAGGGAGTACCGTGTATTCAACCTAAAAGGTGCAATGATAACAAGTCAAATTGATCCAAAACCAGTAAACAACAATTTTTTTTTGTATTTTTAAAAGAATTTAATTAAAATTACGTTTTTAGTAAAAAAAAAAAAAGGGGTCACAAACGAGGTCTACACAAATATGGTTATTACTAATTTTTATTTAAATTTTGGTTTACTTGGTTTTTCATATTATTTAAAAAACTAGGCGTTTCATATTGTATTCGTTTATTTATTTTTATGAATATTAAAAATATATACTTAATTATCGCTGGTTCAACTATGCTTTAACTAGTGTTCGACCAATGAACCGTGAATCACATAGTACCATAGTCAATTCAATGACTGATCTGGCTTTTAAAACAATGCTTTGTGTTTAGTTTGGAGACAGATTATGAAGCGACATTGGTTGTGTGAAGTGGTGTTCTGTAACCATGCTTTCTTGCTTATTTTCTTTCATGTACTTTTGGATGCAGGCTGCAGAGCTACTCGGGCACCAACATCTTCAACCTTATGTTCTTAAGGTCCATCTCAAAATCAATAGCCCAAGGCGAAGTACTTTGCCAGGTCATTGGCCAGAATCCAGATACATGAAGAAAACTAGATTTTTGAAGTCAGAAGATGATCCCGTTTCCATCTCTGGGTATAAGTGGCATTCTTTTAGCAATGATCGGACATTAAATCCGAGTGTATCAGGAGCGGAGCAAGATTCTCTATGCACTACGCTAGAGATAGACTGCACTCCTGATAATTTAAATGAAAGATTTGCTGAACTTTCTACGGGAGACAACCACGATTTAAAATCACTCCATAAGTCAAGTTTTTCCAGAACTTCTAGTAATGCCAAGACTTCTAGGCTAACTGGATCAAAAGCTTCTACCATTCCCAAGAAATCAATGGTATCCTCAAAGAATCATAAAACGGTAAGGCAAGCTGGAATCAATCAATTTTTAATGTTTGCCACATGGTATATCATGAACAAACTTAAGCATGCGATCTCTGTTGAGTGGGTTGTTTTACAAGGAACTTCTCTTGCACGTGTAATGGTATTATTCAATTAAGATTTTTTTTTTCCTGACTTTCTGAAGTCCATGGTTGCAGTTTCTTGTTTCACACAATACGAAACAACCTGTCCATACAACTCGTAGAGCATCATTGCCGTTCCCACGAAGTTGTGCCATTCAGCAGCCTCCTCGCAGGCCCAGTATTGGTTTACTTGACCATGTAAATTCACCCAATATTTCAGTTAACTCTCCCCGGATTGATAGGATAGCAGAATTCCCGTTAGCATCATATGAGGACCAATTGTTTCCCATCAATAGATCTTCACCAAACTCGGCACAGAGTTCCTCAGGCTCCCCTCCTTGCGGCAATAATTCAAATTTGATAGACAAATGCACAATCAAGGTATGTGACACATCGTATGCTAGGCCAGGCTGTACGGATGCTTGGCAGGGGATCAAGCGCAACATGTTCAAGAAAAACGATGAGGATAAAAGTGGCTCATCTGATCAACATGCAACAACTGGAGCATCAAGCCACAACTCTTCAGACTTGCGCCGCCGACAGTTTGATACTTCATCATTCCAACAAAGGGCTGAGGCATTAGAAGGTTTGCTTGAATTTAGTGCAAGATTACTACAGCAGGAAAGGTATGGAGAACTTGGAGTTTTATTAAAACCTTTTGGGCCAGGGAAAGCTTCCCCAAGGGAAACTGCTATTTGGTTGAGCAAGAGTTTCAAAGAGAACACTTTCAACCGAGAACAATTCACTTAAACTGCTGTAACATCTCATATTGTCATGTTTGTAGATGTCAGTGTTTCTTTTCACACATTTAGACAGCTAATTTTTTATAGGTAACAACGTTTTTTCATTTACCCACTTCTTTTTTCACTTACTGAACAATGATGTAACTCACTTTCAATCTGATGAATGAGAAAGATGATAGATCTTTCTTGAATTGATTACATTATCCATCTGATTAGAGTAATTGCCTAAAATGGTGAAGCATTTAGAAACATTTTCTAAAATTTTATTCCACGTAACAGTTGTTTTATTGTGTTTTCATTAAAGAGAAAACACAGGTATAATTCTTGAAATCTTGGGGTTGTTGTCTAATTAAAATTAGAGTTTTACTTCGATAATCCATAAAATAAATGATTGTATTGAAGGTTAGCACAAGTTAGGGAAGAAAAAACACTACTAATTATGTCTAAGTTTTCCGTTTCATAAATAAGTTTGTTATTGATTTGGCATCCTACCACGCTTTTGCTGTGAAGCAGGTAGATGGGCGATGAATTTGAGCTGTCCAAACTAAAAATCATTTCATAGTATTGTAACAAAGCAGGTGAATTCAATAATAAGAATCAGTAGTGACCGAGCTGCTTCCAATGGAATCGCGCTTGCTGTCCTTCATTGACCCGTGAAGATTGATAACCCAATGGTCCAGGCTTTCATGATCAAAGCGTAATGAGTTTGAGAACAGATTTTGTCTTGGACCATTCAATGGAGATTCCACAGACTTGCCTTTGTGCCTCATTACCCGCTTGGGTCGTTGTTTTGGTTCACTCTGCGACCTTGTTTTAGCCCTTGAAGATTCAGTCTTGTTCATGTAATTTGGTGACAGTGATTGGCGGTGAGGCACTGAGTGACGCAGAGAAGTTGAAAAGGCCATTGTCGCTGTGTTAAATTCAGAGATGGCACGGTAGTTTTCCGGGCTGTTTGGTTCTACAATTTGAGTATTCTTGTATTGAATTTTTCGTTTAGAAACAACCGGCACATGCTTCGAATAGAATCTCATGGAATCACGTTCTCTGGCCTTAACATATGAACCATCCAGAGGACCACTTCTGCTTTTCAAAACCTCCAACATTTCTTCAACACTCATATCCTTTGAATCCTATAAATAAAAGCCATATTATAGGTATGATCTAGAATGCAGCATAACAGAACAGGTAACTGAAAATTAGCCAAAAGCATCATTAGGATGAATTTTCAGTAGGATCCACTTTTAAATGGAATACATTGATTTTATTACTTGAATAATCATATCATGTCAATCTTCAGATGATAACATTGAGGTACTTTACAGAGTCTGAATCTTACTTTATTTTCTTCTGTTATGACATCTCTGAAGTGTGGAACTACTCTATGTTGTGGAGGATGTTTTCCAAGGAGATTTACTTCCTCTACCATCTGAATTCTGTGAATTCGTGCTCTAACTTGTATGGCCATCAACGCATGCATGCCACGCAGGGTAGCAGTGGTCTGTTTCCTCACAAGGTAACCTCTCACTAGTGCTTGTAACTTGACTAACCCCCTTAAAGCATGCAATGCTCTCCTTGCCTGAAAATTTACGTGTAGATGTAAGAAAAACTAATAAATAGTAAGTGTAGATGTAAGAAAAAACTAATAAATAATAAGGATACAACGTTCTAATTTTCACGGGAGAAGCCCTGCTAGATTTGGCCATAAAATATTTGACAAGAAATTCATACCAAATATGAGCGAAAGCCAGCCTGAATCTTTGTAGCAGCTTCGTTTTTATCTTTATGGGTCCTTGCCAGTGGTGTTGGTAGACGCCTTGGAGTCTTGGTTTCCAACAAGGCTTGTATTTGCAGTTTTGCAGAGTCACCTGAATCAAAAGACCTGGAAAATTTATGCCCTACTATCTTGCTCGCTATTCTTCCACTTGTTAGTTTTCCGAAGCTCCATCTGCGCTTCACTTTGGGACTCACTATCAGACTTCCTGTGTTGGAACTCTTAATATCCTCGGGGCAGAATGCATCAATCTTCTTGATTTTCTCATCTTTTTTTCCTAGAAGGAAGGTTTTGATCCATTTGCTGGCTTTTCCCATTTCTTGTTTTCTGTTCCTCACTTTCCGAAAAGCCAGTTAATGGGACCTGGCAACTGAACAAGTCAGAGTTTCCTATATACACTGCATTCTTCTACTGTACTAATTGCTCACCGTAACTCTTTCTGGGTGTTTGTGCTGCTACTTTAACTATTCATTGCTGCCTTTGGCCTGCAAAGCTTTCTCTGTTAAAGCCATTTGGCACTTGCCACTCTCGTGGGGAATTCCACTTCAACATTGCCTCAGCTTGATCGTCAAGAGCTGTAAATTTTTCTGTCTTCAGTAGTATTTAGGGACCATGCTGTAAAAATTAAAGGGTTTTCTCTCTTTTTTTTAATCAGGTTCTACTAGCTGGTTAGAGGAATACATTCAAATATTCAATGACAGTGCCTCCCTATAGAAATAAGAAGGTAGAAACGTCACGGTTTTATAATATTTTTTTGAAGTGCTTTGAGACTTTATCCGGGATTCAAGGGCCATGAATGACTTGCACGCAAGTGTCAAGGCTGCAAAGATCTTAAAGAAGATCAGTTAATATGACAGTAGTTTTTTATTCTATCAATGTCTATTGAAGTGTAGATATTTCTGTATAATTTGGAATACCATATATCTACCCATGGAATTGTTACGAGACACGATGATGATGTACAAGTAATTTCTCTATTTCCTGATAAAAGATGAATTAAAGTAAAGTGATAAACCATGTATCTAAATGTTTACCACAACACAACGTCAAATGTTAACGTTGAAGATAGATAAATTAACATAATTTACTAAATTATGTTTGTTGACAACGAATTCATCTCTATGCTGTTGTACTCTTTTAAGTTGGGCTCTGATATAGTCAAGAATATGCAGCATTATTAGAAGATTTTAGGGCCTTTCACCTCACCTGACTATAAGAAATAGACTTAATATTTAATTAATACAAATTAGAATATGAAGAAAAGAAAGACACCAGAAGAGAGAGAGCATTCGATTTGTTATCTGGTAATTAGTATGTCTGTATCCTCTTTCTGAAATGTATCACTAATAATAACAATACATAAATCCTGATTTTTTTTATATATTTGCCATCCAGTTTAACATTCATCATGTGCAATAATGTATGTGTAAGATGAATATTGTGTGCATAATTGCATGATAGTATGTCATAAGCAGTATAAACAATAGAGATCGGTGCAATAAAATGTACGCTATAATTATTATTAATATTCCTACAAAAACAAAATATTACACAGACAACATTGAGGAAAAAAAAAAACAATTTACGAATTGGCCTGGGTCTCTCTCACTTGTTCTTGACTTCAACGCCAGATTTGCCGGCAATAATGACAGAGGTGGCCATGTTCAAGAACAATCCATGCTCGACGACGCCTTCAAGAGAGGATATTTCAGCGCCAGCAGCAAGTGAATCCTTAATTGGAGTCTTGAAGTACAAATCCACGATGTAATTGGAATTATCGGTCACGTAGGGTTTGCCAGATTCGTCCAATCTCAATTTTGCGTCACATCCTTCTTCTTTGAAGAGTTGCTGAAGACGATCCAGATTGTACTTCCAGCAGAACTGAACCACCTCCACCGGCATGGCGAGCCCGCTGCCGCCGAGGCCGTCGACGAGCTTAGTATCATCCACAACAACGATGAACTTGTCAGAGGCGGCCTCCACCATTTTCTCGCGGAGGAGTGCACCGCCGCGGCCTTTGACGAGATTGAGATCGGGGTCGACCTCGTCAGCGCCGTCGATGGCGAGATCGAGGCGGGGATTGTTGTCTAGGACGGAGAGCGGGATGCCAAGGGAGCGAGCCTGCTCCTCCGTGCGCTTGGAGGTAGGAACGCCGACTATGTTGGTCAGTTCGCCGGAGGCGAGCAGCGCGCCGAGCTTCGCGACGACAAATGCGGCTGTGGAGCCAGTGCCCAGGCCAAGAACCATGCCGCTCTTAACAGACTCCACGGCTTTATCGGCGGCGAGTCTCTTGAGATCTTCCTGGGTGAGGGTGATGGCACGGACGGTGCGGAAGCAATGAGGACGGGTGCGCAGTTTGAGGGATGTAGGGGTGTGCAGGTTAAATCGCGTGGAAGCGGTGTGGTGCAGGGATGAGAGAGAAGCTGGTGAGGAGAGGGATAAGGAAGCCATTGAAGAAGTGAAGAAGAGAACAGTGGACCTCGTTTGTGCGTTTTCTATCTTCTTTGGTTGGGAGAGACACAGCTGCCACACCACACTACTACACCCAGGTTTGCTTTTTTGGTCCTTTTTTCATCACTTTATTATAGTATTTTGTTTCTGTCTGAGTTGGCTTCGATTGGTTTCAACTACACAAAGTTGGATTGGATGGATATTCCCTTTCCAACCTCCCCCATTCCTTCACCTACCATTTTTCTGCATTTCTCCCCTTATCCTTAAAAGGAACACACATTTAATTTTAATAAAAAACAAACACCTCATTACTTATAAATTCTTATGTATATTAAATTTTAATAATTATTTTTAAAAAATATTGATGTTTTAAATTGTTCTATGTCTCTTAAAATAGTTGTGTATCCATGCACATGCACTTCTTTTCTTCTTATCATAAATTATTTTATTTACACTGCATTTTTTTCCTATTACCAATTCTGAAATATTTTTTTAAATTAAATAATAATAGATAAATATTAAAAATAGATTAAAAAATATTTGAAACATTTATTTCTTATGAAAACTTAGAATATTAGTACGTTAATTGTTCTAATTACAACAAATTTTTATTTAATTTTTATAAAATTTAACTATTTACTTATTATTTGTTCCAAACTTTGCTAGGAAGAAATTTTATTGTTGTTTTACATATTTTATTATAAAAAACATAAGCAAAATTTGTAACTATTGGACTGAACATGCGTCAACTAGAATTCGAATTTAAATTCAAAGGATCTTTTATACCCTGTGTTCAAATTGTTGATTTAAGATCTTTTATACCCGGTGTTCAAATTGTTAATTTAGAATTTAAATCTAGGCAACGGTGTAAGTTCAATTGGTCGAAAATACGTGAACCTCTTTCAATATTTATATAAAAAATTTAAATCAACAAATATAATACAAAAATATCAATGGGAATATTCAAACATAATAACTGATTTTGATCCTGTATTTATTTTAAAAAAAATAATTTTCATATATTATAAATATAATGGTAAAATACATAAAAATTGAACCAATTCAAAACTAATACATATAGAGAATGTAGAGAATCTATATGAAAAAAAAATTGTAATTTGTTTTAATTTTAAATTTAATTTTTAAAAAATAAGAAATACATATTTAATTATTACACATAAATATAAAATATTATCAGTGATTAATGTTTTTATTTTATATTATTTTTTGATAAATTTTATAATAAATGTGATCATTTTTTTCACAATTTTTCTAGTTTTTTAATTAAATGTAAAATATTTTCAAAATAAATAAAATTACATATATAATGATTAGACGTTAATATAAAATATTGAGTTGTTATTATTTTTATCTTATATTATCTTTAATCTTATCTATGATATGAAGATTAATTTATTAATCAAATCATTCTAAAGATAGAGTTACTCCTCAATTAAGTTCTTGATTTTTTTAATTTAATAATTTAAATAAATCTTTAATATTTAAATGTTAAATTAAAAAATATATATCTCTCTTAAAAATATATTATATATAACAAAGGTATCTTGTTCATAACCCATTCTTATATTTTCTTGAACTAAAAATATTTCAAAATCTTTATATTTGATAAAATACCCAACTCAATATTCTGAGACAAGCAAAATCATTATGGGTTGTGTACATGGATGCTCTTAAATTTGTTAGTAAATTTTTGACGCCTGGTCTTCACTCTCGCATTGTTCCGCATGTTAGACAGACTCAGACATGGAGAGCCCAATGCCTGTTCTGGCTAATAAAACCCTACAAGAATTCTTCAAAGTTTTCCTCATCCACAAAGGTTCTACCCAGTTGGTATACTCTCATTTTTGTCTCTTGCGCTCTATTTTTTCACTACCTTTTCTTATTTATGCATACTGTATTCCGCTAGTCTAAGTTCAAAACCCCTTAGTGTCATTATCCGAAAAACAAGTCTTTAGTAGTGTCTAACACTTTTAATGAAAACAAGTTTATTAGGGTCTAAGTTCAAACCCCCTTAAATGAAAAATGAAAACAACTTTTAAAACATTTTTTTATATACATGCACCACTTCGATTGAATAGGATCTAACACTTGCTTATTTTGTCTGAGTTTTTATGCATAGAAAATGTCAATAGTGTATCATTGACCTTGACACTCACCTGGGACTTTTCTTGTTTCAGCAATTACCAACATCTTTCACCAAGTTCTTCAATGAAATTGCACCATGCAAGGTCACTCTTGTAGATCAGGATGGAAAATGTTTGGATGTTAAATTGGAGAAAATTGAGGGTCGTTTGGTTTTTAAGAATGGGTGGCAGCAATTTACCCAGGAGAAAAATTTAGAAGAGGGGGACTTTTTGGTTTTTCAGTATGATGGCATGTCTACCTTTAATGTTAAGATATTTTCGAAAACTGGGTGCAAGAAAGTGGCTGCACCTCCAAATAGTGAAAAAATTGTTCCCATTGTGAATTTGGAAGAAGATTCTAATCAGCATAGTAATAAAAACCAGAGCAATGGTAAACAGAAACGTTAACTGCCAAGTCCCAAAGTAAATGTGAAATCAGTGTGGGAAGGTGAGTTGTTCCAGTATTCGAATTTGTCTCGTGTCATTGTTATCCTAAAGCTAAACCCAACTCTACATGATTAATGCTTGTAGGTGCATGTCCATCCAAAGGAGCTCGATAACCAAAATGAGAAGAAACTTGCTCCCGATAAAACGTATTTCATTGCAGAATCCTCATTTTCAAATATATTTTGATGCTCCCTGGAGACTGAAAAGAGTGGTTAGTTATTTTATTCTTCACATATATTTACAATTTAAGTAATTACTCTACTCTGATTTAAATGTACGAATGCCTGTTTGAGTAACTGACACTGAATAGAATAGTGCATTTTTATGTGTTACATCAATGATAACTAGTACAACTGAAAGTATTTGATAAAATTAGTGGTTAAGCTAATAGATAAATATGAAAGATCAAATAAGTTGAAAGCAAAACCAAAAGCCTGCAAATACACTATAAATAAATATATATATATATATATATATATATATATATATTATGTTTTCAACATACAATAATTTAATAAATGAAAGAAAATAAAAAACATATTTGCCAAACTTGTGGCTAAAATGAATGCGGTGTTGTTTTCCAATTCATGATACCTTGGCCTTCGGATCAAGTGGGATATATTAATTGCTCAATTTGGTTTATGTTGTAAAATAGTTGGGTGACCTAGAATAGATGATATATAAATGGTGTTGGGTGGGTTGTAGGAAATACCTAGATGTAGGGATGATAAAACAGAGCTAGCTCGTCTTGATTTGATCCACTTAATCTTTGTCTGTCAAAAAATATGATGGAACAGATCGATTCACTATAGGTATGATAGACGGTAAACTTTGATATGCTCAGTCAAAGAATGGATTGACAGACTGACCTACCATAATTTAAAAAAAAAAACAATTTATTTATTTTTTAAATCAAAATTTTCAATAAATTTAATAATAAGATTATTATTTATTTGTCAATAATTTAACATATATATTTCAAGTTAATAATTTAAATCAACATATTGTTTTAAGAAATTATAATTTAGAATAATAATAAAATTTATATAATAATAAATATATATAAATCACATCAAAACTTATAAAATTTATATTTTTTAAATTAAAAAATTCAAATACCTATATTTTTTTATTTGATAAAATTTCTTCCATTGAATAATTATTTTGTCTTTAATTCAAGTTATAAGGATAAGAACAATCAAGATGAATAAGAAGAAAATAATGAACAACAAATAAAAGAGAGAAGAGCTTGAATTTGAGGAAGAAGAATGTTTCTTTTTATAATTTTTAATTTTATATATTATCTTTATGATTAATTATATTACAATAAAAAAATATTTTTTATTAATCAGGCATTAGGCTAGCCTATCTTGCTCCAAGTGCTGACTCAACGGATTGACGGACTTAAAAGACGGGTCAAAGTCGACTATCAGACTGAAAACACCAATCCCTACCCCGCCATATTACAACGGTTACCTAGTTCATTTTGTCCTTCCTGCCTCAAAGAATGCTTAAGAAGATGAATATCAAGCTGATTCAGAAAATAACTCAGGGATGAGAATGACAGATTATGGTCAGAAAATAACTCAGGGACGAGAGTGACAGATTATGGCCGGTGTCGATCCTTTCCACGATGAATGAAACTCGTTATTATTTGGGAAATGAATGGCATGATCTCAAGCTGGGTAACAACGTTCAAGAAGGGTATCAATGTGATTTTCAGTTTGTTATTGACAAAGCAAAGGTAGCTAAAGAACTGCTGGTGCGCGTTCGTTCAAACGGCTCACTGCATTGGGTGCTGCAAACAATTAGGGTATCATTTCATCTAAATGAAGATTGGACTTTATCTCGTGGGTGTGCTGTCCTAGTGCCTTGCTTATTTAGCAAGATTATAGAGATGCGGAAATGAGTTTTTTGCACTGTATTTTATTTGTACCAATCATTTGGCTTTCAAGACCAAGGTATTCATTTCATCACTAATCTCTAGCTTGCAAGCTACTGTTCTTCAAATTTTGTGTAACGGGTAAATCCCCAAAACATGCAGAAGAAAAAAATGGTCCCTTAACTTATTGTTCAAAGCCATAACTTATTTTTTAGGAAACTATTGCTTAGATATAAATGAAAGTAACATCGATTATGCGTTAAAAACCATCCCATTTTAGAGTAGGTGCTATAGTAGGAAGGACCGGTAAATTCGAAAGATATTTCAGACCAATTGAACCTAATCAAAATATTGATATTGATCAGGAGGTAGAACACAAGTTACAATACATAAAATAATTTAATATCAAAGCTGTCGCACATAAGTTTTTTTTACCATATTGAAAACTTTACTCTGATGTGTGGCTTTTAAATAAAGACCAGGCAACAGGAAGTTCTGGTTTGCATCCTCATTTAGATGATACTCATACATGGTGATTGACGGGATTCCTATTACAATACAGACAAATTTAATCTTCAATTCTATTATTGAAAATAATGTAATCGAATAAGAATGTGCTAAACTATGCTCGCAATTTACCTACATTTTCATATAGATTTCGCATAGAGGTCAATGCTACCGATTTGCAGCCGGGAAGTAGAATTAACATCTCTGACTGCCAGAAACCTGAATCTGCATAGACATAATTTGTGTGATTTGGAAGAATAAGATTCAGCCATAAGAAACAATCATTCATCACAATCTAGAGTCAAGACCACGTAGTAATCCACTATATGCAATCAATACATGTACCTTTCACCTTACTTAATATATATTCTTTGAATTAAATTGAGGATACGATAATTTTGATCTAAGTACCTAATTTGTGATGTCTTCATTTAAACAATTGAAGGTCATTTTCATTTTTATCAAAAATTTAATTTTTAATAAAAGTAATCATTACATTTACCCTTGTTACCTTTTAGACTTTTGGAGCTATTTGGTTATGACATATGATGCACCAATTCGTATCGTGTTCAATAACGCTGATATTTATCGATGAAATATTGATAAATCAAAGAAAAATTTGTTCTTTATGATTTAAAAAATAATAAAATTGATAACATTATTCCTATATGTAATTATAAAAAATATTTTATAACGATAATTATTCATACTTTTTATTTTAATAATACCTAAAAAATGTGATTTGAAATTTGAATTTGTAAGATTATGATTATAGTTTTTCATTTTTATTATGCTTTATGAGTTTTTATACATTTTTAAATAAACTTTAATCGTATTTAGTATATATATATATATATATATATATATATATATATATATATATATATATATATATATATATATATATATTTGAAAGCCCAGCATACGTACACTGAGATTATTCAGAAAAATCAAAATTTAAATAAAAAAATAAGAAATAGATTCTCTCCTGGGTTACCTATCATCACCACTCCCAATTTTTTTGTTCAAGTTTCTTCACTGTGTTAAGGTAAATTACCTGAAAACATTACATGGAAAGCTTGCACTGATTTTGTATGTTCTACGCTGGAAACGATCTTCAAAGAACTGAGAGGTTTGCTTGTTCAAAACTTGCCAGCTGATCCCCTCATCACTACTCCCTTCAAGAATCCTTACAACATAACATGCCGCAAGATCATGAATGCACAGCACATGCTTATTAAGTGAAGCTTATATATGGAAACTCATTTACCAAACATAGAAAAGGTTATCAGAATCTTTTTTAGGGAAACAGAGCCGGTCAACAACATATTAGCTAACCAGGGGAAAAAGGACGACTTAACAACATACGCATATGGTTGCTGACAGGCCGAGCAGAAGCCCCGGACACACATATGACACAATTTGCTTGCTTAGCTCGGTTTTTGTGTTATCTTCATGGATTTGATTTTGATAAGATGAACGCATAAGTTTTACACTACTAATAAACTATATTGTGTTACCTGTTTAAAAAACATATGAAATCCTTTCTGAAAGTAAAAAAAAAAAAAAGTTACTACAGGCATGTATATTTTAAATTGACTACGAATTAAATTTAAAGTTTTCATTGTTAATCATATCAGGAGGGAGCAGCAGTTACATTACATTTCATTAATTTGGACCAATGAAACTTATTAGGATTAGAGAACTCTATAAGGTGAGGCAAACTAAATCAACTACTCGTTAATTAATAAAAATAACGACAATGAAAAGATTTAAAATTAGTTCAGCATATATTCCAAAGTTCGTACCAGTCCATTGGATCTCTTTCTGGTGCATCATTGGCTGACATCAACTCATATGCTTCAAGCTCAAACATCTTGTAACCAAATGTTCTATACACGATCCAACAACCTACACATATATAACTATTTTTGTATCAGATCATCAAGCGAGCAATGTCTGTTTAGAAAGGAAAGGGGTGAACAGTAGAAATAAAATGGAATTATACTTTTGGCACTTGCATTCAAACTGGCATAGCATTTAGACAGGGAATGAAAATCTCTAGATATTATTTATCCAACAAAAAGGGAGCATAGCTCCTTTGAACCGAGGAAAGTCCTCTAGACAAGGTCAATTTACTAACATTTGACCACTAGAAACTTAAAACTATAAATTGTAAGTGGTTTGTTTACAATCTATTCATAAAATGCAATTGGTATTAAGAAATTATCCATGAGAAAATTTAGGTACAAGGGCAAATTATTTGCAAAGATAAATATCAAGCATAGTAGTCTACAAAGATACTTTGATTTAGTTGGCACAAAAATAACCACCCAGATACAATAAATAAAAATCCCATTAATAAAATTAGCATATAGTAGTATAACCACATGATAGGTGACTTGTGGCAACTTGATCTTTTCTAACAGAAGAGTACAAATCATGCTTCTCCATTTGTAGGTGAAACACAGCAATACCTTAGTAATTTCTGTGAATTATGTTTAAGCTTGAAGCACAATCTGATGTTGTAAGTTATTTAATGGTTAAATATACCTCTTGCTCCATTTGGTTCTTCCCATTTAGAACCTCGAGTTCCATCAAATGCGGATGTTATCTGAAATTTTATAAAACAGGGACAACTTTATGGATGCTGTAAGGAGCAATTATGGTAAACATATAACATATCCAGCTATATACAAACTCACAATCCCAAAAGGCAACTCCTCTGAACTTGCAATGGCTGATCCCGAATGTATTCTATTTAACTTTAGAATTGGCAGCTGAAACATATCTTTCCCATAATTTTCGCAATTGTTAAGATTGTAAATCATGTCATCCAGAGCATCTAGCGCAACAGGCAATGCTAAAGAAGTAACTATGGGGTCACCGAGCAAACCAATTTCAACGGACTCATCTGTATTCATCTTTTTCTCTAGTGAAAGCGCACCAAGTAAGTCGTCAAAAGATGGCAACATTTTTTGAAACTTTGGTTCATTTAGAACTGAATCGATGAAGGTCCTTCTAGTTTTATAAGGGGAAGTTAAGAGATCCAAAATAATTCCTTTAGTAATCCTGAGTACTTCAACAGCTTCCGACTTTGTTAGCTCTTCCCCAACAAATTGATAAAGGACAACACGGAATGAATTATAAATCTTTGTGACGTGCTCATCTATGCACAAACGAACTGGGCAAGCAGAAGAACTTAGGTCACTAGAACCAATCTCTAATCTGGATTTGCGCCATTCCTCATTTCCACTTCTTCTTCCTGGTAATGATAGTGACTCGTCATCATCAACATGAAAACTCCTCTCAAGTTCTTCCTTTTCTTCCATATCACGAGCTTGAATAATTGAAAGTAGTTCAGATGCAAACCCTCTTCGAATTTCATTTGTAATATTATATAATACAGATGAGGCAGAAGCCTCTGTAAGCATAGTACGTCGAGATAGGACCTCAATTTTGAAAAAATATACAAAAATTCATCATAAGTTATCAGCAAATCATGATTCTCATGCACGTGAAAGAGCATTAATTGTAAAATCTACCTCATGCCACTTCCTTGTGTATCGTTTGGTGACATCATAAACCCCATCTTTTGCTATGGCTATGACATAATTTAATTTTTTTCCCCACCTATGCCACAGATTTATTTATTTATTTTGAAAATGTGAGGAAATATGAAGCAAGATGAAAACTCCTAATGAGGACAAGAACAATATTTTTCTCACAGTGAAGTGAAAGTACTGCGCAATTGAATAATACCCTTTTTCATATAATAATGGCTTGTCATAGATTCCTTCACATGGGTCAAGATGCATCCATCTGTAAGAACATAAAAATACATCTGACTAGAAATAGTTTTAAAAGCATGATTATGATAACCAGCAACATTAGGTCAATTTTATTTTTACCTGCCCAAGAATTGAGAGAAGCACTCTGTCCAAACGTGGTCTGTAATGTCCAAGATCTGGAGATGGACCAAAATCAGTGACAAGAAACCTATTCCTAAAGAAGACAAACAAGCACATTATACCCTATATTATGCAAAGAAAAAATTAACAACTTCACTTTTACCATGAATAAATTCACAACCGAAACTGTAAGGACATCAATAATCAATACCCCTTTGCCTACGTAAGTGAAAAATGGCCCAATCATTCCATAGAAATCAATAACAGCACCTTGTAAAGGGTAAAGTGTTCCTCATAAAGAGTGCAAGCTAAATTCAAGAATTGAGTTTTAGACTTACATGACTATACCATGGCTATCTTTTCCTTAGAGATAACAATTTAACATAGAATATCAAGCATGATTTTTTTCTCCTATGTATTTGAGAACTGAACATCTATTTCATGCAAGTAAAACTACAATTAAATCAGTTAAAAAAAACAAGAATTTGTTGTTTAGATGTTTGACACAAGACATTGGGCATGTATTCGTAATATCAGAATCATCATGTGCCATACCACAACATAAGTAGCTCAAAGATTCAAAACCAGGTCTACACTATAAATTCTAGCAATTAATGATACAGAACCAATGCATTATGTTCCACTCAATTGCAGGATGAAAACCAAGAAAAACCAGCATATTGAAACACTTCATGCAGTTACAAACCAGACGTGACTCATAACCAAAAGCTCGACAATAGAGTGTAAAGCAATTGGCCCATTCCCCACAGCGGCCCTCTCTTGTTTCCACAAGCTGCAAATTTAACAAGGGAATATCAGTATCCAACATAAATATGATTGGTAAACCAGTTGGACAGGCAGTCAACCAAGTATAAATTATAACAACTTGACATGAGTTGAATACCTTCATTGGATCATTGTACCGGGGGAAGCGAGTTAGTTTGGAGCAAAAGGTACAGCTGGGTTGTGAAAAGATACAAGTGAATGAAAAACAAGAAATCAGGCAAAAAATCGAAGCTAAAATGTTTATGCCATGAGAAGAAACCTTCAAAAAATGCTTTACAAGCAAAAGGACAGAATCCAAGTTACAACAACAAAACTAATTTGCTATCACCAGATTTCCTAATTGTAAACGGATATGTAATACGTAATGGAGAAATGGTTCCTCTCATAAAAATAGGATTTGCTGGCGAAGACATCCTCTAAATAAAATCAAACAGGAAACAATTTGCTGATCTTGAAAAAAAGGATGCTTTGAAATTTAAAGAAACTATTAAGTTGATGATAGTAAAAATATGTTGCTGACAGATCAGTTGATTAACTATAGCATAAAGAAGGTTTACAATTAATTCAGATGCATGACGTCATAAGAAAATTAAGATAAACATAAATTATGATAATTAGAAGGGCCACTTTCCTAAAAACAGAGTAATTTTCATTAAAGAATAGCCATACCGATGGAGTTCAACCCTGGAAGCTCCATAAAGGGTCTCAGAAGGAAGTGCAGCAGTCATGCCCTGGCCTACAGTTTCTTTGCCACAATCATGACAAGATGGTGAATTCACCCATCTATTCGATAAGAACAAGAAAGAAATAAGAAAAGAATCAGATGCAATTGGAAAAATAGAATGTGTTCAGGTTAACTGATGTCTATCATGGTGACAAACATTGCACGAAACGTATTTGAGTTAAATCACAAATACGCCAGCAATTATATGAAGCATGAGATATGTGATCCACTCTGTTCTTTCTAAAAGGAATTACTGACCATTGAAACGTTTGGTTCATTGGCATTAAAGGCAGAACAGAAAATATAATAACGAGCTCAAACCTGAATGATTTTTTGAACCAGAAAAGCAGCTGCAGCATGAAAGCGTGATCTTGTTCTATTTTCGATGGCTTGAAGTTTCCCTCCTGGAAAAAGTTTATCAGGGTCAGGGGATTACAAAAAAAATAAAAGGATAGTAGGAAAGGATTGCCAACGAAATGACAACAGTTTCGCGATTCACACATAGTTCTCCTCAAAATGAAGAGAAAAGACAGTTCCAGGGTAAATGAATTTCTAAAACGAAAGAGTTGTACAAAGATTGACAGTGAAAGAGTTAGTTTTACTATTGATATCCTCTAAAACGAAACTACATATTTGTACTATGAATTAAGATAAATGCTCTTACCTTGGCCAAAGAGACTAAAGCTTTCTCCTCAAGCTCTTCTACAGGAACAGACTTCCGAGCAGCCTCCTGGCGTGTTGCATCCTCATACTGCAATATATCAAAACAAATCAATACATGGAGTGATGGAATCTATTGTGAATTAATAATATTCACAAAGACAACACATAAGCATGTTTCTCAGAGTCTATCTACTTTACTGTAAAACAAATTTTCATTCTCACATGCTATGCAACTTCATGAACCAAATATCTTGCTCTCCTTTTTCAAATCGATGATAAAATTATTACTAAGTCAATAAGCTGAAAAATACCATGCGAACTTGACTAATGTAGGACCGTACTCTACTATCAAATTCTCGAGGATTTTCGCTCGAGACATATTGCTGCAACAAAAGCGCTTCCTCCTCTGCCTGTACAGATATAATAGGACATGGACACACACAAAGTGTAAATGAAAATAAAATTGAAACTAAACATACATATAGAAATGCTATCCATTTCCAAAATCGATGATACTGAACACGTAGTCTTAGGTGAAACCTGCAAGAGTCTGGCCAATTCCTCATCGGATTTCAACAAATCGGAATTATTCGGTTCGGGTTCGGGGAGAAAGTCGGAGTCGTTAACCGAGACAAGTCGTAGTTTGTCAGAAATGGCAAAGAGATCAGAATCACTGGTGACTGGAGTATCTTGTTCGGCTCCAAAAATCTATGCAATTTAAGCAAAGAATCAAGTGTAGGAATGAGGATATGAAAATTTGGGCGAGGAATTGAGAATTATGAAGGCGAATCGGGACCTTTTGCTGATGAGGTGGAATGGAAGTGAGGGAATAGATCTGGAATTGAAAAACCTGTAACAGTAGAAAAATGAAGGAATTAATCGGATATAAATAGTGAAATGGAGTTGTGACAAAGAAAGGTTACAGAGAAAGAGGCGCACTTCGAAGCCATCATCGGTGTCGTAATGGATATCAAAATCAGAGTCGTCGTGAACAACCTGAAACCTGCGCGCCACCATCTTCTTACTCTATGTTCAACCTCAATGGAACTCGCACCATTGGAACTACGTCTCTTCATTTTCACGCAAAATAAACCTTTAGACGGATTACTATTCAACTTTAACGGTTGGGGTTAAAATTTAAAAGTAACTATCAGTTAAAACGTAAAATAACTCTTTTAGTAATTTTTAAATAAAAATTTAAATTTATAATTAATAAAGTATAACTAATTATTTTAATTATTGAAATTGTAACTTGTTAAATCATTTTAAAATATAATTAACAATACGTGTAAACAAGTCTTCCATATTATATTTTACCATACATCTTCGAATAACATATGCATTTAACATTCATAATGTTAGGCAAATAATAATAAATATATTTCACTAGTGGCAAATCGAGAAAAGCGATCGAAAACGAAGGAAAGAAAAACGAGAAAATATGCGACTGATTGATAAATCGATAAGATAGACAAAAAATCATTCGATGTCTAAATAGAAGTACGTAGCACATAACATCGAGAAGCACAATCGAGAATCGAGTGAATGATAGCCAAATGCCTATTGTCGAATAAAAACTAAGGAATTAGAGTTATACGAGGTCAAGGTTAAAAAGGAATCGTAAGCAATTTGGAGTTCTCGAAAACATAAAATCGAAAGTGAAGAAAGTCAACCTACGTGGACATCGAGACTTTGGCCAAACCATGAAAGGAAGAATAGTCAAACGCACCTATAGGAAGCAGTTTTTAAACCATAATAGAAGTCGAGGATCGTGAGAACGTGGGAAACTGTAGAAGCTAAACTGCAACATGCACGAAGAACGTGGTAGCAGTTTTGTTAACTGCTCCTGGAAGGCTTGAATGATGCCCTATAAATAGAGCAAAGGAGGAAGGAGGAGGGGGGCAGAAATTGGTAGAGAACAGGATTAGTAGTGAAAAAGTCTACCGGAGAAACGACGAACACCATGAAGCTTCTGGCAATCTGGATTTCTATGCTCACGGAGTACCTTTATCGCTTTCTGTATTTTCCTTGGTAATTTACTTTGATGCAATTTATATTCAGCAATTTTATGTTTCTGTATTTTTGATTCTTGGTCATTTCGATTCAGTACAAGTTAAGTTTCCGTATTTAAATTCCCTGGTCATTTTACATTAATGCAATTTTGATTTCCAGTCATTTATTGCACCTTTGATTTACTGCTCTTTACATTTCCTGTAAATTCGATTTCTCGATATTTATATTGTTGTCGTTTTGATTCCTTGTCTTTTACACTTAAGCAAATTTAAGATTTTCATAGTTCACGTGTCTTTGCAATCTAAGTTTCAGCATTGCTTTTCGATTCCATATATTTTCTGTTTTCTTTACTTCGAGTATCCTGAACACAAAACACCAAAAATAGTATCTATGAAATCGAGTAGAATTCGATCCCCATACACATTTTGGTTGAAAATTAATTTGCTAGCCTAAGCAAAAAGAACTTACGTGGTAGAATTTTGATTAGGATCAAAATATCTTAGGAGTCGAAATCGATCGAAATTCCACCAGAAACAAATTGGCGCGCCAGGTAGGGGGCTGACTTGTGTTGAAAAGCACAAAAGTGGTTAGTCCGAAAGTGTATGAGATTAAGAAGTGGGAGAGTTATAAAAATGAGCCAGAACTCATCAAATAACCAGAGTAACAGTGAGGGTCTAAGTGGTGTGCCTCCGCCAAATACTGGGGGGCAAGGGCACAATGGGAGTATGCCTATAATATCGACAACTATGAGCATGTCGATACCTGTGAGTAATGAACAAAATTCAGGCACAATAGCAAACACCCAAGTAGGATCTAGTACGGTGGCACCGAATAATATACAAAGTATGGGAAACCCCACAACAACATATGCAGGGCCATATACGAGTGTAAGACCACCTGGTTTTTCGCTCAATAATATGAATGGAGCCGGTACTTCATCGATACATAGAATTCCAAGATATAACTTAGGAATGCCTCAAACACTAGGTATGTCGCAAAATTTTGGAGTCCCTCCAAATTTAGGGGCATCTCAAAACTTAACAATCCCCCAAAATTCAGGGAGTGGACAGAATTCAGGCACACAACAGACACCTCCAAATCTAGATCATAGAGGAAACTTGGAACAAGGGAGATACGCATTTGATAGAGACTATCACCGATTTAATCTTGAGACTCTCGATAATATTGGTACTGGAATTTCCAGTAACTCATTAGGAATACTTAGGCAACAAATGGATGAGAGCAATTTTGAAATGGTAAATATGTTATCACAACAGTTGACTACAGTCTTAAACCCATTAGTTCAAAACACTACTGCTAGTTTCGAGATATTAGCAGATCAAATGTCACGTATCGGGGATGCATTGACAATACCTCGACAAACAAGGGTAGAAAATCATGTTAACCAGAATGCTAACATTAATCCCCCATATCTATTGAGGAGAAATTGGAACAATGATCAACAAATGGGGAATGAATACCAACATAGGAGAAATGATATTTATGGAAATATGAATGAAGGATTTCAAAACATGTATAATCAAAATCACATGCAGAATAATCACATGTTAGGACAAAGGATGAATTTCCAAGGGGTAGAATTTAGACCACCCAACCAAACATACTTTGTGTCTCCTTTTCCAAATACGATTCTCGAGACGGAATTACCTCGAGGATACAAAGTACCTAAATTCACCAAATTTGCTGGAGAAGTTGGTGAATCAACTATCGAGCATGTAGCTCGATATCAGATCGAATGTGGAGATCTCACGATGAGTGAGGAATTAAAAATGAAATATTTCCCTAGTTCCTTGACTAAGAATGTTTTTACTTGGTTTACTTCATTGCCACCCAATTCGATATATAATTGGCTGCAACTGGAAAAAAAATTTCATGAGCAATTCTTTAGAGGAGAAACTCAAGTAAGTCTCATCGACTTGATGAATATAAAAAGATACAATCATGAAAGCATAGATGATTATTTGAATCGATTTAGACAAATGAAATCGAGATGCTTTACTCAAATTCCTGAATATGAATTAGTCAGAATGGCCTCTGCAGGCTTAGAATTTTTGATTAGGAAAAAGTTAGTCAATTTACCATTAAATGACATGGCTCAGTTAGCTGATAAAGTGATAAGAGTAGAACAAATTGAATATGAAAAACAAAGATATAAGAAATTTGAGAAACCGATGAAGAAAGAAAGAATAACATATATAAATGATGCGTATGAAACAGATCCCACGACAGAGAATGATGTGGAAGAGACTGTCGATGAGAAAGTAAATATAGCAGAGCTCAAAGTAGGAGCTCCATATATCTGTAAATTACTACAGAAAAATGAAGTAAAAGACAAAATGGCAAATTGAACATATATTTTTGATGTAACAAAGGCTGATAAAATCTTCGATATTTTATTGAAAGATAAACAGATTAAATTGAGTGATGATCATAAACTGCCCTCTGCAGAACAAAGGAATGATCGAAAATATTGCAAATTTCATAATGTTTATGGACATTGGACTAACAATTGCATACATTTCAGGAACACGATCCAAGGCGCGATCGACCAAGGAAGTTTGAAGTTCGAAGAAATGACAATGAAAGTCGACACGAGTCCCTTTGAGGCTCAAGTAGGATACCTTGAATCCCAAACAACCATAACTGAGGATATCCGATTGACAAATTCGGCCTTTATAGGCATGGTCGATGTTACTGAAGACATTGATCCCAAACATGTTAGGATGGATGTAGCTGAGGAAGATATGGAATTTGACCTGAGTGAATTCGAGAAGGAGTTCGAAAAGGAGATCTACCCTCGATCAGGAGATTCCCTCATTGAGTTTTTGAATAGAAAGAAAGAAAAAGACGAAGATGTGTCGTTATGCCCACGATGCAGTGCGGTGTTCGATAAATCGGCTGCTAAAGCTTTCAGATTAGAACAGATAAAGAAGATCGAGAGCCAGAATAAAAGGAAAAATGACAAAATGGATCAAACGGCCCGACCAATGATCGAAGAAAGTCAACAAAAATTCGTTGGTTCTGGTGTTAGCGGAAATCAAAGGCAATGGGTCAGAAGAGAGATGTATCCTTCTCGAGGAGGAAGAGGCAGACTTCAGAGCAATGATGTCTTCGAGAGATTGTCATACGATGAAGGATCAAACACTGGATTCCCAACATTCCAAAGGAGATTCCGAGGAAGGCCCTGGAGAAGAGGAGGAAGGATCCCTTATTGAAATAATTATAGAAACTTTGAAGAGAATATTGTACCGATGGAGAGTCAATATGCAAGAGAATTCTTTGATGATAAGAATGAGGGTACTTGGGACGAGCATCAAATCGGAGTGATATCGATACTACCGGCAGAATATATTGGTAAATATCAAGAGTACCAAGAACAGAGTGATGCTAATCGAGAAGATGACTTCTACTCAGAAAACATAAAGCCAAAGGTAACATGGGTTACACAAACATCATGTGAAGTACCTCATAGAGATGCTGCCTTTATTGATCTTCCATCTGAGGAAATGAGGTTCCATCTGAAACCCTTATTATTGAATATCGAGATTCAAGGACAGATGGTGAATAGAGTCCTTGTTGATGGTGGAGCAGCGGTAAACATACTGCCAATTAATATGCTAAAGAAATTTGGCATTGAACTGAAAGACTTAGTCAAGCATAATATTATGATTTCCGATTTCAGTGGAAAAACATCAAGTTCAGAAGGCATGATTGCCTTGGATGTGAAAGTGGGCACTTACTTGAGGCCTACTATATTCGTTGTGGTCCAATCACATGCCAACTTTAATGCATTACTTGGCAGCGAGTGGATTCATGGAGTAGGAGTCGTGCCTTCGACGGCTCATCAGAAATTATTTATGTGGAATCGAGACGGACATCTCGAAGTAATCCCAGGAGACCAGCATGAATTTGTAACATTCGTATCTCAGGCTGGTCGGGCGCTGCAGAACCTGGCGCTTGCTCAACCATTCACCTTCGAAAAT